ATCTGAATGCTTTCAGCATTGTATAGGTGTTTATGTAATTAATTATTTCTCTTTACTTTATTATTTTTTAAATTCCTTTGAAGACTTCAGAATGAATTATAATCAAAAATGTTTGATGTTATCAACAAGCATAACATAACATAACCAACTGTGATTTGATTTATTTAACATATTTACTAAATCAATCAAAACAAAATGTTCAAAAAAACAATATGAAGCATGGTCAACCAGCTGATATTTCTAAATGCGCAGCTTGCAATATAATCCAGAGATTTAATTTTTTAGTTACTAAAGTTACTGAAGTTTAAAATAAGTTTTTAAAGATAAGTTTCAGTCAATATGAAGATCGTAAATGATTGTAAAACTTTATAAAGTAGGTTTCAAAAATCAATGGGTTCATAAATTAAGTACAATCTGATCTTTGTTGACTTTTTAATATAAAATTTTTGTATGTTAATTTTGTCATCAGTGGTATGTTTGGTAATTCATAGTCGTTACATAATTCAGAGTAATGTAAAAGAACTCAAATGCCCTGGAAACAATATTATAAGAATATTTTTTTCACCAATCAACATTGACATGCTTCTACTTAACATCTGTTTTATTCTTGTGATTAAACGAGAGTTTAGTGCAACATGGAGACATTTAACACAATATTTATATGGTTGCAACAATGAAACATTTATGAAAATTTATCTGAAGAAATTTTACAGTGTACTAAATACCTCTGTGACCAAACAATAAATCATTTTTTATTTTTAAAATAAACTGGAAGACTCAAGTTATCAACACATTAAAAATTTTTGTTGCTCTTGCTGGTTGCTTGAGAGTTTTTATTTTAGAATTTTAATTTGATTTACAAAAGAAAATACAGGTGACAGATAATTCAGTCTAAATTTTTGACACTATTATTTTATAGGCTTTAGATAAACGATCTTTACAAATAAAAAACAATGGCACATTTTATGTATATATAAAAATCTAAATATTGTAAAAAAGAAAAATTATAAACAAAAAGAAAATCTATTTTTTAAAGCCATAATAATATAATTTAATAAATAAAAATAATTAAAAAATTTTAAATCTATACTTTAGGTTTCGTATAAATTAAGTATAAAATATAATAAAAATATAATTCATTTAGTTAAACTTGAAAAGTTTAACTAAATGATTAAATTATTGTGGCCTAATAATCCAAACAACTAAAAAGGTCAATTGGTAAAGGTTAAGAAAGTTAAAAATATTTATAAATATTGGTAAAGGTTAAGAAGAATTTTGATAACATTTTATTTAATCCTCTACCCCTATTATACGAAAAAAAATTTTAATTGAAAAATTCAACTTTTGATTTAGTGAACATATTCAAACAATTTGCACTGAGTATGTGATTGCTCTACAATGGATTTCTCACTATTATTTTAATGGACTTCAATCATGGAGCTGGTAAGGCCAAATTCATATTTTTTTTGCATATGACATTTTCAGAAAAATACATATTTTTTGTTCATATTTTATATTTTCAGGTATTATCCTTACCATTATTCACCATATATATCAGATGTTGCAAACTTTGAACTTAAGGAAATAAATTTTGAAATGGGCCATCCATTTCTACCTTTTGAGCAGTTATTGGCTGTTCTTCCTGCAGCAAGTAGGAAGCTATTGCCAGAAGCCTATCAGGTAATGATTTCATTTTAGTATAGGAAATAAAAATTTGTTAAACTCATTATATTAGTGATTATATTATATTAGTGATTATATTATATTAGTATATTATATTATATTAGTGATTATATTATATTAGTGATTATATTAGTGATTATATTATATTAATGATTGAGTAATTAATGAATGATATTTTTTTTGTTGGAATTTTCATTGTTTAGAGTGCTTCCATTTTTTAACTGCTTTTAATCAGTTTTAATTTTACTCAAATTTTAAATACAAAATATATGTGTTGCATATACATAAACATACACATAATTAAAAAATAGACAATAAAAAATATATCTGTGCTGCAAGATCCAATTAGAATTAGGTATTAAATTGATGTAAGTGAAAATCCATACTCGGGGCCGCAATAAATTCACCAATCATGTCTAAGATAACCTGATAAAAAAAAGACTAGCATCACTTGTCTGGAATGTATTGTTGCAATCATATACCTATAGCCTACATCATTAGCTGTAGCCTACATCATCTACATGTAGCCTACGTCATATAAATTCAACCTACATCATATAACTCAAATCTCCCTAATTTGTACAACACCAATTTTTAAGTTAAAATGGACAAAACTGTAATCAAAATAAATAATATATGTAGTGTTAAGAAATAGTGTTAACAGCTACACAAAATAAGCACAAAAAATACATCTTACAACAGTTATTATCTTACATGTAAGTTGTATAAGCAATAATAGCTATAATAAAAATGAAAATTTATAAATGAATAAGGGCTATCATATTGTTAAATATAATAAATATATGTTCATAGATAATTAATAGGAATGTACCAAAAATTCCATGCCAGGGGTTATGTTTGCCAAATTAGGCAAATTGTTTTTTGGTAATAAAATATAGTTATACTCGGTTTTCAATAATTGTAAAATAATGTAAAAATTTTTTTTGAAGTAACCACTTAGTTTCTATTTTGAGTGTAAGTTGTATAACTTACACTAAAAATAGAAACTTGTAAAACTTGTTCCCATTGTAAAACAATTTAGTTGTGCAACTATTGAACAACTTTCCCACAACAATTAGAAACAGCAAGTTTAAGCAACTGGTATATTATTTATTGAATTAAATGTCATGTACTAAAACTCTTAGGAATAAAATGCGCTTAAATAAGCTTTAAATATAATTTCAAACCTAAAAGGCCAGTGCTCAAATTTAAGTTCTATAAATTCATATTTTAAATTAGAACATTCAATATACAACTCTTAGAATTAGAAAAATGAGGTCGGCAATAATTTGCCGACCTCAATCTTTTTGAGGTCGGCATCAGGTTGGCAAAAGTTATTTAATATAAAGGTCTGACCATAAAACGTAGAAACGAGGTTGGCAGTTTTTTGCCGACCTCAAAACTTTCAAGTCAGCAGTTAGGTTTAAACAAAAAATGTGCTCAGTTAATATAAGACCTGCTGAGTCAAAGTGTGGACTTTACTTTATATCTTGTATTTTATACCTAATAAATAATGAGTTATTAATTAATAGTAATTTAAGTAGTAAATTATTTACTAGTAACTTCTAACTACCCACATAAAAAATTGCTTCAATTTAAAAATTAAAGCGAGGTAATATTTTTATTATTTGATTTTGTTCAGCATAAGAGCCAGTTTGTTTTAATTTGATTGTTAAATTTTTTTTAATGAAATAATTTTCATTGGAATTATCCACTATCTGGGAATCATCTCCTCTACCGGTTCTCCACTATCTACTAGCGCTAGTACAGTTAATATAACTTATTTTGTCAATCAACATTAAAATCAATTGATATATATTGTTTTTGATAGTTTCTTTGATGTTGAAACAAAGCAAGTATTTGTGCAAATATTTGCTTTGTTTTTAAAAGTTTTAATTAATTTTCGCTTACTAAAAACTTCGTTTGCTTAAAGATTTGCTTAAAAAACCATTAATGCACATCCTTTTACGACCAAATGCGAGCTGGGTAGAAATATTGCTTGTTAAAAGTTAGTAATTTAGTTAGATAATTACAGGTAGATGCACCCCAAAAACCAAGGCACCTCAAAAACAACGCGGTCAGTTAAAAGGCTCTAAAAATTTAAATATGCATTTTAAAACCATATGAGAAATTTTTTCTCATAAAGGAATGTTTCAGCAACAATTAAAACAAAAGAAATCAATATTAACAATAAAGGAGTTTTTTTTACAACCGTTTTAAACTTAAAAAGTGCTGAGAAAAATAATTGAGTTTTAAGTAATATTGCTATAAAATATTGGTTTTTTAGACTAAGTTTGCAAATCCCATCTAGTTTGCTTATCTTTTATATGCTATTTACATAAATCAAACCATTTTTATTATAAGTAGAAGGGAAACTTGTAAAAAAAAGTTTAAAAATTACATTTTAACATGTGGTTTTTGGGGTGCGCTAAGAAAAAGTTAAAAAAAAAAAGTTTATCCAGAACAAGTCTTTACAACAAATTTAAAACAAATAGTTCATTCAATAAAAAAGATTTTGAATATCACAGTTATTTCTTTCTAGCAGCTGCAGATAAAATCATTTCTGGGTTTTTTCCATTTACTTTGCAGTTTGCTTTGCTGCAAATGGACCGCATTATATTGAGGCAGGTTGGACACTGCTTTAAGCCAAAAGCTTTACATTTTATCTCCTCGCAATAGCATTGAAGCTTACATGTTATAAAGAGTCTTGTAACTTCCTCTTGCTTTTTTGCAGCATTTTCTTTTTTTTCCTTTTCTTTTTCTTTTTTTCTTTTTATGCTTTCAACTAGAGTTATTACATCGCTTGCAGTCATTGATCCATGTACTTGGGTAACACGTGTTGCATCTTTTGTTAATTTTGGCTTTATCTTTTTGGTTGTCATAAAACCAGGTATTTCTTCCAGCTGAATGCTCTTTTCATGAAGTTCATCAATCAACTCCATCGCTTGTTCAAATTTTGATTTCCAATAATTTGCTGAACCATGTCTTTTATCCGGCGAAGAAATTAGTGGAGAAGTCTGTTTTTCTGGTTCAATACAGTTTTCTGCTCGTTCGAATTTGTCTTTTTGCATAAAATCAACACTCAATGCATTTTCGGCAACACCAACCCTTTTAGCAGATTTTACAAGCGTTTCTTTGGTTGTCCACTTGTCCCATATATTAGCTAAAACTAACATAAAAGCTTCTTTGTTTAAGGAACAGATATCAGAAAACATAGAGTCTTTTTGCTTACGATACTCACTATGAATGTTCTTGTTTACTTGGTCAAGAAGTTGAGTAACTCCTGTTGTGTCTGGTGGAGTAATAAAAAGATGAATTCTTTTGGACTCCAAAAAAGATAATACATCAAAGTCTAGTCTAGAGCTATGTCCATCTGATAATAAGACGATAGGTCGCTTAACATTTTTTTCATTTAAGTAGACATCAAACTCTTTCAATGCTGCCAAGAAAGATTCATGGGTTGATACTCCATTATCTGTAGTTGTGACCAACAAATGGGGAATTTTATTTACTGCTTCTGTTGGAACCATAGAACTAGTAATACCAGTACATTTAAATATTACCTGACACATACATATGTCGCCTAAAAATAAAAAATAAAAAAGTTTTTTAATGCTTGTATTTATTTATATTCAATTTTTTCTTGAACCATAACATATTATAGCATACCTGAAAATGAAACAAATGGTTGAATTGTGACACATTCTCTGTTTTCTCTATACATTCTTTGACATGCATCTCCTTTGCCAGCATAAAATAATCCAGAAGTGGTACCATCAATTCCATAATTAATAAACTGGGGTGTTTCATCACAATTAAATATTCGGCATGTATCAACAGTGCCATTCCAAACCCCTGTTTCAATCATTTTTTCATTTATCATAATACCAACATCTACTAGTTCTTTAGCAAGGGAATCTGAAATAATATTATTATAGGGAAATGAACAAATTAAAAAAAAAAGTACATTCAGATTTATGAATTTATATTTGTTCATTAATAACTTACCTAAATGATTACATGCCATTTCTCTTGAACAATTAAGTGCACGGTTTATCGAGACACTCCCTTGGCGTTTGATTGTAAGGCTGCTATGTTTAGCATTAAAACGAAACCAAAATGATCGACTCAATCTATAAAATGGAATATTTACATAAAGAAAAGAGTCATATTACCCGTCTTACATACTTTTATAGGATCATTGTAGATTAAATGAATTCAATTAAACTTACTTTCCCTTTTCTAGAGCAGCTCGAGCATTTAATGATAACTTTTGAAACTTCCGTCCACCTTTCATTTTTGTATTAGTGTAATCTCTCACACGAAGCACATTAATAATTAATTTGGTTGTGTCCTGTTTGTTAATTGCCTGTAAACATCTGTTCTTATTTTTTATAAAACGCACAATAGATGCTTCTTCATCATCTGTAAGTATAGTACAATAATCTCTTTCTTTTCCATTAATCACTTTTCCATCTAATCGCCTGTTGATTGTCTCTCTATCTTTAATAAGGGGAAACGAACCTGTCTTTAATGCTGCTTGTCCCCTTCCATTAAATTTTTTGCACCAATTTATTGCAGCTTCTAACTGTTTATTTTTATCATTTGTGTGTTTTCTGGCCACTATGGCATCAGCTTTAGTACTGAGATTTCTTGATTTGTTTATACGTAGATGTAATGCAGATGATGGTTTCATTTTACTTTATAATATTATATTAAACAAAATTCTAAAACAACAAAAAACATAACATAGTTCAATGGTAGTATTTCCACAATACATTAACTTTTTTTTTTTTTATTTATGATGACAAAGAGCTACTATCTTAGAGTACATCCTAAAAATTTTTTATTGAATTTTATATATTTTCTAAAATATTCAAATAACCAACGTGGTTTTTGGGGTGCACATGATGTGGTTTTTGTGGTACATTGAAGTACATCCTAAAAATTTAAGTTAGCAATGATACAATCATCCTAAGACTAATTTATTATAACTATCTTCTACAAAAAATCAGGTCTTAATTCCAAATAGTTTAGATTTTATAGCCAATTTTGTCAATGTTGTTTTTGGGGTGCATGAAAAAAAGTGTGGTTAACTTCAACATTCTAGAAAAAGAACTCAAGCGAGACTTAAAAAACCATACCTACCAGGAAGAACCCTATTTAGGCTTATCTTTCAGAACCCATATTAACAAAATTATGATCTGTCCCTAGAAAATAAATCTAGACCCTCCTACTTTCGCGTGGCTTTTGGGGTGCAACCACCTGTAGGATAGTTTAATAGATATGCAAGATAGCAAACTTTAGCTGTATAAATATAAAAGCTTAGGCTTCGGCAAAGTTTTAGGCTTTGGCAGAAGCTTTAACTTTGGTAAATTCTTGGCTTTGGTACATCTTTATTAATATGGTTACCATGTTTGAAACATAGGTGTTTTTATATTGGTATCTAGATATGTAGAAACTATTTTTATGCAAATATATTTGTACATATTATAAGAAAAACTGAATAAAAGGTATTTAAAAGTAAATCTTTTCTGTAATTTAAAAAATTCTATACAAATTTACATAAAATTAAAAGAATACAACCTTAAGAACATTGTATTAAAGCACGAACAATAAACCATTAATTTTTTCTATTCATTAAACTTTAAATTTATTTAAAAGTAAAAAACTCAACTATCTCGTTTTTACCCATGTTTATGGCAAAATATGGCTTGAGGCAAAATGGGGTTATGGGAAGAACTTGTATAACTACCAAAAAATATGGGTTATAATAAAAACTTTCATAACCACCAAAAAATGGAATTTTGGGAAAAACTTGTATAACCACCAAAAAAACATCAAAATTATTCACTATTAAAACAGAGTTCACAAACAATTTGTTTTATTGAATTTTACTATTTTCTTCGAGCCCAGAGGAATAGTAAGCTCATCTATAGCAAGAAACCTAGCTCCTGAACTTAAAGAATAAAGGAATGGTTTGTCTTCATTTAAGGATTTTTTGAATTGATCCTGTTTGGCTTTTTTGGCTTTAGATTTTTATGTTTGGGCTCCACCTCTTTTATAAGGTGAGGAGATCAAATTTGTTTTTTGTTTTGATACTCGTTTTGTTGATTTAGTCTTGGGATATCATTAAATTGTGTGAAGATATAGCTAAACTTGATTCATCAAGTGTATACCTGTAATTCCATAGTATGCTCAAGCCTTATTTATATCCAATTTAGTATTATTGGCCAAAGCAGTAACAGCTGCAATGTTGGCAGTGTTGGTGACAGCAGAGGATGAAATTTTAGTTGTTGTGGAGACAGCAGCAAAGGCTGCAACGTTGTACAAAGTTGGAAAAAATGTTTGAGTACCCCTTATTGCCCAAATGAAACTACCCTATTTTACCCCATTGTAATGTGGCACAATAAAATGTATTATAATCTAAGCAGTGTTGACTTTATTTTTAAATTAAAAGTTTTATTTATTAACAACAAGTTAATATTCAGATACAATAAAATCTTTAGTTCAAAACTTTATTTTTCTTTAAAACATTTTCATGAAAAAGATGCAAAAATTTGTATTGCCTTGTGAAAAGTAGACTATAACTCAAGATGGCCTCATCTTGTATTGTTCATCATTTACAATTATACTTGAGTACCCAGTTTTACCCCAGTTTCCTTTACATCTTTACATCTTTGTACAAAAATATTTGTGTTTTACATATAACGTACTAAATACAAAAATCAATGAAATTTAAGTTCACAAAGAACTATAAATAACTGAAAAAAAAATCCAAAGAAAAAACCCAGTACAACTAATAAAAATGACCAGAATATTACTAAAAACAAAGTTGTTATCAAAAAAAAAAAAAAAAGATTGTTAATAAATACCTTGTAGTGCTAACAGTAACAAAATGAGTAATCTTAGTAATCTGATAGAAATTTCAGCAAATTGCATTGTTTGTCTAATACTTGATATCTGAATTGATTGCAGTAAGGATAGTATAAAAGCATATGAAATAATAACCTAAAGAAAAAATATGTAAATATGTAAGGAAATATAGTAAACAAGTTATTAGTTATTTAGTTGTTGGTTTATCATCCAAACTTTAACAATTGAAACTAATCATATGAAGAGAAACAAAAGACAAATGAATTGTTTTTAGAAACCATTAATATCTACAGGTGTCCTGCATTAGTTTGTTCTATCTAGTTGTATGATATGGTCTTGTTATGTTTTTTTCCAATTTCAAATCAAATGCATAGAAAGCTAATCTCACTTCTTGTGCCTATGGGCTAGCATTTCAGAGCCAGACATTAGAGGTATAGAATGGGTTTTAATTGATCAACCAACTGATCAATTCCAACATAATAGTCTAAAATTGTATTTTCTTTCAAAGTTTCAAACAGTTTTGGTTAATATTTTTCCTGTTTTGACTGGTTCCATTGTAATATTGTAATTATCTTTGTGATTCAATATCCAAGAAAATCTTTTTTCATACACATAGTGGATAAGAGACTTATGACTAAGTTGTTTTATCAAAAATACAATAAAGAATGAATTTTTTAAGTTAATTAATATGAGAATTTCCTCTCTTCAGCATTATATTCTAAATAACTCTTAGCTTATATTGGTGAAATTACCAGCAGCATTTTGAATGTGTTTTATTCAGGACAATTTGGCACTAGCTACTCTAAAATGATGCTCTCTGAAATTTCCTTTGTTATTCACAATTGAATTGATATTTTTGTCATCACTACAATTTTCTTGAAAAATTAATTTGATACTGTCCTAGTTGTCTCTTATAGGGATATTTTGTCACCTAAGAAAAATTATTGACTCAATAATTGGCATATAATGTTTTCTAGTACCTGTTACTTTCTATTACTGTTCAATGTGTTTTCTAGTACCTTTAACTTTCTATTGCTGTTTACCTTGTTTCTAATATCTGATTTTTGATTTTGTAATATTTATCTTGGTTATGTATAATTAAATCACCTTTCTAGCCATAGAATTTTGAATATTCATTTAATAGGCCAAAAACCAATTTGTTTAAAAATGTTGTTTTATGAGTTCTATCGAATTTTAAAAAGTTACACAGTATTTAAAAAATAGTTTTTGCATTTTTTAAAAATATGTAAGCCAGTTGAAAATTTCAAAATGTTTTTTTTAGTAATAACATTGAACTTCCCTATTGGTTTTCATATAAACTGAGTAAGGATAGATAAATACTTCATCACAATCAAGGACCATAGCATATTTCAAAATGTTCCAAGATCTAAAATTAACTTCTATTGCAATTTACATAAGAAGCAACTTTTACTCGTTTTTTTTTATTATTGCTGTCCAGTTAGCATCACTTTTATATATTTATAAACTCTCGACAAAATGAGGCGATAACAAATAATTACTTCCTACACATAATGACATGTTGTACATGGTCACTGGTTTAATACCATATCTTAAAATTTATGTTACAGCGTTGTTAAGGAAATTTTTCAAAGTAACAAGTTATTAAAGATTATTTGAGTTCTCTCTTATTTTTAATCAATATAAATTCTTCAAAAATTATCAAAAGTTTTTACTTAGATGTTAATAGTTATGGATTTTTATTTAGATGTTAATAATATGTGATTTTTTGTTTGTAAATGAGTTTTATAAAACCTATATAAAGTATAAATGTTTTTCTTTTTCTAGAGTTTAATGATTATGGACAATTCCCCCATTATCGATTTTTATCCGCCAGATTTTCGAACTGATTTAAATGGTAAGCAGCAGGATTGGGAAGGAGTTGTTTTGATACCATTTATTGATGAGGTTATTAAATAAATTTTTTTTTTTAATTTTATAAAATTATAATTACATTCATACATGTAATTTCATAACCTAAATGTTCTTAAATAATGCAAAAAAAAATTATTTACAATTTTATTTTATAATATTTTATTACTAATATTCAATTTATTTAATTTATCAGACTCGCTTATTAAAAGCAGTGAGAGAAAACTGTTCACGATTAACAGAGGAAGAAAAACAACGCAACTCCTTTGGTTGCAGTTATAAATATAATTATGACAAAGCATTAAATTTTGTTTATCCATCATGCCATCCTGATTTTGACGACATTACATCTTGCAAAGCTAAAGTAGAAATAGTCCATAAAGACCTTCACCGCCTCCAAATAAATCAAATTAAGAAAGGACTGATGAAAGATATCAAATTAGATATATACTTACAGGGATTTCCAACAATGAAACATTTGAAATTTGAGTCTTATTTAGAAAAGGCGGGAGTTAAGGTTTTCCAATATAGCAGTAGAAGTGAAAACACAATAATTAAAATTTTATCTCCTAGTAACCAGGTAAGAAATCACGAAAAAAGTGTTTTATTTTAGCCAATCACTTAAGTTAAAATGTGTTTGAAATGATAGTTTGTATGCTTTTTAACTAAAATTTAATTAAAAAAAGAAAACTAAAAAGTTTGTTTGATAGAAACTAAATATATATTGAAAACAAAGTCTTTTTTTCAGTATTTTACACTTGAACCTTTGTGAATAGCTGTATTTTTTTTTTTTTTTTTTTTTTTTTTGTTTTGGATTTTTTCATTGCTCTATTTTATTCTGGAAAATATTTTTTAGTGAATTTCATTAAAAAATTTTATTTTAGAATATTGAAGATATTGCAAAACAATTGCTTGGAGAAATAGCATATGTTGAATGGCCATATATGGTGGAAGCTAATATAGTGTCAGTGACAAATGACTCTGTAAAATACTTTTTAGGTGATAATAATGAAATTGCTTCCAAACTAGTGCAAGGGGAAGAATATAAGAACATCAAAAAAGAAATGAAAGGTCTTAATAACAATATTCTAATACGTTTTAGAATTCTTAAATAGTTTCAGACATATATAATGAAACTTTATCATTGTAGCAATTGCAACATACCATATGGAAAAACGTGGAATCCAACTTGGAGATATCAAAATATTAGTACAGGCTAAACTGCTATTGGGTGAAAGGTATAGTTTTTTTAATTTTTTATTTTTAAAATAACTACTTTAAGTACGTTTTGAGCTTAGTCATGATTGAAAAATAAACTGTTGAATTTATTTTTCAATCATGTTTACCTTATTAATTATTTTTCAATCAATGTTTACCTTATTATTTATTTTTCAATCAATGTTTACCTTAGCATTGAATTAACGATTATTTAAATTTTTAAGTTTTTTTTATATTTATATTTTTAAACTTAAAATTTGAGAGTTTTTTTTTTTAATTTTTTTTTGGTAATAAATTAATTTTGAGGTTTGTTAATATTTTAGATTTTTTAAATTAGATGGCTTGTTTTATAAAAATTGCTATTTATTTTATAAAAATTGCTATTTATTTTATAAAGATTGCTATTTATTTTATAAAAATTGCTATTTATTTTATAAAAATTGCTATTTATTTAAACTAGACAGAAGTATAATTACATAAAGTATTTTTTATTTTATTAGTTTCGATATTAAAATTCTTTTATAAGTCTTTTATATCAGATTGTCCCAATTTAAGGAAAAAGCAGATATAATTTTTACAAGTTGACTTGGCAAGGTCTTTTGCAAAGTTCTTATCGACCTTCTTAAAGCAGTTATTTACACTAATGCATAGTTGTTTCAGTTTTTTTGCTTGCTAGTTTTTTGCATTGATCATTACTTTTAGAACTAATTATAATATTTTTTAATAAAAGGTACAAGTCATTTCTTGATGCAATCATCAAAGTAAGGATTTTTTAATGGTTAATTGTAAGGCTGCTGAGAACAAAGTACAAAGCTGACACCTTTTTTTTCAGAAATGTATCAGACAAACATTTTGTGCTTAAATTCTGTGTTTTTTCTATATTTTACCCAGGTAGTAGTTCGTTCAATAGTGCTCAAGTAAAAAAATATCATTGATTGTGCTGTAATCCATAGTAAAATAAGGCTTATAATCACTGAAGTACAAAATTTTAGCCATTTACAGCCCATTGGATTATGTTAGAGATTTTTTTCTATATGATTGATTTGCTAAATAATATTTGAAAATTCTTTTTATTTTACTTTCTTGTTTTGACATCATTTTCTTAGAAATGTGCAAATTTGGTACAAAATGTGATATAAAATAAAGTATTAAATAATTAACAAAATAGATTTTTTAGATTTATTCATAAATGCTAACGCTGACCAAATTTTAGAGTTGATCAAATAGGTGTTTTTCTTCTTTTTAAATTTTAGGTTTTAGTTTTTTTTTTTTATTGTCATTTTGCCAGGTAATTTTTGGAAAACAATTTATTTTTGTGTATGTTTAAGATACAATTGCAGCCAAAAGGGCGCTGTGCAGTTAGAAAAGGAATGGAGCAGTCAAATTGAGTTTTATCCTTTACAAACCGTTGTTCAGGTTCAATTTTTTTTTTCATTATTTTTTGCATTTTCGTTCATTTGTCCCTTTTTTATTTGACTTTATTTATTGCAGTATTTATTTATTTTTTAAATAGAATTTATTGGTTCATAATCAAAAACGTGATGTCCTAGATTCTGTTCCAAAATTATTTCCTACTAACTCCTTATGTTTTATGATGTCTTTTCCTTTTTATGGCTGTTGTGGAGAGGTATGTTTGTTGATTTTTAATTTGAGTTTCAATAAAATATTTGAAATAAGATTTAATTATCCAGATTTTAAAGCTACCAGATTTTTAAATCATCAGATTTTTGTAACTTGTATTTGCAAAGGTAGTGGAGATTGAAAAAGAAACAGGAAGAGTTAGAGTTGCACTCAATGTATTGGAAGAGCCAGATTTTTCATGCATTATTGACATATATGATTCTCTCACAACTCAATATGTTTCTGATCGCACCGTATCACAAAGACTTGGATTACCTACTCACCTTCTAAGTCGCATCACTGGAAATGTGTTTATTAACATGAGCAATAATACAGACTCGTCCAGTTTGATTAATGTTGGATTGAAATTAAAATATACTGGACAAAATAAGGAGGTAAAATATTTAAATGATTATTCTGATAAATTTATAAATTTATTAAAATAACAATAAATTCAAAGCTGATTGTTGTTGTTTTATAATTATTTATAAATAATTGTAATGTTTACAAAAAGTTATTTTTTTTATATAAATTGAATTTTGTTTGCATTATATAAAAATTATTTTTTATGTTTGTTGTTGTTATTATAGTTATTAGGGTATGCTCGGCGTTCAGGGCAAGGCTGGACATATTCTCCAGCTGCATTAACTGTTATCAAAAAGTATATGAATGAGTTTCCTGAACTATTTGAAGCCCTAGGAAAAACAAATGGAGTAGAAAATTGTAAATTTAACGAGCTGCTACCTGGACAAAGGTGATCTGTTTTAGTTGTTTTTTAAATACTTTTATTTCTAAGATTTCAAATTATTCATTTTTCACTAGTATATTGTATGTTTTAGTATTTTTACCTATTTTTAACCAATTCCTCAAATTATACCAAGCTAATTTTATTCTCTTTAATATCATTTACTAACTTTATGTTTTTTTGGTTTATGAATAAAAAACGTGTTTTATATTAATTGATACATTATTGTCTATCAATACTTAAGTCTACATTTGTTTTTTTTTAATTATTTGTATAAAATAATCATAAATTTTTGTTTGAATGTTTTGATAAAATTTAGTCGCAAATATATGGATAAAGTGCAAGCTTTTCTGAAAAGCCAACTTTGTTTTAACAACGAATTAGTACAGTGTGGAAGCTCTTCTCTAGATGAACCTGTTGTAAAGAAAATAGAAGAAATTGTTGATCTTTATAAAGTTGGTTTATTGTTATTTTATAACTGTTATTTAAAAAAGTCAACTTACTAATAAACTAATATGGATGGTAACAAGTTACCATCCATATTAGCTCAAAGCTGACTAACTTGTAATATATACTGTATATGTTATAATTAACATATACTGTATATGTTAGATAAGTGCATATATATATGTGTGTATATACATATTTAAACAATTTTAATAATGTATTCTACAAAATAGAGTGTTCAATGTTCTTAAAAGAACAGAGCAGTTATAAATTAGTAGAAAATCACTAAACAAATTTTTTTTTTTCATTTTACACTGTGTTTCATTAACAAAGACTCATCAGAAATCAGATTTTTTTGTTGATGAAACAGTGTAAAATGAAAAAATAAATTTGTTAAGTGATTTTCTACTAATTTATATATATATATATATATATATATATATATATATATATATATATATATATATATATATATATATATATATATATATATATATCATACCAGTTACTTTTTATTAAGTTAAAGAATGAATCGAAAATTGTAAAAGTAAAGGTGAAACCTCAAGCATTATTTCGCCCAACACAATTTTTTGGTAAACTTGCCCCTGACCCAAGTACAGAGTTTTTGCTTATGGATCGTGTTGTCAATGTACAAAATGGAATAACTGTACCTTTAGGCTTAAGAGGAACAGTAATTGGGCTACAAGAAGGTTAAATTTTTGTTTTTGAATTTTATTTTTTATTTTTGTTCTTTGACATAACTCTTCTATTCTTTATTTTTCAGATGAAAATAATAAAAACTCAAAAGAGTTAAAAATTGAAATATTGTTTGATGAATGTTTTCTGGGTGCTGTAGAAAGAAGGTTACTTTTTTTTATCTTTTATTAAAACAATTTTTTATTTTTTTTTTATTTCAAGTTGTTATAAAATAAAAAGTTTTTTTTTCATATTTAAGTTTTTTACTTTATAATAATATTTTTAGAAATCTCACACTTTTTCATGAGCTTACCATTTTGATTAAAACTAATGATTATGTTAAACAGTTTATAGTGCTAAAATATACTAAAAGTGTTATAAAATAGGTGTAATTAAAATGGGTGTAATTAAAATGGGTGTAATTAAAATGGGTGTAATTAAAGAAATAATGGGTGTAGTGTAATATAATGATAAGTATATTTTCAGAAAAAAATTGCAAATAAAAATGTTTATTTATTGTCAACAAAAGAATTCTATTAGTATATTTTGTTTGCATATTTACTTTAGTGGTTTAGTTTTTTTTTGTTTCTATTAGAATTAGTGAATATAGTAATACACAGTAGTAAAGATAATTGCAATAAAAAAAGTTATAACGATGTTCAAATATTTATAAACTGTTACGAATAAACTTATCACAAACTGTTGAAATTCTGTTTTAAATTTAATAAAAAATTTTTTTTTACAAGTAATTTGTAATGTAAAGTATATTTTATACATGTTATAGCTTTTTTTTTTTTTTTAAATTTATTTAAAAAAAAAGCAACCTTTTTACTTGTAAAATAAATTGTAGTTAAAATTTGTAAAGGTCTTTATAACTTTGAATATTATTGCACCAATCACACTAATTAAAATTTTTTCAAAAGGTCTTTGGCAGTGCTACAAAAAATATTATAATTGGTCATATTTGGTAAGAACAAGAAATTTAGATAACTATTTATTAATTTGAGTTATAAATTTGGCAAAAGTTTTTCTAAGAAATAATTTTCTTTATCTTCTCATCTTTAATTTTAAGTTCAGTTTCTAAATTTTGGTTACATATTATTGCTTGTCGCTACATATCATTGCTTTTAATCTTGAAATAAATAAAAAGCTACACCCTGCTTTAGAAATTTGTTTGATTTTTTTAGGTTTATTATTTATATTTGTTTTAATAGTTATCAAAATTAACGTATTTATAAATTAAAGTTATTATTAAAAAAAGTTATTTCATTATAGTTACTCTTCTATAGTAAAAATATGTCTTGTAAAAATATGTTTTTTAGCAAATTTTGGTATCTAAATAGTTTTTTTATTAAAAAAAAAAAAGATAAGAGTACAACAAATAATAAATAATATATTGTTAATAAAAGAACAGTAAGAATAAAAATAAAAGAATTACAAATATTAGTTTGCAAAGCTTAAAATTAAGAAAGAAAAACTTATAAAATAGAAATAAAAACTTATAAAAGAAATAAAGACTTCAAAATAAAACTGGAAATCCTGAAGGTGAAATCTATTTTAATATACTGAAAATCATTTGAAAAATAAAAAACTTATTCAATTTTTAGGTGTTATTATGTAAATGATTTTTAAATGTTATATTTTTAATCAAATATTTACACAGGTTTCCTATGATTTAAAGTTTTATTGTATTTCATTTGTACATCTTTTAAACCACATCTTTTTTATTTTATAGTATTATTAATTCAACTTATTTCAACTTTTAACTTTTTTTTTATTTAAAAACAGCTCTTGTTAAATTTTGTTTTTTTCAAGTTACTCAGATGGCATTATGGGATTGCTAAATGTTGACTAGTTTTTAAATTTTTATAAATTTGTTTTAATTTTATTTTTTAATTAAAAAAGTTAAAAGATGAAAAGTTTTAACTAAAAGATTTTATTTTGTTGGAGTTATCAAGTTATTCAAGTAATCAAGTTTTTTTTCTTTTTTTGGAGTTATCAAGTTGTTGATGTAATCAAGTTTTTATTTTTAAGGAATTTTCAAGTTTAATATATAATTTTTCTGTAAAAAATATTTTATCTTATATTTATTATTATCCAAAGCTTAGTTTGAATCAAAAAAAGATTTCCGTTACCTTTTTTAATTATTCTTTTTTAATCTTGCAAGAACAAAAATATTAACCAGAAAAAAAATCTTCAAAAAGAAAAAAATATATATTAGCATAGACAAATAGTCTTTGAAAAATGATCAATAAAGTAGGAAAGTAAAGTAAATGTTGCATAAAAATAATTTAAGATATTGTTTTTAAAGTAGTATAAATTTTTATTTCTTAAACTTCATATAATATATATTGCATCTACACTTGACTCTAGTACCTAACCCTGATGTTTTTATTTCTTAAACAGCTTTCTTCATATAAAAGTGCATCTACACTTGACTCTAGTACCTAACCATGCTGGATCTAAAGCTCAAAGTGTTTGTCTTTCTTGATTTCTAACTCTAATGATTTATTTGGTTATTTATTTTCCAGACCTGATTTTGTGCTCCAAACCTCCTTATTCTCATTTAGGTTTTTCATATCATGCTATGATCTCTTTTTCAACTTTTATTTTCTACATCAGGTTTAACCTATTGTCTCCTTTCTTCTACCTTAAAGCTGAGATTCTTTTTCTGGTTTTCTTACTGATGGTCATAAAGGTGATGTTTTTTGATATCAAAAAACATCACCTTTATGACCATCATTCAATCAATCAAAATTTGCTCTGTTGAAGCTTGCCAATATCCATTGTAAACCTTCTGTGCCAAATGTCCCCAAACGTTTTCAATTGGTTGTGCTTGAGGCACATTTGGGGAATTGGGTTCTTTATCAATGTAATAGACATATTAGTGCATCCAATTTAGAAAATCTTTAGGATAATGAGAACTTGCTAAATCAAAATAAATAAAGTCTCCATTATTCTTTGTGATTTAATGGAAGAAGTTTTCTAAACATTCATTTGATTGATGAAGTGCAACAGCCATCAAAGTGTGAAGCAATGTCTCGGACATACCACGTTCACATATGGTTATCCACAAAAATAATTTTTTTGGAAATTTTTCTTTTCCTATAAAACGAACACTTTCTGGACATGTTTTTTTATTTTTTGTGTAGTATCCAAAATGATAGTGTATTTTAGAGTCTTTTCAGGTTTTCTATATTTAATATTCATTTTTTTTAACAAACAACCAATTGTCAATTGATTTACACTGAATTTAAAACCTATTTTTCTCTGACTGACCCCTTTTTGATTTTTGACAAGTCTTGTTAATTTGACTTTCTTTTTTCTAGTCTAGTATGTTGGATGACCAGGGTGCTTTCTATCAGAAAAGGAATGAACAGTTTCAAGTCTTTTTAGGTTATTATATATTGTACTTAGAGCAAATCCCTCCTCTTCAAAATGATTTACAATTTCTTTTTTTTTTTATATTAGGTTTATTTACAAAAAAAATTTTGAGTTGCTTTCGAAAAGATTCTCGTTCAGCTGTATTTAACCTCATTTTAAATATTTGTTTACTATTTCAAATAATAAAGTTTATATTTTTAAGCCTACACATAAAACCTTATTTACCTTAGCTTTAAATAAGGTTAACCTCATTTTAAATAATTGTTTACTATTTCAAATAATAAAGTCTATATTTTATAGCCTACACATAAAACCACAAAAACAAATTACTATGCTCAAATAATTAAATTCAGATTTGTCTGATAAATTCTGTATCACCCGTTAAAACACTAATACAAATAAATATATGTATAGAGAAATTCATTATAAAAAAATTTCAATTTTTAGAATTAATTTTTTAAGTATTTTTTGCTAAGTATATCAGGCCAGAAAGTACTGAGCCCAACCGAATTTAATTTATACTATTTTCAAAAATGTAATTATTTTCTTTCTGAAAATATTATACATTATAGATATAAATAAATGAATATGAATATGATATTTAAATTAAGTTATTATAAAATTGATAAAATTCATAAGACTCAAAGGTTCATAAGATTTTTTATCAAGCTTAATTTGACTCTAGATCAAAAGAAAAGCGAGTTTACATTTTGTGCCCAAACTCTTTACTCAATATATCTTATGGTGAGAGAAAAAATAGCAAGAAAAATGGAACTCCTCTTGGATTATCAACAATCTTTCAAAATAAAATATCCTCTACTAATAGCAATAATCAATCTCCTTTAAAGGATTCACCCCGTCAAACACCTGGTAAGGATTTAAAGGATTCTCCCCGTCAAACACCTGGTAAGAAACTTAATAATCATTTAAAGTTTTAATGTTTTTTTAGTAGTTTTTTTAAATGTTTACTTTGTTCATGAATTCTTTTAAAATGGTCAACTATATTATTTTATGCATTGTAGGTATTATACGCACACCTACACAAAATTATTCAAGTCCCTCTCCAAGGTACAAATATCATAATGATGGATTTCATAATAGAAATTATCATTCACAAAATAGTGGAGGTCAGTTAATTTCACCAGACTATTGGCTGAAAGGTTACACTCGTAATTCAACTCCACAACAAAATACATATAGGCAAAGTTCGCCATATACAAAACAACACAGGTACAGAACACCTAACTCAGCTGAAAGTGTTCCAAAAAAGTAAGTTATAAATGTAACAATAATGCATACTCTTTATAATTACTTACTGTATATTGTCTTTATTAATAGTTTACTTTAGTTTTAATTTATTTTATCAATAGTATATTAAAAATCGATTCTAAGTAGTAAGTGACCAGGGTTAATATTTGACCGGGGCCGGGTTTGATAAAATATAGCCGGGGCCGGGTTTGATAAAATATAGCCGGGGCCGGGTTTGTAATCAGGGCTGCATAAACATTTATACATCCTTAAGTATATTTTTTTAATTCAAAATTCATGTTATATTTTGTATATACATGCACATATAAACATCATTATGATCAATGTGATCATCATAATCATCATAATCATTATGATGATGATGATGATAATGATGATGATGTGATGGTGATGGTGATGATGATGATGATCATTATTATGATAATCATCATCAACAGCATAAAAGATGATGATCATCATCATCAGGCTTTAGCCTTCCTCTTTTATGCTGTTTCTCTAATATAAACAATCTAGAGCATTTTTTTTCTTAACTAAAGCTCATTAATTCAATATGTAAGGCACTCTCTTCAAGTTTTGTTACTTCTACCTTTTTCTACTGAAGCTGTTACCTCTACACATTTTAATACCTAAATTACTTTATTCTTTTCTAACAATTATTGTTCCATGCAACATTTTTCCTAATCTGTCTAAGATTATGTCTCCTTCTCTTATCTTGCTAGTGTCATACCACACATCCATCTGGTCATCTTCTCTTTCGGCAAACACTACACCATGCAAATACTAAAGTTTATATAACAATGAAAGGATATTGTATGCCAGCATCTAAATAAATAGCAAACATATATGTTTATATCCTTAATATGTATGCATAAGTGCATACATATTATGGATATATAGTTTTTAAATTCTTTTAAATTTGGATTATTTTATTCCTTCTGGAATAAAAGTTTGGAAGCTTTTATTACTTCTCTTCAATTTTAAGTCAAGCCTCATTCTACTCAAAATTTTTCACCATCTTAAGCAGTCGCTTTATTGAACATTAATCATTTTTTTCATATTTATTACAAGAACATCTCACTTAAAAAGAAATGTCCTTTTATTATTCAAAATAGCCAATGTAAAAAGGTTCTTTCTGATGTTAAGCTCTCTTATTCTCAGTTTAATAAATCTTGTCTCTTGAGATGAGTTTAATAAATCTCATCTCAAGTGTTAGGATCTAGAGACTTTTGGTTATTCTTCAACAATGACATAACTAAAGTCCAACATTTAATCTATAATTCATGAGTCAGATCTTTTTACTTCTTCCCAGAATAAAGCCAAGTTATTTGCAAAGAAATCTTACTCTAATTTGACTCTTGAATATAATGGCCATACTCTTCCTGATAGTTAAACAGATTAACCTATTTTTAAACATTAAAATTACTCTGGCTTTCAATGCTAGATTTCCATCATAGTCTTAAAAGAGTGTTCTCCAGAACTCTCTTCAATTTTTCAAAACTCTAGAAAACACTTTGACCTCTCCAACTATTTTATGACAAGTCTTTACTCTGTTATTAGTTTCTTTATATAAAGATATTGAGGTTATTAAATTATTTCTAACTGCAGTAGTAAAGTAAATCTTGAAGGTCTACCCTCTTCTTTATTTCAAGTAAATTTAAAGGTACCACAAGGTTCTATCTCCTGTATTGTTTCTTATCTACAATAACAATCTTCATGAATTCTAAAGTTTTTGATGACTCAACTTTATACTTTTGTCTTGACTAAAAATCTTCACTATTTAATTGCTTAGAACAAGCAGCCAATTTTAAATTTGATTTTTTTTATGTAACAGCCTAAGGCTTGCAGTGGCTTATGTATTTAAATTCTGGACTTAAAATCTACAATTTTTGTTAAATAACGAAACTCATTTATTTACTGCAAAAAAATATTGGAATATTGTTGGCATTCTTATATTGACAAATAAAAACCCATTTACTCTCAGACAAAGTCTAAAAGCACATTGTAAATGTAATAGGACCTGCTTTATCTGCCGAGCTTGAGCCACTCTCCCATTGTTGCATTTCTTTCTTTTTTCTACAAATACAATCATGGTCAGTGCTCAAACGAGCTATCATCTCTCTTATGATAAAACTAAAACTCATTATTGCTTGGCTTTTTATTCAACAAGTTGTATCCTTTTACAACTTTAAGGTTAGGGCTAGATTAGGGCTTTCATTGCTAGATTTCCATCATAGTCTTAAAAGAGTGTTCTCCAGAACTCTCTTCAATTTTTCAAAACTCTAGAAAACACTTTGACCTCTCCAACTATCTTATGACTAGTCTTTACTTATTTTTGTTAATTTGTAAAATTTGATGCTGCATTATTTATTTCTTATTATTGTTAGGTTTTTTTTTACCATGATTTTTTGAACTTTTGAAAATTTTAAATCTATTGGGAATTCCCCGTTTTATGCAGTGCCATCAGGCTGGCTAACATTCTGTAAGTTCCCATAATGTCATTTTCTTATTTAAACATGTTATTATGAAAGAGTTAAAGCAATTTTTTACAATAAGTGTCCTTCCTGGCGTTAACCTTTTCCGCAGATTAGAACAGAGTCTTAAACAACTGCTTTGAGGATTTTTGCCCAAGTTTTATGCTTTTACTCTTACCTTTAAAATTAAACTGGTTTTTTTTTAACAGAATTTTTCTTTTTCTGATTTAGGAGTGACTAAGGAGCCTGACATATAGGATAAGTTTAATGCACCATTCAAGTCTAAATGCGGCGTCCTTTGTCTAAAACAAAGCTAGGCTGGAAAGCTGCATAAATATTGATACACCCCATATATATTTTATCACTTGGAATTCATATTTCTTTATTTGAATCCAACCTTTTCAAAATACGGGGGTTGTAAATTTACAAGGTCATAACTTTCAAATACTAAAAATCATTAAGTAAAATATAGAACCTATCAAAGAATTTAAATTTGTTATAAGATAGTATAAAAAAATGTATTATCTCATTGTCATCAAATTTAGTGTTGGAGTAATGCAAACCTTTTGGTGTATTGTATGTATGTAAGTGTGAACATGCTTAAGTTTAGAGTAAGCACACAAAAAAATTTGCCTGAAAGTGTCACTAGTTTGTGAAAAATCAGAAATTCCTGCTGGCGCCCATATATATGCACAAATCTAAAGTATAATGTGAATTTCAGTTAAAGTTCATTCATATATATGTATACGTTATATCTCTCTAAATAAATAAATAGAAAATACATTTTTATTATTATTATTTAGTTTTTTTAATTATTTTCAAAAAAAAAAAAAAATTATGTTTAATGTCCATAGTTCCAAACTTGTATGGCTTGCATTTTTTCATTTAAGTCATAATTTTTCATTAAGACATAATGGAAGAGCTAATAAATAGTAATTAAAAGCATATACATATCTATCATAATAAAAGCATATACATATCTATACTAATAATTTTAAAATAATATTTTTGCTAATAATATTGTTTGGTTTAGGCTGAAGTTGTAAAAAGATCAAAATTAAATTTCATTTAATTTTGACTAGTAGAAATGTCGATATCAGTTTCGGTAAAATATTTGGCAAAATGTCAGTTTCGGTTTTGGCATTAAATTAGAGTACCAGAAATTTTAGTTGAAAATGCAATTTTACATTTGTTGTTTTTTTATACATGTATAATGATAGAATTGATTACACATGTTTCACAAATTGAGATTTTATACTTAAGTTGGTGATATAAGTTAATGGTGAAAGTTAACAACTGGCAGATTTTCTCTGCAAAGCAAGATCTTTTCGAGGTATTATGTGAATTCTTTAAAGTTCTAAAGCTTTAGTGCAAATTCTCAAAATATTTTGTAAAAATTCTTAAAATTAACTATTTTTTTACATTAGATAAAAATTTAAAATCTTACAAATTTTTTGGTTTTCGGTATGTTTTTCAATCAAAATTTCGCTTTTTACCGAATTTATAAAAAGTACCATAACAAAAATTTTGGTATCGGTTCTGTTTTGATATCAGTATGACTGAAATTAAAACTTCAGTCATACTGATATCAAAACAGTTTTCAGTTGATCACTACCAATAACGACAATATTGTCAGAGGGGTAAAGATGGAGGGCATAGTCAATTTGATCAGAAAAACATCTAAAAAAGTGCAGTCTTGGGTAGAAGGACAACAATAAGGAACAAAGAGGAAGATGATAGAGTGAAGAGGAGCTAAGCGAAAGCACATAAAAGAATGGTCAAAGGATTTGAAGCTGGTTTTATGAAAAATAGGTGTATTGATGCGTATGTATACCCCCAAGCCAAGTATGCGGCTATTGAAGTCTTTGCAAATCAAAGGATAGTACCCATCAACATTGAGATCTGAAGAAGGAATAGCAGAATTTAAATTAGGCTAAGAACAAACAAGTCTGGTGAATTTTTCTAAGAGGTACGATTCAACTTGCTTCACAGAACATGAATATTTGTAAAAGATATATTTAAACAGTTAGGTGGTGGGAATGGTTTTTTATGTTTAGTATTTTTTGCTACTGTTAGCATGATTTAAGCTTCTTAAGCAATGAACTATGCAGTTGTTTCAGTCTTGTTGATTAATTGTTGATGCCGTAACTTATGGTTCTTTAAGTAGCCTTGACAATGTGCACCAAAAGCATTAACAGGAACACCATCCATGCAACACCATCATATTTTGCAGCTGTTGATGGAATCAGCCTCTCTGAAAGCTTCCACAGTGTTTGGGAAACCTTTCTACCATCCAGCCTCAAAGCTATTAAATTGAATTTTAATGCTGTGCACTCATTAGGAGATAAGGGAAGAGTTGCACTATCAAAGAAGCACAATCAAATACCTATCAATAGAGTCAAGAAAATCAAGCATTCATTATGCTCGGCAAAAACAGCATAACACAGCTTTACATCTACGCCAGCTTAATAGATGAAGAAGAGGTTTGAGGCTGGTTATAATTATTCTGCTTACCCCTAAAGTCTTTGCCTATAAGGCTTTCTACAAGACATTTGCTGTATGTAATTGGATGTAACTGGATAAGGCCTTCTACAAGACAGAGTTGGATTCAATTCAAAATTACTAATATTATTTTAGGTTTAACTAGATTGTTAAAGAATTATGAAAGAAGAGTAGTTTATTTTTAAAGTTTAACATCTGTTTTCACACTTGTGTGGGTTGGATGGGTCTCCATATAGCAGTGTTTATTTAAATGTTAAATTAAATTATTCAAAAGAGTCTAAGTAATTTAAAAAAAAAAGGATATTCTTTCTAGTGTTGCCTGTTTTGCAGTTCAGGACTTTGCCGTTTGGACTTGGTATTTGTTTGGTATTTTTATTTTTGTGTGATATTACAACTGTCAAGATTACCATCCAAGGTTTACAAGCTCCTACTACCTGTTCTCCACCCAAGGTTTACAAGCTCCTACTACCTGTGCTCCATCCAAGGATTTCAAGCTCCTACTACCTGTGCTCCATCCAAGGGTTTCAAGCTCCTACTACCTGTGCTGCAGTTTTATTAAAGGAAGGGGGTGGGTTGGGGGGTTATATTAGAATTTAGCTTATAAGTATGTTAGCTTTACCACAGCTAAAGAGCTTTTTGCTGCCCCATATGAAATTAGTTCTACAGAATCAATATTAGAAAGCTCTTTCAATATAAAAGTTTTAGATTTTTTTTAGAAAAGTTTTTAGTTGTATTTACTTAAATTTACTTTATGTAAGTATTTCATTATGAGAAAGTATGCATCAATCATCCTGATAAAAGAGCTATCAATAGATAAAATATTCTAATAAGTCTATTAACCATGTGTTTTGCGGACATTAACATTTCAGCTGGTGTCACTCAGCTTAATCTTCATTTGAAGATTAAGCTGAGTTGTCACAGTCTAAATTTGTGACAAGTTCAGATGGTTTAACTCTAAAGCTATTTACAAAAAGCATATTATTAAGCACCAAATAGCTAGTTATGGCTGACATTGTTTATTTTTTTAGACATTATTGATTCAAACTGTGCCCTTGCTGCAGCTGAAAGTGACTGTTTTAAATATTAGCATATTTTTCCTAATTCTAAAGTTGTTAAGGTATACCAAAAAAAAATTGGATATGCTATATGATTCAGATTGGAATAGCCATTTGTATTCAAAAAGGTATTTAAAATGAATGAGTTGAAAATTTATCTTTCAAGTTCCGGTTGAATGAAACAACTGCATTACAAACAAAAAATAATATAACACTTATGCTGCATACCATTCAAATGATTTACAGCAAATCATAACATCCTACTAACTGCCACTGTTTGTTGGGTGGTGTACTGTTGAAGATTTTGATCATTTAAAAAAGTTGTTAGGGAAAATTCAGTTACAACAAGAGTCAATTCTTTAGTTAGTAGGAATGGTCAAGTTGGAAAATAATCTCATAAAAAAAATTGTCCACTCCATACAATATCCAATGCTTTTTTGAAAGAATTGAAAGTATTAATTTCTGAGGACATTTGGACCAATAAATATTAATTTCTGAAGACATTTGGACCAATAAGCATTTGATTTGCACTTTTTTTTTTTTAATTTTCTGCCAAATTAATTCAATTAACAAAAGATTACTTGAAGTAAATTTTACAAGAATTCATGGTTTTGTGTTAAGCAAAGTGCAATTATAGAAAATTTAAGTTTAAAAACGTTGAGGAATTCATAAAACAGCTAAGAATCCAAATAAATTCTGCTAAAAAAATTGTGGAAGAAATAAACAAGTTTTTAAAAATTTGTGTGACAAAAATTTCAAAGGTTATTTGTCAACTAAAAGTAAAATTGATACAAAAACTTGAAAGGAAACCAATTGATGAATTGGATATAGAAACTAAAAAGAAAAGAGTTAAGATAATGAAAAAATGTTAAAAGTTAATAAAAAGTTAATAATAATGCAATTATGTTTTTTATCTTATTTCTTTTTTTGTTTATGAGTTTTTGAAATTTTATACAATCTGTCATTCCCAAAGCATTAATTTTTTTTCTTTTATTTATTTTTTTCTTATTCATATTCTCTTTAATATATTTTTTGTTGTTGTTAAGTTTAGCTTTTATACATGGTACATTTTTTATTGTTTATAAAACATTTTTTAAGTTTTCATTTATGGTTTATAGAAATATATATTTTTAATGTTGTTATAAAATAGCCTGTTTTTCTGAAAAAAAAATCCTATTTTAAAGGTTTCCATAGCCCTTTTTTTTTTTTATTTAAATGTCCTGTTTTTTTACCAATGATCTTGTAGGAACCCTGTGGTTAACAATTAGTAGTTTTTAAGGACCCTAAAGATCTTTGATCTTAATTTTAATTATTTGAAAAAAGTTTAGACATTGATGACTAATCATAATAATGATCTTTTGTTCTACAGTGTTTTGCATTATAACAATCACTTTTTGGTATACAGTGTTTCACATGATAACAATAGTTTTTTGTTTTATACAATAAAATAATTTTTCACTATACACTATTGCATGGGGTAATAATCGTTTTTTCTTTTACACTCTTTTGCATGCTAATTATAATTATTTCTTATGTGATAATAATGATTCTTTGTTTTACAGTGTTTCACATGATAGTAATGATTTTATGAACATGTGGCAAGAACTCAGAAGAGCAGAACAACAAAAAGACAAAAATCAACAGCCTTATGTAGACCAAGTATGTGATTTTTTAGTTTATTAAATATGATAACACAATACTTCCAAGGATGTGGAATAATCTTTATCTTTAAATAATTTTAATATAAATAAAGAAAATTTAATACACTGAAAAAAATTTCTTTCACAACTTACACTCTAATTTTTGTTTTTAAAAATATTGTTTTAATTTAAAAATTTATTTGAGAAAAACAAATTTTAAAAATAAATTGCAGTAAGCATGGTATGCATTCTTCATGAGCCTATTTTTTGCAAAGCTGATATTGAATTCACTGTACCCTTGATCTACTGTTAGCAAATGATTCAAAATAGTAGATGCATAAATATTCTTTATCTCCAGATAAATTTAAGACTAAAATTTTTTAGCAAAATTTTTATTCTTACTAGTTTGCTTGTTTTATTCATTAATAAGCCATGCTTTGACAGGTGAGTCAGTGAGGATCATTGTTGAATGCTTTTTCCTACATCTTTTTGATGCTAACCTTTGAACTGCTTTAGACAGGTACCTAATATTTGATACAAGTGGATCTTTTATACTTCTGTCTAGCTGATTAGCCGGTATTTCAATAGATTCTTTAGATTGCAAACAAAATGTTGCAGAAATTTTATAAAGTTTTCTCTTTTCATCAAACCACTTGGATCGGCATCTCCAGCACTTCCTGTTGGTGCTCCTATTAGGAAATAAAGTTTTTATCAGGAAAGTTAACAAAAGGTGAAAGGCTATTTTTTAATAGCATTTATTGTGCATGCTAAAGTGTTCCTTATTCAGCTGATGTGATGGCCTCTACTTGTTTTAATCCCTGCTTGGCAATAATTTTTTAGGTCTCTGTGCAGTCATTTGATAAATAGAAGTAATCATGTAAGCCTTTCTGCAAATTGTTGAAAAATGATGCAACATTCTGCTTATTGAAACTGGTTGCTCAACTTACACTAGTAGGTTGTCTTATGGAAATATTTAAATGGCGCTTCATAAATGCAGTAAATCAAAATTTACCGGCTTGTTTGTCTACAATCAAAGAGTTAGAAACTTTTATATTATTTTTAATTGGAAGCTAGAACTCCTACAGAAGTAAAAAAAAGCAAGTTTTTTTTTTATTTTTAAAAAAAAGCAAGTTTTTTTTTTACTTCTGTGCAAGTTTGCTGCTTGCAACAAGTAGGTGACCAGTTCTTTTCCTATTGTGTCTGGCAATATCTGTTGTTTTTTGTATCTAGTATTCATGTAGGTGGACTCTTGACAATGTTCAATTAGATTTTATAGAAATGTGATAGTAAGAACAATTTTTTTACAATAACATATTAATGTTTTGCAGTTAATTCAATTGCCTTTTGCTGCTTATCTAATAGATATGTTATTAATCTTTACATCTTTAACAGCACTCATTATGATGTCTGAAGAAGTATGACCTCTAATAGTTTTTCTTTTAAAATGTTGAGACAAAATTTTTACTAATAAATGTTCACATGCAACCCTCGGAATATAATCTATATATGTAAATGTATATAATATATATATATATATATATATATATATATATATATATATATATATATATATATATATATATATATATATATATATATATATATATATATATATATATATATAATATATACATATGTATATATATACATACATAAATACATGCATACATATATATACATATATATATATATATTATATATATATATATATATATATATATATATATATGTATATAAAATATATATAAAAATAAATTCCATTACATATAAACTCCATATAAACTGTTACATTTTTTTTTTTTTTTAAAAAGTCTTGATGTTTGCCATCCATGCTCAAATTATATAATTTGAGAAGTTTTTAAAGAATAACAAAATAAAAAGCATATTTAATAATAATAGGCGGGTGCAAGCTTAAGTTTTCCATTCCTACTGAAGTTCTCCTCCTTCCTGCTGAAGCTCTCCTTCTTCCTACTGAAGCCCTCATTCTGCTGAAGCTCTCCTCCTTCCTTCTGAAGCCCTCCTCCTTCCTGCTGAAGCCTGCTTGCTGATGATCAATATAAAATTTATTGTAAGAGAAATTCTGTCTACAAAAAGTAAAAACATTAAGGTATCAAAATAAAAATAATAATAATGGAATTAAAATCTTTAATTAAAAAGCTGGAACGAACATGATCAAATAGAAATGATGTTCTAATACTATTGTTTCAGTATTAGGTTATAAAATATTTTTACCATTTTGATAAAGTTGTTCTTTACATTAGGTCATCAAAATTAAATGCCAGTGTTAGGAAATTGGGTTTAAAACTAATAAAAACAATTATTTACTATTTTACTGAAGTAGTTCCTTAAGGCATTAAGCTGCGTAATAGGGTGGATTGATTTTCATAGCAAAAAAAAAAAAAGTTTAAAAATCAATATTCCTGAGACACGAATCGATGTCTATTAATTTTAAGATGAAAGTAAAAAAATATTTTTTGATTTTGATGAGATCTTGAGGTTCCTCTTTGGGTTCTAAATCCTTGACGGATTCTAAAATTTTTGAATTTTTTTTTTTCTAAACTATATCAACCTTGGACTCAAAAAAAGCAGAAATATACCTTAAAACCCCCGTTTTGATGAAGACGGGGATTTTTTTAATAAAAAAAAAGACAATTTTTTTTTTCTGTAGCTTTAAATTAAAACAAATATTATATTCAAAATAAGCGTATTATTCTGCTTCTTTTGAGTACCAGGATGATATTGTTTAGAAGAAAAAAATTTCAACAATATTAGGATCCGTCATAAATTTAGAATCCAAAGAGGAACCTCTAAAACTCATTTAAATTAAAAAAAAAAAAGTAAGGTTCTTTTTTCACCAAAAGACATTGATTCGCAGCTCAGGCAAATCAAATTTCAAAAAATTTTTAAATCGCTCCACCCTACTGCGTAATGATCAAGATACATAAATGATAATAATAATAATAGTTTTAAAGCTCTTTATATCCTTTTTAAATAAAAAACTTTACTCAACCTTAAAATTTTTATTAATTTATTTAAATATTCTATATTTTTTTTTATTTAAATTTTATTTTTGTAGTTCAGATAACAATTGTCAATAAAAATGTGTTTAAATTTACTTTATTAGAACGCAACCGCTGCAGTCCACCAGCTTCTTCATATCCCCCTCAAAAACAAAAGTCCTGTTGCACAAGTATTTAATAAAACTCCTACAGGTGAATATGTATATAAAATAAAACTTATTTAATGTAATTATAAAATTTTGAAGAAAATCAATTGTGTAATATTTATCAAATAGTACAAATTTAAAATGTGTAAACATTGATTTTTTTATTTTAAATATAATATTGTTTTTTTAATTTTAAATATAGTCAGTGTTTTAAATGTTGAAGGCTTAGTGTCAAACAAACTCGTATAAAATTTCAATTTTTGAAATGACCCTACTTTTGGTATCTATTTGCAACAAAAGATCATGTTTCAAAACATTTAAGCCTGCTTTAAAAGCTAATGAAATTAGCTTTGGTTGAAAATATGTGTTTGCCAAACTAATGTACTGTTAAAAAACTCCAATACTATTTTCTGACTATAATACTACTGTTAAAAAACTCCAATAATATTTTCTGACTATAATACTATCTTTATTTATAATATTTTCTGACACATCTGAATATTAATAGAACGGAAGAAAAGGTGTTAAATGATCGATTTCACTCATCATCAGACTCTTACTTTAGAAATTTTTGTAATTTGTTTAATGCTTAATTAATTCAATGGTAATTGATAAATTGCACAAACTAAAAGTTATTTTAACTAATTCGAAATTCTGAAAATTATAGAAAATACAGCTGTTTGTACAATAAACATGACAGACAAACTTTATTTCAAGAGTATTAAAAAGCAAGCAAATAAGTAAAGCTTTTATCTAAAACCATTAATTGATGAAATAGAGAAAGCAACTTGTTGATTTTAAAATGAATTTATTTAATTATGCAGTAGTGGTGTATTATCTATCCATCTATGGTTCTACCACATCCCTGGTAGAACCATACTCAACTTGTTTTCCATGCAGCGGCCTTGTTCATCAAGTTTTGTTTTTCAGAGTTATAGAGTTGAGAGGTTATAATCACAACTAAAAGTAGCCTCCTCGACTAGTTGCCTTGATGGCCTTGGGGAGGTGAATTGAAATTTAAATATGATTGACACTTGACCATAGAGCATGGTAACAAAATCAGGATCAGCAGCCCAACACACCAATAATAAATTCATTATGTGTTAAAATTTCTGACTAATAAGTATTAAAAATATATGATTTTGCTGATAGAGCAACTGCAACTACATTTATATCTACAATGTGTTTTTGGACCTTGTTAAGAAGAGAAAAGAGCATCGTTTGAAGAACCAGCTCAAATATGACAATACTATTCCATACAGAGAGGAATAAGAGATTTGTAGAAGTAGAAAATGAAATCAGGAGTAAGAAAATGGCGAGTACGATAAAGAGAAGCTACCTTAGCAGATGTTTACTTAGTGATTGATTGTATATATGGTTTCCATGTGAGGTCAGTAGTGAATGATTATCCAAAAAGGCTTAACGAAGAAGACTCAGCGAGCCATTCATCAATATAGGAATGTTGGCTGTGTTGCGATAGTTGTTTACAGTAAATAACTGAGTTTGTTGGAGTTGAAATTTGCAAGCCCTAATATGTTACAGAAGTGAGATCAGATTCAAGTTTGGCTGGCTTTTATAAGTGTTCAAAAAGAGAAGACTTTTTTGTCAAGACAGGAGTACAAATATAAGCCATCAGCAAATAGAGCCACTTTAGATGTAAGGTTGTCAGGAAGATCATTAATTTAGATAAGAAACAAAACAGGACCAAGGATAGAACCTTGAGTTACTGGAAATGAAGAAGAGTGTTGGCCTTAAAGATGACTTTAAAGCAGTTAGAAAGAAATGATTATCTCAAAACCTTTCCAAGGTATATGAATATATGATATAATACTATATGAAGCAAGCTTATGCTTTTTATATTAATAATATAAACTAAAGAGTTTGTTTCTGTATCAAAGCATTAAAACTATTTATAAACGCAATACTATTTGATTTTCTCTTACTATTTTGACATTTATTTTCTACTTTTCAATATTAATGCAATCCTAAAAACTCTTACATTTCACACATCTTATGCATTGACCATCAGTAAATTCTACCATGGTAGCCTTCCTGTTTCTTTTTACTAACATTTTTAATTTCCATGGCAGAGTTAAACTAACTTTTAACTTTAATTCTTTATAGTGTGTGAATATCTAGTAATGTTGTTTTATGCCATTACTGAATCAGAATTTAGTAAGGAAAGTAGTTTAATAAATTTGTGAAATAATTGTAATTTTTTTCCCGGTTAGATTGTGAACATTAATGGCTTTGAAAAAAAATGGTTTAGGCTTTTTACACGTTGACCCACTATGAAAGTATCGCATCTACTATCTCTTACTGAATTAAATGAAAGCATCTCATCTGCTATTTATTAGGTTTAGATACTAAGATGTTTAGATACTCAATAGCAAACCTAATATTGCAAAATGAAGACATTTGTGTGCATAATTCAACACCAGGTAATCAGACTGATCTGGAATGCTGTAATAAAATTATGTAATGGAAGTCAAAGCATAGAAAGAAAGATTCTCACCTTAAAAATATTTTAAAAACTTGAAAAGGATATATTTTTAAAGATAATTGCAAAAAGGAAGACACAATTTTTTATTAGTAGAGGTAAAAAAATAAATGCCAAAAAGGTTTTGCCAAAAAATGCTAAAAATATTTGAGAAAATATAGCAGTTTGTTCAATTAAGAGAAAAGGTAAACTTTGTTTCAAGAATATTGAAATAAGTGGCTGTAATAAAACATTATCCAAACCCATTGATGAAAAGCAACTTGATGTAAAATTTAAATGTGTAAGAATGTGAAATCTAGACAACCTTGGTTAGCCATGTATGGTAATAAAGTAATAGTATGTGTAAAAAAGTAAGAAACAGGAAAGAAAATTTGCAAGCATGTTAATTTGCCAAGTGATTTGAATCTTATTAAATTATATGAAATGTATCTAAAAAAGTGTGCGCTAGAAAAGTGTGCGCTAGAAATTTGAAAAATCTGAATAATCATTTTTTACTAAAAAAATCTTTTTTTTTTTTAGCCTAGGCAAGTTAGCAGATATAATGTGATTCCATACATGCCACTTTGAAACAGCAAGCAGAAATATTGGTATATATGATCCTTCAAGATATTACCCTATTGTAAGAACAAGAAATCAAGAAATAAAAGTGTTAAAGAAATTACCCAAGATAATAATTTTCTGATTTAGTCAAATGGCTTGAATTAGTCTGGTTTCAATATCGAAACAATGATATTGAAAAAATTCATATTCAGTACATTCAGATAAAAATATAAAAAATAATATATTTAGATAAAAGTATAAAAAATAATATATATTTAGATGAAAATATAAGGAGTTCCAAAATTCAAAGAAGGAATCTTCGCAGTTTCTCCATTTCAAGTTTTAAAATAATGAAAAAGGTTAACAGCCAACTTTTTAAATAAAAAATATTGGAAAAAGTTAAATTACTCTTTTACTAAACATAATGTTAAATTAAAAAATACATTATCTACAACATTAATATTTATTAACAAATATTTATTAACAAATTAACAAATTACTAAGAAACTTTATACAGACCAATGGAAATGCGTTGCCTGCTAAAATGTCGTTTTATAAGAGTCAGGTATTGTTTACAACTCATTGTTTACTAAAAATAAATGAAAAATTTAATGAATAAAAATAAATATAATTTTTCCTCATTTCTGAAAAGTGCAGTTTTGTTGTTGAGATTATTTGACACTAAGCACTCAATGTGCAGATTTCAGCTCATTCTTTTTTTAGCTTTTAGATTTAGATATTTTAGAGTTTTAGAGAGATATTTAAGATATACAAACATAAAATTTATAACTGTAATTAATACAGTTTTATGTGTAAGCATAAAACTGCATGATGATGATGATGATGATGATGATGATGATGATGATGATGATGATGATGATGATGATGATGATGATGATGATGATGATGATGATGATGATGATGATGATGATGACGATGATGATAATGATGATGACAATGATGATTGATTATGATGGTTGATGATGATGATGGTAATGATGATTTCACATTTTTATGTGGTTTTTCTTAATTTTTAGGACCTTCTTACCCTTGTCTTAACCAACAATTCACGCCCTTTACACCTCCGCACCCTTTCATGCCATTTACACCGCCACAATCTCACACACCTTTCAGGTTTATAAAATTTTTTTTTTTTTTTTTTTATATATATATATATAATGATTTCATGCTTAAAAATTTATATATTTATATTTTTTTTTAGACATGTTTTTAATCCATGTACTGATTCAAATCTTTCTGTTTTTACTAATTCTCAGGTATTTGCGCTTCTAATGCATGTATGATATTCTCAGTAATTGTAAATATTTATACTCTCATGTATGATATTCTCAGTAATTGTAAATATTTATACTCTTATGTATGATATTCTCAGTAATAGTAAATATTTATACTCTCATGTATGATATTCTCAGTAATTGTAAATATTTATACTTTCATGTATGATATTCTCAGTAATAGTAAATATTTATACTCTCATGTATGATGCTCTCACTAATTGTAAATATTTATACTTTCATGTATGATATTCTCAGTAATAGTAAATATTTATACTCTCATGTATGATATTCTCACTAATTGTAAATATTTATACTCTCATGTATATTAAACATTACAAGGTTATTATAGTTTTATGTCAAATATTGCATACAATTTTTTTCTCTAATAACTATTATAAAATATTCATTTCTCTATAATTATTTTTTAATTATTTTATAATATAATTTTATTTTTAATTGAGCCAACCTATATAAAAGATATTTTTTATATAGGTTGGGTCTTATTATTATAGACCCGAAACCTGCTGGACCAAGATCTGTTAGATTCGTTAACCAGACAGGTTGGGTATGAGTCTTGTAATATCCAGACCCATTATACCCAAACCTGACCAGCATTTTCTTAATACCATACAGAACTTTTAATTTGTGCAAATTTTTTGACCTCAATTATTAGGCATATTAGGACACACAAACACATAAATATGTGTACACATATACATATTTATGTGTTTGTGTGTCTGTACATATATAAAATTATAATTACTACAAATTTATTTTAGGCTAAATCTACACCAGTATTGAATTTAAATGAAAAAATATCGGAAAAAAGTTTATTTGTACCTCATCAGGTTATTATTTTCATATAGCTTATATAAAAAATATATACTTAAAATACATTACATATTAGTTTTTTTTACCTGATTTAATATTTAAAGTCTATGGAATAAAAGTATAATTTAATAGAACTGAGTAGTTTAATAGAATTGAGTAATTTAATAGATTGGTATAATTTAAGGAAGTCTATTTTAAAAATTCTGTAGGGTATATTGTTTGTTTATCTTGTTTACCTTGTTTTCGTATTGAACCCATTGAACCCAAAAAGTGCACATTGGAACATTCTTACCCATTTACTCAAAAATAAATGTTGGTAAAAATTTAAGGTGATTTTAAGTATTTCTAGAGATTTTAGGCATTTTTAGATGTTTCACAAGATTATTATTTTTAAGTTTTTTATAAAGTTATGCTTTTTTTGAGACCTAACATGGTATACTTTTAGAACAAAAAATTTTTATGATATTAAAGACCTGTCTGTTTTAGAATTTTTTACAACTTCTAAAAATGCTTCTAATTACCTCAAATTTTTGTTTTAATAGATTGATAAGAATATGAGGTTCCAATGTGCAGTTATTGAAAAAAAATTTAACCATTCTAATCTCTATTATTTAAAAAAAAAAAAAAGTTGTTAAGAAATTTGCTTTCCTCAGGTCACTTGTTTACACTAGGTATGTCACTTGTTTACAACAAATACAACAATTATTAATTATCAACTAGTTTTATTACATATATATGCAGGAGTCAAAATAGGTATTGGACATTGCTGCCCCGGACCATTCTTATGACCTGTTAGAGGAGGGTAACAAATCATTGTTCACTTTTTCAGTAAAAATGAATAATTGTTGGTTCACTCAAATAGGTCTCAAAAACAGTCTGGGGGGGGGGCGCTTATGTCTGACACATCTTCACTCATGCATATATTAAATATATCAACTTATGTGAATTATTTATGAAATAAATAACTAATTTTAACATACAGCAGTACCACGCATCTATGATGTAATTAAAATACACAACTAAAAAGATTGTAACTTATTTGTATTTGTGGTTTCAACAATTAGGACTCCAGTTTATATTATATCATAAAATCAAGTTTTTGACTAAAAAAATTTTAAAATATATATTTAAATGTTTTATTTTATCATTTGAATTTTTTTTAAATATGTTAAATGATATATACAACAGCAAAAAACTCAACTACTTTTGTTGAGCTCTTCTTATCAAAACCTTGGAATTAAATCATATTATTGCTTAACTTTATGCTCATTCGTGTGTGTTTGCACAGAACTCACAGCAACCTTTAAACCCGAGTTATTGGCGAGAAAGAGTCGCTTTTTTTTATAAAAATATGTGAACGAAGTTGTATGTAAATATCTAGCTTATGTAAACTTCAAATTTTGTAATGTTAAAAATTATATCAAGCTTTACAGTTTTACTTTTACTTGAAAATTACATTATATCTCCTTAATTTATATCTCCTTAATTTATATCTCCTTAATTTATATCTCCTTAATTTATATCTCCTTAATTTTTTACAGCATTTAATTGTCATGTTATAAAGTTATTTTTGTAAAGTTTTATAAAGTTATACTGTTATACTGTCTTTTATTTATTAAATAGTGTTTAAAATTTTTAGTTTAATATACTTGGGTGGCTGATGTGGTTGCTGCACTTCTAATGTGCATCGCTGGGGTTCAAATCCCTTCATTTGCACATTTAATTTTTTTTTTTTAATCTTTTCTAATTTTCTAAAATACAAAATAAAACATTTTTAAAGTTCTATAGATATAAAATGACATATATAAAGATATAATAACTGCTATAACAAATTACTATAACAAAAAAAAAGATTTTTAAAAAAGCTTTAAAATTCTAAAAATATCAAAACATCGAGAGAAGTTTGTCATACGCAACAAACTTCCAAATAAAAGGTCATTCATTTTAAAATAGCCTTAATATTTATGGTGGCCTCCTGGCATTTGGGTTTGATGACTGTGGGTAAAGACAGCACTGCTTACCATGACCCGCATAATATGGGTAATGGTAAATCCATTATTCCACATATTTTTAAGTTAATTTCTGCATTTTTTTAAAACATTTCATAAATATTATTTAGAATACGGTTACTAATATCTGAACCACTGATAAATAGCGGTTTGCCCAACGATTATCCAATTATTTAAAAAACTTTTAAGATAATTATATTAATTTTTTTTTTTCATAACTTTAAAAAGTAGACAATATGTATAGTTTTTCGATATATAATTACTTTACTACTGCTTAATAAAAAAATATTTAAGTAAGGAATAAGTATAAAAATGATCTGTGTGCAATAGACGTACCAAGACCTGTGTTTTATGGATCCGGACAGCTAGTGATAAGAATATAAATTAAAAATAGCTTGTGATAAAAAAAAAAATTAGTTTCTTATGTTTTATATTCCTCAATCCTACTAAAAGCAATTCTAACCATAATAAAAAAATCTTAACCATAAGACATTCATTTTTTTTTTTTTTTTACTTTCATTTTTGTCTCTGTAGTATTTATTTTTTTACATTCACATTCTATAAAATATAGGTTAGGGTACTTATTTTGAAGTGTGATCTTGTTCTGTGATGTTATTAAAGGTTTTAGGTTTGTTTTTAACTCAAACACATTTTTTTTTTGTTAATAAAATAGCACTCCATTCTATAAACATTGTTACCATCCAGTGTTGCCAACAATGCCTAGAACACTAATAATAACCTCTTTTTATATTTGACTAAAGTTTTTTTATATTTGACTAAAGTCCTATTTAGTAAACCAGATTCACAAATCTTAATGTTAATACTAAAGGAGGTAAGATTTAACAATATGCAATGCAATATATTGATATATCTCAACAATATGCATCAATATAGCTATAAGCTGGCCCTTTGTAGCAACCTGTTTTTATTCCTAGTTATTAACAGTATGTGTAGTATCAATGAAAAAAGAGACAATTGTTATCGTTATCGTTGGCATGTGTACAAATTAGAAGTTTAGAAAGTGATGTGGTTGATAAAATCACTGTTACAAGCACAGTTTAATAAGCATAGATAGTTTTCACATTTTAAACTCCTAATTAATATAAAATATTTCTTAATTAATATAAATTATCCTAGATAGTATAAATTATGCTATAAAATTTTAAGGGAATAAATTTTAGAATAATCACAATGTAGTTTTTTTAAATCAATTTTTAAAAAAATAGGTTTTAGTAAAGACTACTACACCACAAGTCAACTCTAGTGAAGTTGTTGAGAACCAAATTAAAGATATTCTTGGAATAAAAACAAAATCAAGTGACGAACAGATCAAGGATTTGCTGGGAATCAAAAAAGCTCCTACATCCAAAAGTGATGACTCGGATCAAATTAAAAAGTTACTAGGAATAAATAGTGAATGTAAAACAAAAACTGATTCATCATCTGCCTTGTCTTCTCCACCATGTTTGGTTAGTATATTTAGTAATTTTTGTTAAAGTGATTTTTAGATTATTAAAAATAAGGGGTTTGCAAACAAGTTTGTATATATATATATATATATATATATATATATATATATATATATATATATATATATATATATATATATATATATATATATATATATATATATATATATATATATATATAGATAGATAGATAGATAGATAGATAGATAGATAGATAGATAGATAGATAGATAGAGATATATATAGAGATATATTTCAGCCCTCAGAATTAATGTCAGCAATGCTGACCTAACTGCTGGTCTAAAAGTGTTTGAGGTTGACAAAAATTCACCAACCTTGTTTCTTTATTTTATAGAAACCCTTTTTGTATCAATTTTTTTTTTTGCTGATCTGATGCTAACCTTTTACAGTTTGAGGTTGGCAATTTATTGCTGACCTCACTTTTTCTTATTCCGAGTGTTGATATATATATATATATATATATATATATATATATATATATATATATATATATATATATATATATATATATATATATATAATAACTAAGATAATTTCTTTAATTTTTGTTAAACTCATTTAATTTATAAAATACATATTTCGACTATATCATAGCCATCCTCAGTTAAATTATATAAAAATGTTTAAATTAAATTTGTAAAATTAAGTTAAACTAGTAGAGGCCTTATAATAACATATACAATAAAAAACCCAATTGAAAAATGTAACAAATTTTTTTAAAATGATAAAAGAACCAATAATGGCTTTTAAACCGGTAATGATAAAACTCGATTGAAAGTGTCATTTAATATAAATTTGTTGGAGGCCAAATCCAAAATTAAGGTTCTCATCCAGCCTGCATCTATTGTCTTCCAAAATTACATAAGATGATTTCTTCTGACGATAATATAAATTTCAGACCTATCGTATCATCCATTGGTACCTATAATTATCAATTAGCTAAATTTCTTAGAGAACTGCTATTTCTATACCTTCAGAGTTCTGCACTAAAGATTCTTTCACTTTCACTAAAGAAGTAAACCAAGCCACAATTACCATTGTTTTTCATAAAAAAACTTTTTTGGGGCTTTACACAAACTTTTTTAGTTTTACTTTTTTTAGTTTTACTATTTCATTCAAAGTAAGTCTGGTTAAATGTCTAACCGATAGAGCTAATAAAATAAACAACACTAGTCTTGTTCTTAGTCTTAATATTAATAATATTTTTTAAAGTTCTCAAACACAACTTGTACCTGTCTTAGTTGGTTGAGTAAATCCATAGCTCTTATATTAACAACACTAATGTCAACATTTCATAGAGGTTGGAAATATTATCAATATTTTAAACTTCCCTATATTGGAAAAACACCTGAGTTGACCAAACAAAAATAAAACGCAATGATTAAAAGGTATTTTAAATCGGTCACCATAAGATTGGTTTTCACTGCATTGAAATTTTCTTCTTTGAATTCAAATTTTTTTTGGCAAAAGATCCCTTTTCTATAGACTTTAAATCATTTGTTATCTATAAATTTGAATCCACAGACTGTAAATCCTGTTATATTGGCAAAACTGCTCGCTATTTAAAGAAATGAATAATCAAGCACTATAAAAAAAGATAAAAACTCATACTTTTATAAATATATTCATTTAAATTAAAGCTGTTTTAATAGTTTTAATCATGCTAGTTTTTCAATTTCAATTTGGTTTCCTACAAATTTATATTAAAACTCAAAGGAACCATATAGAATAAATAACCCCCTTGTAATATAATAAATGGCAATTTCAATCTAGTTCTAATCCTTGTAACATAACTGGTTCTTTTATCATTTTTAAAACATTTTTTACATTTTTTTAATTGCACTTTTATTGTATTTTTTATAATAAGGTTTCTATTAGTTCAACTTAATTTTATAAAGTTGATTTAAGCATTTTAATATATTTTAACTAAGGATGGCTTTGTGATATATTCCTATATTCATTGTTGTATGATATAGTCTCATAAAATAATACTAACTTATCTTGTGTTTTATTTTCTGGCAATCGATACAATTCAATCAATACAAATAATCTTTTTTTTTTTTTTTTTAATGCTGATTTGTTAACAGTAATAATAGTAAGGTTTTATGGTACATTTAATGGATGTGCTGAAGTAAATGTTATAACTCTAGACATTTAAAGTCTTTATAAAGTCTAGCATATTGGTTTCTACATAAGCTCTTTTCATATTTTGTATTATAAAAAATTTTCAAAATTATTAAATCTTTATATTTTAACTACTAATATTTCTATATTACTTTATATTTATTACTTTATATTTGTTTTTTTATATTTATTACTTTGTATTTATTACTTTGTATTTATTACTTTACATTTATTACTTTATATTTATTACTTTGTATTTATTACTTTATATTTACTTTACATTTATTAATTTACATTTATTACTTTGTATTCTAGTTATTATAGATTATTAAACTTTTCTTTGTTCCCGTGTTTTCTAAATATCTAAGTTTAAAGTTGGGAGTGTAGAGTATTTGACTCATCTCAAAAATCAGTTTTAAATAATTGCATCACACAGTTCATATAATAAATCTTGATGTATTTATTTCCAACTTATCATTAAATAACAATTTGACACTAGTTTTTAAACATAACTCTATTAACAATGAAAGAGAAGCTAATAAAGAGATATTTAAAAATTGCATTTCAATGAAGATTTTTATCACAAAATATGTAAAACTAAAAGCTGTTAACAGTAGGTTTATAAAGTTGTGTCATTAAAGTTGATTTTTAAAATTTTTACCAATGATTTATAATCTTATTGATTAATTTCTGGTCAACATTTTAAAATTATTAACTGATTGATTTGTAGTCAACATTTTAAAATTATTGATTTCTACTGATTCTGTAGTCAACATTTTAAAATTATTGATTTCTTTAGATTTAAACTGATTGATTTTTAGTCAACAATTTAAAATTATAAACTGATTGATTTGTAGTCAACATTTTAAAATTATAAACTGATTAATTTCTGGTCAACATTTTAAAATTATAAACTGATTGATTTGTAGTCAACATTTTAAAATTATAAACTGACTGATTTGTAGTCAACATTTTAAAATTATAAACTGATTGATTTGTAGTCAACGTTTTAAAATTATAAACTGATCGATTTGTAGTCAACATTTTAAAATTATAAACTGATTGATTTGTAGTCAACATTTTAAAACTATAAACTGATTGATTTTTGGTCAACATTTTAAAATTATAAGTTTAATTATAGTTTATTAAGTTCATTTTAAAATTATTTTATAATGAAGCAATTAATGACATTTTTATGAAAGTATTTATTTGTTATTTGTTTATTTTTTTTTTTCTAGATTTTTAGTTTTTTTAGTTCTTTTATGAACAAATTTTTTGCAGAAAGTATTTTAATTAAATTTGTAAAAAATACTATAAACAGTAGTTTTCTCCATTTTTCACATTTAGTTTCTATTTAGCAATTTTTATAATCTCGTTTTTCTGAATATAATATTTTATTTTTTATGAATATAATATTTTAGTTTTATTAAGATAATATTTTAGTAATATGTAATATATTTTATAAAAATATGTTTTTTAATTAATAGTATTTATTTTAAATATTCATAGGATGTGTCTGTTGAAAGTAATACGACTGTGTTATCAACTAATGTTGAAAGTAATACGAATGTGTTATTGGGTAATGTTGAAAGTAATACGACTGTGTTATCGGGTAATGATCAAACAGCTATACAGAAAAAAAAAATTCTTTTAGCGCCAAGTTTTTTTGGTCCCAAAAAAAAATAACAGTTCAAAGTTATTTTATCTTTATATAAAAGATTTATCTTTATGTAAAATTTATTTCAAAAATGTTATCATGAACAATTTTTTTGTATCTTGATTTTAAAACAATTTTAAAGACAATTTTTTCATAATTTTAATGAAGAAAATATTTGTTTGCAAACATTTGTTTTTTATGGTCTTCATGTTGCTCAAAATATTTAGTATGGAATAATTGATTTGTATTAGGTTAGGTTTTTTTTTTAGTATAGCTCTGTTTGTTTTGTATCTTGGTAAGATAATTTGGCTTCTTAGTTTAGTACTGTTAGTTTTTTTATGTAAGCAGAATCTTTTAGTTTTATATCTTGGTTTGTAGTCTTGATGCAAATTTAAAAATTTTATAATGGCTCGATGATAAGCTAATAAAGACTAATTTACATCAAAATAACTTTTAAGTTTTACAATTTTATAAATAATAAACAAACATTTTTACTTAAAAAAAAGTAATAAAATTAAAATTAAAAAAATATATAATCTTTACAATTCAAGCAAAAAAATATTTTTATAGTTTTTAAAATTTTTAATCATTTCAAAGTTGGTTTTGAAATTATGACAACTATTGGAAGTTATGATGAAAATATTTAAAGATTACAACTTCATCACTTTGAGATCATGGGAACATCATTTTGAGATTTTACAACAACTTTAATGATCTATTTAATGCATTCTATAACTTGCATTTAAGTATTATCAGAAAACTTATATTTCTTCCAAATAATTAAAAAATAAGAATTTTAAAACATAATACAACAAGTTATTTTAGGCATTTTTTAATAATGTTAGATTTTTTTAATAATATTAGATTAGGATTTTAGACAAAAAAAATATTGAGTGTAATTTTTATTTCTTTCTTTTATTATGACTTTTAATCAATATGATTTTAATCAATATGTTTTTTTATGTATCTATATTTAATATCATGATAACATCTTTTAATGTCTTTATTATGACTTATTATGAAGATGTGTTCAGCAGTTTTCCAAAACATAATAAAATTTAAAAATTAAAATTATTGTAGTTAAATCATTGATAATAGTTAAGATAATTCAAATGTTTGTTATTAATGTGGCACACTTTCTGTACCGTGCTGAAGATCCAGCTGCACTTGGTGTGGCACGATTCTTTTATGGTAAGTGATTTTTTGTAGAGTCTATTTTCAATTGCTAAAAATATAAGTTCATAATAAATTGTAGAAGTTCTTTTTAAATTAGATAAATAAGGCCACTTTTTAAATTAGTACCAATAATTTCAGGCCTTATAATGCTGATTGACATATTTGAAGAAAGAGGTCTCCATTCATTAGAACAAAGATATGGTGATCCTGATTTATGTATATTTCCACTGTTCAATGATATGCCTGTTTTTCCTCTTGAATATTTATATGCTATGTATTTGGTTATGATTTTGTGCTCAATTGGTATAATGTTGGGTTTCATGTTCAAACTTTCTTGTTTTGGATTTACAGTTATATATTGGTATTTTTTTTTCTTAAATAAAACCACATGGAACAATCATTCATACTTATATGGTTTGCTAAGCATTTTGTGGCTTTTTAGCAATGCTAATTTTTATTGGTGAGAACTTTGTGATGTATATTTAAATCAGTTATATATATATATATATATATATATATATATATATATATATATATATATATATATATATATATATATATATATATATATATATATATATATATATATACAGTAGCGTCCAAAAGTTTGCGGACAGGCAAAAAAATAAAGAATTTTAATTATATTTCAGCACATACTTTACTAAAGCCAACATATTATATACCAATTAAAAGGTTTTCAAATTTACAATTAGGTTTTGAACAAATAATTATTATCTAAATAATATTTTTAAATTGGTATACAAATCAACAGTCTTTGATAAGTTCAAAAATTTGCGGACAAAGCATTATTTTCTAAAATAGTTAAAATATTTCAACAATATTTGATCAAAATTTTTGCAAAAGCAAAATCGCATTAGTATTTTGTAGGATATCCTTTACAATCAAGAATAGCTTGGCATCTATGAGGCATAGAGTCAACTAAATTAATGCAAACGTCAATAGGAATTAAGTCCCATAATTCTTTGATTTTATTAAATAAATCAGCATAATTTGTAGGCTTAATTCCTTTCATTTGACGGTCAACATGTTCCCATAAATGTTCAATGGGATTTAAGTCAGGTGATTGGGGTGGCCATTTCAAAACATTAACTTTACTTTCTTTAAAAAACTCTAAAACCGATTTAGCTGTATGTTTGGGATCGTTGTCCTGTTGGTAAATCCATCCTCTAGGCATTTTATCCTTTGCATATGGTAACATAATAGTCTTACATATATCTTTGTACTTTTCTTGATTCATATTCTCGGTAATTCTATGGAGAGGACCAACTCCATTTCGGCTAAAACATCCCAAAACCATTACATTTCCTCCTCCATGTTTTACGGTAGACAGTTGGTATTTAGGATTGTACCTAGTACCTACTGGACGTTGAACATACCTGATTCCATCGGATCCAAACAGCATAAATTTGCTTTCGTCACTAAAAAGAATTTTTAACCATTTTTGACTACTCCACTTTAGATGTTTTGATGCAAATTCCATTCTGGCGTTACGGTTTTTCAAGGAAACTAATGGTTTTTTAGCTGGGCGTCTTTCAAACAAATTAGCGTGACGTAAACGACGTTTTATAGTAGAAATACTACAATTCATTCCATAGAAACGTCTCTTGTACGTTTAAATCGACAGCTGTCAAACGGGGATTTTCTTTGCTTAGTATTACAAGCTTTTTATCCTGATAACGCGTTGTTTTGCGTTGCTTTCCTGATTGATTTTTATTCTTTGTAGATCTAGTAAGCTCAAATCTCTTCATAATTTGTCCAACAGCAGACTTACCAACTCCATAAAGCTGTGCTGTTTTACGAAACGAGTTTCATTCTGAACTGATCTCAAGATCAATTTTTTTACTGGAGATGAAATACATTTCTTAGATCCCATGATTTCAATCACTTATTTATAATGTTTTGAAATTATTTCCACAAAGTATTTTTTTATAAAATCAACAAATTAACTATTTTGTGGTGAGAATGTTAAAAGCGTTAGTTTGTCCGCAAACTTTTGAACTTATCAAAAATCGCCATTTTGTTAACCAATTTTAAAATGATAATTAAATATTCATTATTTGCTCAAAACATAATTGTTAACTTGGAAACCTTTTAATTGGTATATAATATGTTGGCTTTAGTAAAATATGTGCTGAAATTTAAGTAAAATTCCTTATTTTTTTGCCTGTCCGCAAACTTTTGGACGCTACTGTATATATATATATATATATATATATATATATATATATATATATATATATATATATATATATATATATATATATATATATATATATATATATATATATATATATATATATATATATATATATATATATATATATATATATATATATATATATATATATATATATATATATATATATATATATATATATATATATATATATATATATATATATATATATATATATATATATATATATGTATATATATAACTTTGAAACTTTTTAAACAGAAGGCTGAATAAGTGCGAATTTCATATATGTGAACTGGCATAAGTGCCAAGCATTTTCAAAAACTGGAATAAGTGCGCCAAAAGAACTTGCAAACATTGGCATAAATACCAACTGTCATAAGTGCGAACTGACGTAAGTGCAAAGCAGTTGCAAAAACTGGCACAAGTGCAAGTTAGCATAAGTTCAAATTGGGAGTGCACCAAATAAATTTGCAAACATTGCCATAAGTGCGAACTGGCATAAGTGCAAAGCAGTTACAAAAACTGGCATAAGTATTGCGAACTGGCATAAGTCCGCCAAATAAAATTACTAATATCAACATAATTCCAAATTGGCATTTCGCACTCATGCCAATTTGCACTATTTCCAGTTCACACTTATGTTATACATACCAATGTTAAAAAATTCTTTTGGCATCATTATGCCAATTCACACTTATGCTGCATCACACTTATGCCATTTTTGCAACTGCTTTCCACTTATGCCAGTTTGCACTTATACCAATTCATACTTATGTCAGTTTGTACTAATTTCATCTTTTGTAACTGCTTCCTACTTATGTCAATTTGCACTTATGCCAATCTTTTGTGTGCAATGCAAATTCTTTTGATGCACTTACTCTAGTTTGCACTTGTGCCAGTTTTTGCAATTGCTTCACACTTATGCCAGTTTGCACCTATGATATTGGCTCTAATTCAGTTGTCTCGTTTTGAAAGTACCATTTTTTTAGTAAAAAGTTATTGTAAAGCTTATTTTTTTAACATTTATTTTATTATCTAATTATACATTACATTTTTTAAATTAAAATTTTATTCTGAGCATTGCAATAAGTATACACTTTGGTTATATAACTTCATTCTTAATTTTTGACTATAGGTCTGTTGATAGTTTAATATGGCCATCTATTTATAACAAACAAGTCCCACGTCTCAATTACTTTATTATAAAGTTTCAGGTATTTAACAAAATTTTTTTTTTAATTTTTACACAAACACTTAAAGGGATCTCAAAGTGCAGAGATACAAGTGTTCATAATAAAGAGAATGATAAAAAAAAAATGTTTAAGTGAATTTTTTGAGTAAAACAAAATAAAAAACGTATGCCAAGAAAAGCAAACTCTGTTGTTTTACTCAAAGCTTGCCGTCTCAATGTTAGCCAGTTGCTTTAGGTATTTAAAATATATGTCTACATATGTCTACATATCAGTCTACAGACTTTATAACTTGTTCAAGCGTGTATAAATCCAAAGAGTTTTAGTATATGATGTCGATTTTTTTTTTTTAATGATCAGTTTTTTGTTTTTATTCATATTGGTTTTTGTTATTTTTTTTTTTAAATAAGCTTTTATCATCAATTATTTGACTTTCCTATAAATTTTATAAGAAGCTAAACAAAAAAAATGTTTTTTTTTTTTTTAGAAAAATTTAACAAAAAAAAAAAATTATAGAGCGCGAGAACCAAATAAAATTAGGATTTATATCATACACTCTTAAATAAATACGAGGTGTGTTCAAAAATTAAGGTGACTTTTCAAATTTCGCGGGCAACGTACTTTTGATTATTGATTTTTTTGTTTTGTCATGTTGGTAAACTCTTCCCGAACATCTGTACCAAGTTTCAAGTGTATAGCATTTTTTGTTTGGTTGTGAGAGACGTAAAGGTTATAAGTGTTTTGCATGCTCGGCGATTTTTTGCTGTTAAAAATTATGGATCAAAGGATTTGCATCAAATTTTGTGTAAAAAAATAAAATAAAGTGCTCCAAAACACTTGAAATGTTGACAGTGGCATACGGTGAAACTGTTTTGAGTAAAAAAAATGTTTACAAGTGGTACAAACTCTTTCAAGATGGCTGGGAAGATGCCAATGACGAGCCTCGCTCTGGACGCCAAACCATGTCAACAACTGATGAAAACGTTCAAGCAGTGAAGAAAATTGTTTTGGAAAATCGTTGAATCAATATCAGAGAAGTTGCTGAGGATGTTGGTATATCGCTTGGCTCGTGCCATGAAATTTTTTCTAACGTTTTGGACATGAGATGTGTGTCAGCGAAGTTTGTTCCGAAATTGCTCAATTTTGACCAAGAGAACCGTCGCATGAGCATCGCTCAAGAACTGTTGAATGACTTCAACGACAACCCAGATTTACTCAAAAGGGTCATAACTGGTGACGAATCATGGATATATGGTTATGATATTGAAACCAAAGCCCAATCGTCCCAATGGAAGAGCCCAGGTGAGCCAAGACCGAAAAAAGCACGCCAGGTTCGATCAAATGTCAAAGTTTTGCTCACTGTTTATTTCAATTACCATGGCGTGGTGTATCAGGAGTTCTTACCATATGGTTGTACGATCAATAAACAGTATTATCTTGAAGTTATGCGCCATTTGCGAGATGCAATATGAAGAAAACGTCCAGAATTGTGAAAAAACAATTCATGGCTTTTGCATCACGATAATGCTGCTGCTCACTCATCTTTGCTTTAGAGAGATTTTTTGGCCAAAAACAACCCCACAATCATGCCTCAGCCACCATATTCACCGGATTTTTGGCGCCATGTGACTTTTTCTTTTGTTCTCAAAACTAAAGAAACCTATGAAAGGATGGAGATTTGCAACGATTGAAGAGATAAAGACTGCATCGCTGGAAGAGCTCAAGGCTATACCATAAAGTGCTTATGAGAAGTGCTTTAAGGATTGGAAAAACTGTTGGCATAAGTGTATTGTATCTGAGGGGGATTACTTTAAAGAGGACTAAATAAATATTGATAAATAAATAAATAATTTTTCTTAAAAATACAAAGTCACCTTAATTTTTGAATACACCTCGTATATAAAAAATATATATATAAAATCTAAACTGTTTATCACTTTTGCTTTTTTTGTTTTTCTATTGAAATGACGTTTACAAGTTCTAAAATTTTTAAATAATAAATAATTTTGGTAAATAACATCATTAATTAGAGGCTTAATTCTTTAATTTTTAGTTAAAAAATATTTATAGAATTTACACTTTAACAAGGTTACAGACAGCATTTTATTAATAAAAATATTTATAGAATTTACACTTAACAAGGTTACAGACAGCATTTTATTAATAAAAATATTTATAGAATTTACACTTAACAAGGTTACAGACAGCATTTTATTAATAAAAATATTTATAGAATTTACACTTAACAAGGTTACAGACAGCATTTTATTAATAAAAATATTTATAGAATTTACACTTAACAAGGTTACAGATAGCATTTTATTAATAAAAATATTTATAGAATTTACACTTAACAAGATTACAGACAGTATTTTGTTAATAAAAATATTTATAGAATTTACACTTAACAAGGTTACTGATAGCATTTTATTAATAAAAATATTTATAGAATTTACTTAACAAGGTTACCGACAGCATTTTATTAATAAAATCAATAATTTGTGTTTTATGGCAATAATTCAAGACAGTGATTAAAGTTGTTTGAAAAAAGATATTTATTAATTTATGTTGTATTTGACAAGTATTTTGCATTAAGGCCTGTCTCTTAACATTACAAATCAAAAAATTACCAAAATTGATAATAAAAAGTTTTTCATTAAATGATTTCAGTTTTAAAATTGACTTGATAATGCTTTTGATAATACTTTTTTGCAATCTTGACCAATACTTTTAATCTTGACCAATACTTTTAGAAATAAAATAAAATAAGTAATACATGTTTTACAGACTAAATTTGATTAAGTATATTCTCGCATGATTAAATAAGAATTTTGAGAATATTTGTATCGGATAAAAAGTTTGCCAAATAAATGCTATTAAAAAAACTTTAAGAAAGGTGAAATAATACAACTTAACTTTAAAAGAAAGTTTGAATAATACAAAATAATTTTTTTAACAGAATCTTATTAAAGAAAATAATCATTTAATAACAAATATAGCATAAAAATAATTTATAGCAATAGACAAGCTTAAAAAAACTTGCAAAATTTAGAAAATAAGATAACTAAGAAATTCTATAGTTATATAAGATGAAAATAAAAACTTTTATATAATAGTAACTTTTATATAATAATAACAACAAAATTATTTTTTCTTGGTATACATTTATTATTTTGTTTTGCTCAAAAAATTTAGCCCTAACATTTTTTTTTTATCATTCTTTTTAATATGAACACAATTTAATATGACACTTTGGGATCCCTTTAACGGATAACATGTAAAAAAATTTTGATGAGCAGCTGTAATAACACAATTAACTATGTTTTGTAACATTGATGTAATTTACCATCTAATTTTTGTTGGTTAGTTGTCATTAGGATATCATTAGGATTAACAAGAAGTTGTTTTTACATTTTAGTTGTTCATACTTTACTTCTATGCTGGTATTAAAAAGTTAGATGCTGATTGGACAAGTGGTTATTCAATGGCAGGTCTTGGAAAATCCTGGGTCTTTGATCCGTTTCACTTTTTTTTTTCAGATGAAACAGTTGATTATTTATTTGTTCATATTGGTGGTTTAGTATTTGATCTGTCTGTTGGCTTTTTATTTCTTTATGACAAGACAAGACCATTAGGTATATAAAATATATATTTTTATTTTATTTTGATTATATTTATTATAACAACCTGAAAATTGTGACCAACAAGCAAACCTTAGATCTTTGTAATAGAACACAATTTGTTTCAATTAATGGTATCAACTCAGGACTAGCTAAATCTTTTAATGGTGTTCCGCAAGGCTCGGTTTTAGGTCCATTACTTTTTCTTATTTTTATCAATGATTTAAATGTTTCTCTTAAATTTTCTACTGTTTATCACTTCACGGATGACACCTACTTACTCCTAATTAACAAATCACTTAAAAAACTTAACAAAAATATGAATCACGATCTAGCTAATGTTGTTCAATGGCTCCGCTCCAATAAATTATCTCTTAACTCTAAAAAAACGGAAATTATTACATTTAAATCTGCCAAACAAAAATAAATAAGCAATTAAATTTCAGATTAAGTGGACAGAAAACAAATCCAGTTAACTCTATTAAATAACTTGGAATCAAAAAAGACTCTAATTTATCTTTTGCATCGCATCTTCAAGACTTTGCATTGAAATTAAGCAGATCGAATGGTATTTTAGCTAAAATTCGTCATTATGTCAATCATGAACCTTTGTTTAATATATATCATGCTATTTTTCTTTCTTATCTCAGATATGCTTGCCAAGTTTGGGGACAATCTAAGCAACTTGCTTTTTTAAGACTAACTTATCTCCTAAACAAAGCTCTAAAATTAATTTACTTTCAACATACTAATTCGAACTGTAGCATACTCTATTTTTTATCTTAAAAGTCCTTAAATTGTGTGACCTTATTCAGCTATCAAATTGTCTATTTGTTTGGAACCAAAATCATAATAACTTACCTCTTACATTTATCAACTTTTTAGTTATAGGGAAAACTGTAAATATATTCTACGATCTGCTCTCAACTTTAAAATATCTGTACCTTAATACCGAACTGTTCATTACGGCTACGAATCCATACAACATAAAAGCATACAAACCTGGAACAATCTCCCTTCCCAAATAAAATCTCTTAAATCATTCTCAAAATTTAAAACTGCTCTCTTTAACCATTTTTTAGAAAAATACTCTTTATAAATCTTATACCTTTTTACAACTTATTATTTATAACCCTTACGCAGTGCTTCTATTCATCTTTTATTTTTTCTCTTTTCTATCGTGATATATTACTAATTTTAATATCAATTATTAAATTTATTATTATAAACTGATATGTTTCTATAGTATTCTCTTATCACTGTTGTTGTTATTATTACTATATTTTTATCATAATGAATATTATTGTAATTGTTATTATTGTTGTTGTTATTATTTTTGTTGTTATTATTGCTATTATTATTGCTATTATTATTGCTATTATTATTATTATTATTATTATTATTATTATTATTATTATTATTATTATTATTATTATTATTATTATTATTATAGTATATTCTTTTTATAATCGCTACTATTATTTTTTTTATCACTATAATCACTACTATTACTTTTATTATTCCTACTTGTATTATAATTATTATTACTATCTCCATCTTATTTTTATTTAGTTTGACAGGTGTTTACTTTATATTAGTACAAATTACTATTTGTAAATATCCTTGATGTAACAACTTTATTCAGAATATATTTGATTTGATTTGATTTGATTTTCCGCTCTGTATTTGATATTTATTTTCACATTTAAAATTCTAAAATGTTTGTTTCTAAGTGAGATTTAATTTTTAATTACAAGCAAGAGTTTTATTTATGTTTGTTGTTTTATTATAACTGAATGACAATCATTTACAAAACCTTAGATAAACTGGTAATCTAGAAAAGAAAAAGAAAATCTATTAAATCTACTAATAGTTTTGGATATTTACTATAAATCTCTGCAGTATGAATTTTTTTTCCATCTAGTTATAGTCTATTATATTTCCAATCAATCTATGTTTTTAATTTTAACTAACTTCTCCTGAGAGAAAAACTTTTTAGAGGTTTCTTTCAGAAATTTTTATTAAAAATTTTTTTTTCTTTAAGTTAATCCAAGTTGACACTGTCTCTTCTCGGTGGCCTATAACTGGACCTAATTTTGAAATTTTTAAAATAATAGAATATGACAATTTTGATTTTCAACCTACAACTTTTGATTTTTCATACTTACTACTAATTAAAACATGAACTACTAATTTTCAACCTACTGAATTTTCAACCTACTGTATTTTGACCTACTGTTTTTTCGATCTACTTTATAACTACTTTTTTTCCAGTATGTATTTTATTTGTTTTTGATTTGAATCAGAGGTGAATTTAATCAGCCGTAAAGTACTGGTTTATAATTGAGAGGTCCAAGGTTTGATGCCTTGTCTAGGTATATAAGGCAGCATAAAATTTCTCCTTAAATGCTCTTCCGTGCAGCTCTACTACAAAATCGTTAGGTTTTGTTGGAGCACCTTTATACCAAAAAAGAAAAAAGAAAAAAAAAAAATTTCTAACATTTGATGTAAATGGCAGTATTTTATTCCTCAAAGTGACCTAATGGTCTTATTATAGAGTACCACGGAAGGACATTTAACAAGGATGTTTACGCCTCCTCCCGTACCAATGTCACTTATCTGACCTCTTTTAATATGTTACTCTCGAGTCCTTAATACAAGGTGGAGGTGGGAATAGAAGGAGGGATTTGAATTTTAGTCCAGATCTAATAAACGGAGGTGGGGTAGGGGTGTTGTGAGATTTAATAAAATGCTGGGGAAATTTTTTTTGTTCTAAACTATATTTATCTTAGTCAGTTTGTGAAAACTTCCGATCTGACTCCATTTTACAAAATAAATATTTTTTTTTTTTTAATTTCAGTTTAAAAATTTTCATATTGTTTATAAATTTTAATATTGTTTACAAAACACGCATAAAACTAATTAATTCTACCATGGCTTAAGGTCAAATGTGTATTTTCTAACAGCTGTTTTATCAAAATTTCAGTAGGATTTAATATGGTGATGTTTTTAGATTTGAGATATAATTTTTTGTAATAACAAGTAAAAATTTATAAACAGGGAGGGAGGGAGGAAGAGACTTAATAGCTTGATTGGTTAAAAAAGTTTTCCAAAAATTAATAAATGCCCTCAACTCCCCCCCCCCCTCCCCTCCTTAACATTAAGAACTCAAGAGTACCTTTCCATATTACAAATCAAAACATTTAGTTAATATTAATAACTTCAAACATCTGTTTCTTCTATCAATTGATTTCTAAATAACAACAAAAAAATAAACAAAAGAAAGTAACGTGGCAAACAAAAGTAACTAACATAAGAAAAACAGCTAAATCATCTACAGCACTTCATACTGTTTTAGGTAAATCTACTTCTGATGAAGAATTTGACAAAATTTGAAAAAGTGCTTGATAAAAAGTTAATATCAAGCAATTTTGATATAGCTACCAAAACCTAATATTTTATATGATATTTTATTATTTTATTTCCTAATATATATATATATATATATATATATATATATATATATATATATATATATATATATATATATATATATATATATATATAGACACATACATACATACATACATACATACATACATACATACATACATACATACATACATACATACATACATACCAGGCCTTCTTGTAAGAGGCGTGTGATCACACGCCTTATATGACCACGCATAAAGTTCTTTGTATTAACAACTTGACCACGGCTCTTTGCAAGTTTTGATAATTAGCGCGTTTAAAAAATGCGCTAAAAAAAAACAAAGCAAACTAAAATTAATATAAATAATCCATAAACTGAAAAGAGAATAAAATCCTTAAAATAATATATAATACAAAAATTAACCTAAAAAAATAAAATATTCAAAGAATGATAAAATAAATAAAGGAAAAACCAGAAAAAAAAATCAAAACATTTATTAATTAATGAAACTTAATTGTAACTTAATTAGGATTTTTCAAAACAAACGTATTACTTCAGCAATTTTTTTCAAAATAATTTTGCAATCATTAGTTTTTTATTTATTATAAAAAATACATATTTAATATGAAAAACAATTAATTTCACAGACTTAAATTAATGCCAAAAAATAAGTACTTTTTTCAATAGCGTCACTTTTAAGTAAAATAACTTAATATGCTATAGAAAAAAATGTTTTAGCATGGTTTTTGCATGCGCTCACAAAATGAATGCTTTTGCAAAAACTTCAAAAGAAACCATGCTCAAACATTTCGATTGCTCTCTTTTATTGAGAAAAGCGATCCATAACATTTAACGATGGTTTCTTTTATGTTTTTAGCAATTACATTAAAAGTTTAAAGCAAATGTATTCATTATAAATAAATTTTAGCATGCTTTTTTCAAAATTTTCTTATTTTCCATAAAGTGAAATAATGTTTGTTTGTATATTAAAACTTTTGCACTTTTAAAAGTTTTTTTATTGTGCATTTATCATTAATTTGCGCGCACTTTGCAAATGTGTAAAAAAAATGTTTTTGAAATTAAAAATTGAATAAATTTACCAAGCATCTTTGATATATTTAATAACTTATTAACTAGAATAAAAATTATTTGAATTTTATTTGACATAAACCTCTTAAATTAGTCGTTTGTCAATAAATAAAGATACACAAGTCAATGTTCATTAAAAAAAAAAAAACGATATGTCACACCCTGGGATAAAAAATAGTTGGCAGATGTGATTGTTTCAAGATTATTGTAATTCCTTTTTTTTATTAATTAATTTCTTAATTAAAAATTATATTTCCATGATAAAATAGTTTTTAATCATTTTTTAATAGCTTTTGTACTCATTTTGTCTTAAACTCTAATCTGAATATTTTTTTCAATGATTGCCTTTAATTAAGTTGCATTAAAGTACTCAGGAAATTTTGTGGGAGTTTAGTTGTAATTATGGAATCAATTAAATTAAAAATCGCATTTGTTTTTTTTTTTAGCGCATTTTTTAAACGCGCTAATTATCAAAACTTGCTAAGAGCTGTGGTTAAGTTGTTAAAATAAAGAACTATATGCGTGGTCATACAAGGCCTGCTACCACACGTAGTAAACAGCCGGGGCTGGTATTTGACCAGGGCCAAAGCCGGATTTATGGCTCAGGCTGTATAAATATTGGTGCATACTGATATGATATATAAAAATAAGTCAATATGCATTAATGTTTATGCAGTCTAGTCCGTAGAACCGGCCTTGGCCACAGTCAATTACCAACCCCAGTCGTTTACTAATCGCACGCCTCTTACAAGAAGGCCTGCATACATACATACATACATGCATACATACATACATGTACATTGAGTAATATATCTTGGCGAGTAATAAATACAAAAAACAAACTTGTGTTTTTTTGTTTTTGTATGCATTTAGGTTGAATGAAATTGGCAGTTAATAGTAAAAATAATACAAATAGGTCAGAAAATTTCATAGCCTGATATGACATAGGCTTCTTTTCGATTAAATTCTTGAAACAAAAACTTGTCTATTCTTGATTTATTGTTGATGGTTTTTGAAAAAAAATCCTTAAAAGCACAAGGAAAAAACAGTAAAAACACAGACTAGCAGGTTGAATTAAATATCGCTAATAATTGGGTTGCAAATCAAATTATCGAAAATCGGTTGAAAATTTAAGTCTCTAAAATAGGTTGAGAAAAAAATCTGTCGAAATTGAAAGCGTCATAAATCGGTCGAATTAAAAAAGGCTTATAATCGGTTGAAATCAATTTTGGCCTCAGTAGGACATCTAAAAATTATTTCCACTTTTTAGTAGATATTTTATTTTGTAGATCAAGTTTATAGGTTTTTGTAGGTTGAGCTATGCGACACGCCTCTTCTCTACCATCATTCATATTTTAAATTGGTATTTAGATTTAAAGCACAAAAGATTTGTCCACCTTTTTGAGCGATGCTACTTCTTGACATTTTGCATGTTGTTAAAAATAAATAATAGCATTAAAAATAAAGAAAGATTTCAATTTTACTGAACTTCTGAAATATAAATTATTTCATTAATTAATGGATTAATTGAGGATCTCTTTGAAACTTTGAAAACCAATTTTCTAAAAACTGTTAAATATGGGCAAGTAACTTTTGTGCTTTAAACCATTGATTTTAAATATTAAAAAAAAACTGTAAAGACCTTAAAAAATTTCTTATTTCCTAACATTTATATTTTGTTTATCTTTTTCAAGTTAAAAATAGAAAAAAAGTTAAACTTAGTTATACTAAAGAAAATAAAAATACTTTAAACTAATTTCTTTAAATTTTTGGTAACTCTAAAAAAATTTTTATACAATATTGATAAAAACCATACATAATCACTAATATTTTTTTAATTTTCCAAATCATGATTTTTGTTTTAAAAGATTTGTTGATACAAAGATTAAAAAAAGAGGTTTTTCACCAAGTATAAAAGAAAATGAACTCAAACAATTGAAATCACAGGAAAATGAGGTTGTAAAACATAAAATAGTTTATTGTTGATTGTTTGCTGTTTGTTAGTGGTAAATTCTTACTAGCAACAAACTGTGAAAAATTAAAAAATCATTGTATACAATGATATAGATAATTGGGTTTAAAAAAAAAAAAAATTATTCAATCAAATTTTTTTTTGTATCTTGCTGCATTGCAAGCTATAAATCTAAAATCATTTCAATAATTAGATTAATCTTAAATTTCACAATTTAAAAAAATATTTTAAAAAATTGTTTTGTTGCAAGAAAAAAATTAACTTTAAAATAAAAAAACAGTTAAATAAAAAAGTCAATTTTAATCCTAAGTAAAGCAAAAAGTCATGAAGAACTGAAGAATGTTTGTTATTCATAAGAAAAAGTGACAAATGACTTTATCATTTAATAGATTTATTATTTTTGAAAAACCTGAAAGTTTGTAAAATGGCAAGTCATGCAACTGTGTTCAATGTGACATCAGCAACTTATGTTAAACCTTTTTTACAAAAAATTTTATTTTTTTGCTCAATTCCAGCTCATGATTTTTTTTTAATTATCATCAAGCTTTTAATTTGCATCAAGCTTGTATCTGCAAAAATTTATTTTTTGTAACAGTAAAAATGAGAGAAAACTTGCTTAAACTCTTAAAATTATAACTTGACTGGTTGAAAAACCTTTTACCCAATAGTTTAATCCTCTCAAAAGTTCATTGAAAGATTTCTCTTAATTTTCTGATTGATGTCAATCTTGAAAAACATATTTCTTGTCACTAATATTCCAAATCAAATAAAATCAAATAATCTATAAAATTTTGTCATAAATAGTCTTAAATTTCAATCTTAATTTTGAATTTGAATTGAGGAAAGGATAAACTGTATAGAATTTTAAGATTTTTCTACTATGTTTAAACTACTATGCAATACTTTAAACTATGTTTAAACTACTATGCTGTACTTTAAACTTAAAAAAATATTTATAAGGGAAAATATTTATAAGACATCTGTTAAGTATGCTGATCTTTTATGATTTTTTAAAAATATTTTTTTTTTTTTTGAGCCAAATTTTTGAAGTTATAACATAACATAAGAGATACTTTAAAAAGCTACAAAATCAATCAAAAAATCAATTTCTGTTTAGGTAACCTATAATGATTGCAACCCCATGTAGTATTATATAACTCTTTGCAATATGCAAATATCACTCTGTTCAATAAGAATTTAACAGAAAATGTTTGGAAGCATTATTTTGAACGCACAACCTTTAAGAATAATTGCAAATTAATAAGAAAGTAAAGACGACTTGCAAAAATATTTTCTAGTTTTAACCAATTAGTTTTTGAATTTTTCTAGAAGCTTTCTTTTCAATAATCAGCAACAATTTTTTGTAAATTGGTCAAAAATTGGACTATTAGACAACATTCAAACAACCTATGCAAAAATTAATATTTGTTGAAATTTTTCTACATAAAAAACTTTTTTTTTTAAAGAAATATTATTAATTTTTGTATATCACCTTTAATTTGTTAATTTTCTATGTAAAAATAACCAGTTGACCTCGTTCAAATTTAATTTCAGATTTTATATTTCTGAACCTAAGTATTATACAATTTTAAGTTTCATAGTTGAAGTAAAAATAAAAACAAATCAGAAGTTTTAATAAAAATAAATTTTTTGAACCACATTATTATGTTAGTAACACCTTACAAGGGGGTCCAAAAGTTTGTGGAATGGAGGGGATGGAGTGGGGATGAGGACCGTCGCTATGTGTCATACTAATTAATGACTCATCATTAGTATAAAAATTTTTGTTTCAGCTCTGACACATTCGTTTACAAACACTTGCCTGCTAAACAAGTCAATTTGGAAGAAAACTGAAACTATGGAGAAAATTGAACACCATACTGTGATAAAATTCCTTACCAAGCAAGGAAAGAAGGCTCAGACCATTTTGAATGAAATGGAAACAGTTTATGGGGAACAGTGACCTAGTAAATTAATGATTTACAAGCGGCATGGTGTTTTTAAACATTGTCTGGAGTCGATTGAAGATGACCCCTACAATCTTCTTCAATGGACTTCCAACCATGTTTAAAAAGTCAGTGCAAAATGGGAACCAAGAATGCTCAGACCTCTTCAGAAACAGCAGCTTGTTGATGCGGAAAAACAATATTTGGAGTTGTGTGGAGACAAACCTGCACAGATTTTGGTGCTGATTGTTACCGGAAATAAAACATAGGTTCATCACTTCACTCAATTTAAGTCCAAAAAAGAGTCCATGCAATGGCATAAAAAGAGGACACCACTGTCAAAAGAAATTTAGAGTATTCGAGTCGGCTGAAAAGTTGATGGCTACTGTTTTTTGGGATTGTAAGGGGATATTACTCATTACAAAGAAAAGAGAAGGAACATAACCAGAGAATACTACTCAAAAATATGAGAAAAAATAAAGGAGGCCATTAAGGCACATTGTTGATAAAAATTGAATAAGGGTATGTTGCTCATGCAAGAAAACACGCTGGTTCACAAGGGAAGAGTTGTTCTGCACAGATATGGCTTCGAATCACTAGTACACCAACCCTACAGTCCAGATCTGGCACCAAGTGATTTTTATTAGCTCCCCAATTTGAAAAAAGACTTAAATGGAAAAAACTTTTCTGACGACAATGAGGTAAAGTGGGCAATTTTGGCTCGTTTTAAAACAAAATATAAAAAATACTTTTATGATGGCATAGAAAAATAAATTCATAGCTCTAATAAGTGTATTCAGCTAGATTTGTTGTTTCATTTTATTTAAAACCATTTCATTCCAGGAAATTTTGGACTCCCTCGTTTATATGGCATTTATTGTTTGTCACAGTCAAAATCTTACTTATCTTACAACACTTTAGTCAAATTTCTGATGTTTTTTTAAATATCAAGCTTTTACTGAATTTACAGACCAATTAACGTGTGTAGACAAAAATCATCATTCAGGTTTTTACGTTCAGAATATTTTAGAATATTTTTTTTAAAGATGACTTTTTTTAGTTGAAAGATTTTTGTTTAACATTTTACGGTAAAAGATAATATAAAAGCACAATATTATATATTTTATTATTACTTCAGGTTACTTCCTTGCTTATTTTTTCCATGGTATGAATGCAATCATCTTTAATATTGGGATGTTCTCTTACATGTGTATGGCAATGATTCCAATATTTTCCGCACCAAACTGGCCCAAAAAAATAATTGGAAAAACACCTTGGTTTATAAGGTTGTTACTACCAACTTGTAGTTCAGCTCAAGAAAATGTTGAATGCACAAACACCAAAACAACACATCATACTGAAACTTTAAAAAACATTACTAGCTTTAAAAATGAAAAAGATTGTGATTGGTCATTTACAATGAATAAAGCATTTAAATGTATCTTTTTTACTTTTTATGTTGCTATACAACTCTTCCTACCCTTTTCTCATTCAATCACAAAGGTATTTTATGTGCATTTTTTTACCTATTTAATCTACACACACATATATATATATATATATATATATATATATATATATATATATATATATATATATATATATATATATATATATATATATATATATATATATATATATATATATATGTATGTATGTATATATAAGAAAATAGCTTTTTTTTACTTTTTTTAAGGCCTAGAAAAAGTGAAAATAAAAGAAAATGAAAAATAGTTGAGGAAGATTACTTTTTTTCCATAAAATATTTTTTCAAGAAGTTTTTTAATGCTTGATATTCAGGGATATAATTCTTGGACAGATGGTTTGTATGGGTATTCATGGGACATGATGGTTCATTCATGGAACACGCAACATGTGGTAGTCAAAGTTATTGACGATGTCACTGGAGAAAAGCAATATCTTCGACCAGGAGTGAGTTTTACTTAAAACTTAAAAAAAAAACAATTACATACCAATAATCAATATAATCATAAACAATAAACCAATATTTAGGGAAAATATGAAAGAAAACCATACTCATCATTCAATATACAATGTTATAAACAGTAAAATGTAAGAACCACACACAGTGACTCAAAAAATTATCCGACAAACATTTTTTTAAATATTTTTCCTAAAAAAAGTGCTGTATTTTTGTATATTGCGACTTTTTTGGTAAACTCAAGATTAATAAAAATAAAAGTTTTTAAATTTTATTATTTTAGTGTAAAGTATGAATCACAAAGTTTTCAGTCTTAAAATAAAGGAACTTTTTATTGTCAAAAAAATATTCGACCAAACATATTTTTGTTCTATAATAAGTTATTAAATAACAAAACAATTATTTTAATACTTTGTAGGGTCTCCCTTTGCTTGGATTACAGCTTCTAGACGTCTAGGCATTGCTTTGACTAAAGATTTTGTTTCTTCTGGTTGAATCTTTTCCCAGGCTTCTTTAATTGCCACTTTGAGGTTATCTTTTTTGGAAAATGACTAATCTCCAATTTTTCGGTCTAAAACTTCCCACAAATGTCCAATGGGATTAAGGTCCGGTGATTGTGCGAGCCATTCCAAGATGACTTCAAATTTTGCTTTAAAATGTTTCGAGCAGATGACTTCAAATTTTGCTTCAAAATGTTTCTGTATTGCACCTGATCCATTATAGTATCAATAAATTGGAGTTTTCCAACACCCTTCCCAGCCATTGAACCCCATACCATCACGTAACCACCACCATACTTGACAGTTCTCACGCAGCTTAATTTGTAGGCTTCTCCGGCTTTTCTCCAAACTTTTTGGGCTCTATCAGATGACTTTAAGTTGAATTTTGATTCATCACTCCACAGGATCTATTTCCAGAAACTTAATGGCATGTTTTTGAACTTAACAAAACTAGCAAACTCCAATCTTCATCATGTGTTTCTTACTCAAATATGGTTTATTACGTACAATTCGTCCTTAAAATCTCTGGCATTGGATACGATTTCTGATTGTCTGATGGGATAATTTAATTCCATAATTCTCTTTAGCTAGCTCAGCCAGTTTTCGAGCAGAAATGGTTTTTTTTTGACTTAAGTTTCTATCAAAACTCTTAGAAGTCTTTTTTTTTGCGACCCTGTCCTTCTTTTGTGGCTGTTGTTCCGATCAAATTATACTTGTTCATTATGTCGGGTACTGTATTATGCCGAATTCTAGTCTCTTGCTGCACCTGACGATAGGTTTTACTCTGATTGACTAGATCGACAATTTCTCTGAGAAACAGTGATGTCTACCTCCAACCATTTTACTTAAAAAAATATGAAACCTTTTTTTTATACAAAACTTTTTTTTTACTACAAAAAAACAGTTTTTTGTTTTGCAATTTCAATAATTTGTATAAAAATTTGCTGAAATATTTCAACAAATTTTACATAAAGTTAATTAAACTTACCTAAATATCGCTTGATCAGATAATTTTTTTACAAGCCTATTCAATACTAAGTTTCTTTTAGGACAAATAACAAACCAACTAAAGCATGAATCAAAAAATATGAACGCTAAATAACATACTATTCCCAATAGAATTAAAATGACAGACAAAGTAAGTATCGCTATTCATTGTTTTTAGTATAATTTAGAGCGTAAACAATTTTTTTTTGTTAAAAACTTGTTTGGTCGAATACTTTTTTGAGACACTGTAATATAACAATTTTCACTACATCTAATAGTAATGAAAAATCTTATAATATACATACATATATATATATATATATATATATATATATATATATATATATATATATATATATATATATGTATATATAATATATACATATATGTATATATATTATATGTACGTATGTATATAATGTATATATATATATGTATATAATACATATATATATTGTATACATACATACATATATATATATATATATATATATATATGTATATATAATATATACTATATATACATATATGTATATAGTATATATAATGTATATATATATATATATATATATATATATATATATATATATATATATATATATATATATATATATACATACATACAAATAGTATTGCGTACTAAGGTAAGCAATCTGACGTTATACTAAAATAGCCTGCTGCTGGGGGCTTCAGTACATACATCCACTGACAAATATCCTGACTCGCAGTGGAGTGCTGCTACATCGACTGAGGGTTTGGGATGGGGCAGCAATTGTTTCATTCATCATTCTTCATTTTTTTTCTTCTTTTTCGAAAAAAACGGTATGGCTTAAGGTAAACAAAAAAAGTGAGCAAATGCTTATCAAAACACATTTTAGTAAGTGTATGTATATATATATATATAAATATATATATATATATATATATATATATATATATGTATATATATGTGTATATATATATATATATATATATATATATATATATATATATATATATATATATATATATATATATATATATATATATATATATATATATATATGCAAACTGTGTCTATAGTTATTTTACATTTAGTACAAAAAAGTAATAAAAGTAAAGTACAAAAATCAATAAAAGTTTACAAAAAACTATAAAATTATAAAATAATTGACTTGAACAAAAACATTTGTGCAACTTTTAGCCGTAGGTTACAGGTGTAAAACACACATAAGATTCTTTGTAAAATCTTATTGTTTTTCTTTGTTGTGCATAAAATAAAAAAATGACTTAGCTATGTTAAATCATAAAAAAACCATTGGAAGAATTTTGCTAAAGCCAACTTTTTGCAATTTAAAACTTCTCCTTCCCAAACAAGAGAGTTTTTTTTTATTTAAATTTGAATTCTATTGATAAATTTTGATTTAAGTTAAAATTAAAAAAAACATTTTTTGTTTAGCACCAATATGAAAATAAAAATTTAGAGCTAAACACATTTCTAAAGTCTTAAGTATCTAAAAATCTTTGTTTCACTTATAAACTAATTTCTTCAAAATGTTTCTTTGTATATTTATCTATTAGGATTACTATTTAGTTTTGAGAAACAAAAAAAACGTTTGGTAGTTTTTTCTTTTTTTAATAATAAAAAATTTAATTTTATAGCAATGCTTATGTAACAAGAGTTTCTACAACAACAGAGAGGAGAGAGTTTTTACAACAACAGAGAGGAGAGAGATTCTACAACAACACAGAGGAGAAAGTTTCTATAAAAACAGAGGGGAGAGAGTTGCTACAAGAACAGAGAGGAGAGAGTTTCTACAACAACAGAGAGGAGAGAGTTCCTACAACAACAGAGAGGAGAGAGTTTCTACAACAACAGAGAGGAGAGAGTTCATACAACAACAGAGAGGAGAGAGTTCCTACAACAACAGATAGGGGAGTAAAAAAAAATTTTTTTTCAAATAGACATTAAGGATTCACATAAACAATTAAAAATCTTGAAAAAATTTTGAAAATGTGTTTAGAATTTTTTTTGTAAAGCATTTTTTTTAAGGCATTTACAAGCTCAAAGAGCCGAATCTTCTCGCATCCCGATATGATAAAGCAGTATGCTACATGTTTATCTAAAAGATTGACTGAAGTTCCTGATCTAAATATAACTAGTCCAAAGATTTACTTTGATGTTTGGACATCACTAAATAAACGTTATCAGCAAAGAAGAGTAAGTTCAGGGGTTTTTTAAGAATTTAGCTTTATTTGATAATTTTTTTTATTAGTGTAATTTATGTTTTTTATTCAGCTTGACCCACGCGTTGATTTAGTTAAAGCACCATGGTCCCCAACAAAGGATACTCCCTGGTTAATGCCCCTGCTTGTAGAACTTTCACCATGGCGTGCACGATTAGAAGAATTAAAAAAAGTAAGCTCTGAGAAAAACTATTCAGATGTTGTCTTTGTTGCTGATTTTCCAGGTTTATCTCTTGAAAACTTTATAGCTGAAGATATTGAAGCTAACATTACTGTTTTAAGTGGTTTGGTTGTTATTGAGGCAAATGGTAAAAACGTTACACTTGCTGCTAACGAAACTTTATCTCTTCCTGAAAATGATACCCACATAGTTTATACAATTTCCAAAACTCCATCTTGTTATATGTATATATCACACAACAAAACATGGGTAAATATGACAGATGATGACTTCATTAACAGTGATGAAGGTATCTTTTATTTTTATTTAGTCATGTTATGACCAGTCAAAACTTCTATTTATTTATCTTTTATTGAATTTTTTAAAACTTTATTTGTAGTTGATTGCATACAGTAGTTTAAAAATAAACAAATTAATATCAACACTATAAACTGTATCAACAACACATTCACAAACATAAAAGTCTTATTAAATAAAATGACTCAATAATTTAGTAACAGCAAACATAGCTTCTTTTTTTTTTTTTTTTTAATTCACCTCCTCAAAGCCGAGAAGGCCACTACAGACGAGGAGGCTACTTATTTGTGGCTATAACCCTCTCTTAACTCTATAACTCTGAAACACGAACCTTGATAAACAAGGCCGCTGCGCGGAGAAACGAGTTGAGCGCGGTACTACCAGGGACGTGGTGAGGATTAATTTTGAATAACATATGGATAAATATTGTGAAAAAAAAAATTCTTAAGTATTGTAAAAATGTCATGGTAATAATAATAAGTTCAAATGCTACAAATTAAAAAAAAAGTTTCTAATCTAAATACATTAATTAATTCCAAATACAAACCTTGACGAACAAGGCCACTGTACAGATAAGCAAGTTGAGCATGGTACTACCAGGGACATGGTGGGGATCAAACTCAGAACTTCTTGCCTCTAAAGTGAGTACCCTACCACTAAAACACTCCAGCATACATATATATATAGAACGCTTAAACTTTTATGGTTAGAGTCTTTGGGTGGTAGCATTATTTGTTGCAATATCTAAGTTGAAATGGTAAATTTTTCTTTATAAATAAACCCTTTATAAATTTAGAGTTTTTACTATAAAGGGATTTACTTAAATCGTTTGAAACTGCAAGATTCAAATATTGATTTTTGAATTGTTGTCTAACTTTAACATTTCATCCAAAGACAATTCAAACCTTTTATGTAATTTATGTAGTGCTTTTTTAAGAATTTTATTTATGTAGCTGTCATGTATTTTGAGAAAAACATCCAAATCAGCAGTATGAAAAATTAGCCAATATATATTAGGGTGCAGTAAAAAAATCAAAATGCAAAAGCAACAAAAAGTTGTCTTATGGTATGCGGTCAAATTTATAAAATTTTTAAAAAGTTAAGTTTTTTTAATAAAAATGTCTGTTTTAATCATAATTTTCAATAATTTTTATAATTAAAGAGTAAGATGTCCTGTCAAATATTATTTGAAAAAATTAAACCAATTGAAAAAAACAGCATATAGTTTGTTGAAGTATTTTCATATTTGATGAAAATAAGAATATTTCAACCATTTATTGTATTTACTAACTTGTCACGAAGACAAAATTTATAACTTGTAATATATGTACAGATACTTTGCAGACAGATTTATTTAGTTGTTTCAATCAGGGCTGTGGAGTCAAAGTCAGAGTTGCGGAGTTGCAACATTTTTAGCGGAGTTGGAGTCGCTAAACAAAGTCATGACTCCGACTCCAATAGTAAAACTTCTCGGTATTGCACGTGCATGTATAAAACATTCAATTAACTTATATTTATACTAAACCTCAAAGAACCTCGTTTCATAAATTTGTCAAAAAACTTATTTTTAACTTATCGCATAATATTTTTTAAAAAATTCAAAAAAATTCAAAAAAATTTTGCTTTGGAGTTGGAGTCGGAGTCGGAGTTGTACTCAAAAAGTTTCAACAACTGGAGTCGGAGTTGTTAATTTTTTTTACGACTCCCCACCCCTGGTTTCAACCAAACAGGTGAATTAACTTTTATAAAATAGTTACCTATGTCATGAGAGATAAATTGATAGATCATTGCTTGTCACATACAGCCATAGATGTCTATTTGCCATTGTTAACTATCAAAAATGATTTAGTACACCTGGAGTTTTTTTTGACAGAGCTAGTAGAAATGTGTGAAGCAATTTCACCTTTTGATATTGCTTCGCATATTTTCCACAAATGTTTTTGATATGTGATTAAAAAACTAAATTTGCAGATATTGATAAGGAAGTTTGTTTGCATGCTAAAAGCAAATCAGCAGTTGCATGGTTTGTTATATTCCTATTATTTTAATTTATATAAAATGTTTACTTTTTGTAAACTTTTCATATAAATTAAAAAATTATTTATATTTTAACTATTTCGTTTTTTTTTTCATTAATAAATTAATAACTTCCCCAATAAAAAAATAAATAACCCGTTAAACCAATTTAACTTGCATCACATAAACTTGCCATGAAGTTTTTGAACTACATGGCAAGTTTATGTGATGCAAGTTTATCAACATTACTAATGCACATCGCACAATGCACAACAAGCGGAACCTTAGGAATTTTGCAATTCTGAAGCACACATTTACAGGTACAAATGTTAAATAGTTTATGTCTTGCATTTGAAACTGTTCACTTTGCCATCATAAGCTCTGATTGATGTTTTGCAAGATTGTTCTGTACTTATCATAATAAGAGCAAATCACTATCTGTGTATAATAGTTAACCAGTAGTGATGCTTTTGACCATATAATTTCAATATTTACTGAAACTTTTTCAAAGATAGATTTTGATTTAAACTGATGTTTCATAAACTAGCATATAATGTTAGTGTTTTTCATTATATCTTCATACGTTGGTGAAACAACTTGATACATCTCTTTTAGCATGCCAAAAACAGGACAAGTCATCATCATCCTCGTTCTTACTAACATAGTAGCCTGTAAAGTTATATTTTTCTACAATAAACAAACTTTCCATTAGATTCATAAGTAATTAATAATTCAGCAAACCTATTCAAAGTAAGTAAAATGTAGTAAAATATTATTTATATACTAAGAAATATATTGAGACATTAAGAAACACTTTTTACAAATAAGGAACTAAAAAGTTAAAATCATAAAGTTTAAAAGCATAAAATTTACAAATGTTAAATGTGTTTTTTATATGTATTTTCATAAAAAAACTTAATGCGCATACAAATTAAATACTCATTAAAACTGTTGCTCTACACTAAAGCAACAGATACACTAAACTTAATAAAACGAAATACTATATGTTCAAATAACTGAAAATTTTTATAAAAATTAAAAAATAAAAAACCAATTATGTCTTCCCAATGTGACATTAGAAATAAGTTTTAAGCAAATTTGGCGCTTTGGAAAAGCTTAAGACATTTAATTTTTAAACATTTATTGAACAATTATAAAGTTGAAAAAACCATGTTAAGTTAACATGGTTATTTATAATAGCGTACATATACAATATAATAACGTTGTAGCTTTGTAACGTTATAATATAATAACGTTGTTACTTTGGCCCCCTTGAGGCAGCTGAAGACATCAATATTTTGAGGAAATTTTTTTACTTACTATTTCAATATATATAAAAAAGCAACTTTTTGTTGCTATTACATATCAGTTATTTACTTTTTATATTTTCTCCTATAATTTCACTGCACTCTAATGTAGGGGAAAGTTGCCGAAATTGGAAAAGCGCCTTAATTGGAACACTTGCATTTATTTTTGAAAAAAAATAAATTACGGCTATATTTTGCATTTTTTTAGTAAAACGCATTATTTTCTACGCTTTGACACAATTTGAAAGTTATTCCTCAAAAAATACGTTTGCTCCATTGATTTAAAGTTTTTTTGCGTCATTTTTTTCAACAATCTAATTTTGTGTTTACACTATATTGATTGCGCTGGGTAAACTATGGTGCTACAGGATATACCGTTTTTTGAGTTTAATTCGATGGGATTTAAAATGCAAAATAACAATATAAACTTATTTTATAAGTTGCTGCAAGCATGTTATTGTAGTGATATAACAAAATAGTCGAAAGTTTCCTTGATTGGAACATTGAAGTTTTCCTTACCTTTATCAGTAATAAAATCAAAGAGTTGCAAAAGTAGTTCGAGTGCAATTAAAAAAATACTTGGTAACAACCATAAACCTTAAAAATACTTTAGTGATTTTTAATCAATAAATTTAGAGAACGTCATAACAGTTGAAGATTTATACAATTTTTTGTTTGTAGACTTTAAATTTATCAGGGTAATACTAACCGTATAATAAGTTTTGAATTAGCTGTTTAAATTTTCACTGTAAAAATAAAAATCATTTTTTACAAGTTTTTGTTGATTTCACCGGATTTTTTTTTTTTTTAATAACCTGTTCTGATGAAGGAATCAAAGTGTTCCAATTTAGGGAACCAGTTGCCTTGATTGGAACAAAATGGTAACTTTGCAAAAACAAATTTATTTCCAATAACAGTGCAATCAATTAAGTCAAATTGCGCTTAAAAGTATAGTAGGGATGTCTGATTGTATTAATCAAATCATAAATGTTTTCATAGTTAAGCCAATTTTTGGTAATAAATATCTATTCCTTAAGTGTTCCAATTAAGGCAACTCTCCCCTATATGCGTTGAAAAATACAGTAGTTTATAACAAAGAAAATTTCTGATACGAGAATGGGCAATTCATTTACTATTAGCTTTTCCGCATAGAACTTTTATGTAATCGCTAAGCATTAAATACTTATCAATTGTAACCCCAATTAGCTCAACTTTAAAACAAAAATATCGTCCTTACGAACCATTACAAATTGATTGCTAAAAAAGTTTTGGCCGATTGTAAGTAATTGATATTATAGTTAAATATAAACCTTGCAAAGACGTTTAATGTTACGTTTTGCAGTCGAAAAATAATATTCTCTAAGGTCACAAAGATCGAAAGTATTATCTTTAGCAAAAATTGAAAATCTTGTAGTCATTAATAAATAAGGTCGTTTATAAATCTATTGAAGAATATTAGCCGAAGGATTGATTTATGAGGCACCCCCGATGAAACTTCAAACCATATAGAATGTGATGAACCCAATCGCTTCGATATGATAATAAAAGTCTTTCATGTGAAAAGCCATAATTAAAAAAATTAATTAAATAAACTTTCGATTTGGCTGTTAATAAAATGTGAGGTCGATAAATATTCACATTCTCTATTGAGAAAATGTATATATATATATATCATCTTATGTAAATATGCTTCTGTTGGGCAAAAGAATAAAATTGTATAACTTCAAATTTCAAATTTCACAAAAGTAAATAAGTTTTTATAATAGTATTCATTTGGTTGATTAAGATAAACTTGAGTTAGCACGTTTTATATTTTTTATTATAAAAATATATTTTTTTTAGAACTTAAGAAATCCAAATTAGCAAAGGAAGAATGGAAGTCGAAGACGATTTTTGAAAAGTTGTTGTGGTTTTTAAATAAAAAATATCGTTTATATAAACAAGATGTGTATCAGATTTATTTTGCAATGAAAATGATAATTGATATGGGTACAACTGTAGACGATAAAGTACTTAAGAACGATGAACTTTAGCTTTTGTTTTTAAATTTTTATAAATTGGTTTAACGGGTTATTTATTTTTTTATTGGGGAAGTTATTAATTTATTAATGAAAAAAAAAACGAAATAGTTAAAATATAAATAATTTTTTAATTTATATGAAAAGTTTACAAAAAGTAAACATTTTATATAAATTAAAATAATATTTGATAATAGTATTGAATGTATCACTATTGAAAAAATAATTTTTAATTTAGGTAAAATGTTTTTTTTTTTTTGTTTTTTTTTTCACAATTTCAGTAATTTCTAATGTTTCGGACTTAAATATCGCGCTGAAGTAGTTTCTGAAGTGACTGAAGCATTTAAGTTTCTGATATAATGTTTTGAGTTTTTCTAATAAAACTAATTGAAAAAAGGGCGAAATTTTTTTTAATTTTTACCAATATTATATTTATAGTACGTTTTTGAATAACGTTTTATTTAGTTACGATTCACAGATTTGAAAACCTTTTTAATAAAATTTTAAACAATTTTGAATAAAACTAGTGTATCTCGCAGGCTTTAACCTCTAAACATCAGAACATATTGTTTATACATAATTTATATGTACTCCACTGAAGCAACGGACACGCAAAACTTAATAAAACGTTATACTATATATTCAAATAGCTGAAATTTTATATAAAAATTTAAAAATAAAGAACCAATGTCTTCGCAATGTGGCATTAAAAATGTTTGTATTAATTCGTACAATAGTTGTTGGTGCAGGAACAAAAAGATCTTGATGTTATAACAAGATTTGCTGGTTTCTTTAATTTATATTAATTAATTTTGAAGTTAATTTTGAAGAAAGTTAATACTTTATTTTTAACATAGATGTATGTATGCATGTATATTTGTGTGTATTAATACGATTCTTTTACTTTCCATTTAATTAAATTAATCACCTTTATGAGTAACAGAGCTCGTTGTTGCTCTTCAGTTGTTCTGAGGAGTATATTAAAACCTTTGAAAAACATTTTTCTTCAAAGAAGAACATTAAATTTTTTAAATAAGAGTTACACTTTGCATTTCTTTGTAATTGTGTACCCAGTAATCAGTAGGCCATGGAAAACTTGAATCTTTTTAAACTTTAAAATCTTTTTTTTTTAATTAACATACAGACAAGTTTTATACTACTGGTGTAAGACAATTTTTTCATAGAGCCCCTTTAATAATAACATAGCCCAAATGGCTTTAACAAGTTTAAAATAAAATTTTATTTTGTAAAATATATTACGTTTAAAAAATAAAAAAGCCGTTACAATATAAGCATTAAAATCTTTAATCAAACATGATGCAATTTTATTTATCATTTAAAAAAGGAAATGCTTTTCAAATCTTTTATCTTGTTATTTTTCAATTGATTTTAGTAATGACGGGCCTTGGTTCGTAATTAAAAAATTATGTAAATATCAGTATTTGAAATGAATTAAGTTCTGATGAGGGGATTTTTAATCTCTTTAAGAAATTAAAAAAAATAAAATCCTAAATAAGAAACAATTTAGCTACCTAAAGCAATATTCAACTGAACACGCTATTTTAGGTCTAAGTAATAATATAAGTGATTCTTTTGATTTTAAAAAATTTGTTTTAGGAATCTTTATAGATCTGTCAAAAGCGTTTGACACTGTAAACCTTAACATTTTACTTAAAAAAAAATGGACAACAAAGTAATATTTTAGATAAATATAAACACCCTAAAAAAGTTAAAAGTAGAATATGGTGTTCCTCAAAGTTCCATTCTTGGACCCCTACTGTTTCTTTTATATATTAATGTTTTAGCTAAAGCTTCGAATAAACTTGATGAATGTTTGCGGACGAAACTAACTTATTTTATTCAACGTCAATTAAAGACCTTTTCGAATGTATGAATAACGAGCTTGAAAATCTGAATATCTGGTTGAAAGTAAACATACTATCTGAAAAACTAAATACTGAAAAAACTAAATACATATTGTTTCATTTTAAAAAACAAAGAATTTACGAACCATATTTCCCTCATTAAATGTACCAATCCTACTTTTAAAAAAAATAGATCATTTAAACATTGAAATAATTAGACAACAAAATGTCTTGGATTAATAATTGCCATAACATATCCTGATAAACCCATATAAATATATACCTTAAACACCGAAATTTCAAAAAGTAATTATAAAATTAAATATAAAAAAAAGTGGGATACTCTACAAAATAAAATCTATGTTATCTCAAAATAATCAAAAAATTTTTATTTTTCCTACATCCATAGTTACGTGTGCTAATATTATGTGGACAAGTACCCAAAAATTCAAATTAAATTATCTTCATATTAAACAAAAATACGCGTCAAAACTAGTTAACAATCAAAATAAACTTACCCATGCTGAAAATGTCTTGAACGCATTTTATGTCTACCAAATTAATTAATGTCTATCAACATATTCTATTTATGCTTAAGTATAAACTTGGGTTCCATCACATTTTTCAAATAATATTTTTCAAATTAACAAGAGAAACATGAAAATTTACATTACCAATTAAAACAACGATTCTCTATTTCATACCGGGGTCCGTACCTTTATAATAAAATAATATTAAAAATATAGAACTAAAAACAATAAATAATTTTAAAAAAATACTAAAACACTTCCAGAACCAAAATGGCTATTTTTATTGTTCATAAGATTTCTTTGAAGCCAACGATTTTCTTTTTGTATAAATGTATCATAAATTCGTCCACATTGTTCTACAAGCAAAAAACAACAAGTTCTACAAGCAAAAAACTTAAATTTAAGTTTCCCGCCAATTTATGCATTTTAGTATTTAGTAAAAGTCATAGCAAAATAAAATTTGAAACAGTGTAAAGAAAAAAATTATGTTATGTAATTTAAAATGTTTCTGATATATTAATTTTATTATATTGATGGTTCTTAAAAACGATAACCATGAAAAGATTAGATCTTATCTCAAATTTACGTAAATTAGGAGTGGATAGATTAAAATTATGGAAGGATTTACTAAAGAAATAAAAAAATACTGAAGAAATTCGCAAAACTTAAATAAAGTAAAGCTTGCTTTAGTTATATTTATTTCAAAGGTGAAGAAAAACTAAAACATGTGGACGAAACGATGATACATTTATACAAAAAAAAAATCGTTGGCTTCAAAGAAATCTTATGAACAATAAAATACTCATATTGGTTCTGGAAGGCCCCATAAACAGTGGAGTGTTCTTGGAGAGCGAAGCAAAAGAAAAAAAATAAAAGAACTAGCGACTGACATCATGAAGCTCTATTTTTAGCTTCTGCCAAAAGTGCAAATGCTGCTGGAGAAAAAAAAAAGCCTCTATTTTAAAAAACAATATATCTAATGTTTTAGAGAAAAAGTTGATGAAACTTTGGATAAAACTTTTCCCATTAATTCGAGTGTAGAGGAAGCTCTTGCATTAAAAATAAATACTGATCTCAGCGATAAACATTATCAAATGATCAGAAACTCAGCTCTTGTACACAGTGTACATATTTATCCTATCTTGCACGATATTTTCGTGGAAAAATTGAATATACATTTTTCTGAAATTTCTGCAAAGAGTACTCTTCAAAGCATGTTAGATCACACTGTGAGTAGAGTAACTGAAATGATTAATATGCCTAATTTTGGTCAAAGAGACAAAATATTTGGAGTTTTATATGGAAAAGATTGGTTTTGATGGAGCATCAAGCTAAAGTATTTATAAACAGAAATGCGATACAAGCAACGCAAGTATAGAATTTAAGGATGAAGAAAAACTTTCCAGTACAGCCCTTTGTGCCTTTATTGCTCAAACTAGATAGCGAAATTTGGAAAAATAAAAATCCTTCAAGCTGTCACTTTTGTAGACCTCTTCGTCTACAATATAAAGAAGAGAGTTCAATTTTATCCAGAGAAGAATCAGATCTAAAAAATCAAATAAATACCTTAAAGACGTTTGATTTTGAAGAATTTTGACTTTTAATTTCAGCTATAGGATTGATCTTACAATGTTTGATAATAAAGTAGTTAACGCACTTACAGAGACAAAATCCACTCAATCCTGCAATGTGTGCAATGCTAAACTCAAGGAAATGAACAATATTGATTTATTAAAAGCAAAAACTGAGAATGACTTGGCTTTGGGGCTCGGAATTTCAGCTTTGCATTGCTGGATAAAATGCTTAGAATTTATCCTTCATTTGAGATACAGTTGGAATTCGGTATCGAACATCATTCGTGCATATAGTATTTTTTATTTTTTTAAGTACTCTATTTTAAAATCATTTTTTGTTCCTTAATGTTACAACTTCGTAATTACATATTAAAGTTTCGTTAACAGTGAATATATAAGTAACAACAAAATATCACAAAGTGATTTCACAAATAATAAAATCACAAAGTAGTTTCACAAATATTAATAAAACTTCACTGTAACACTGTAAAAAGAACGCGGAAAATTTGTAGAAGACTAAATATAGTCTTATCATCAAAAACCGCTTTACATTGCCATACATGTAAAAACATATTTACAAAATTTTTACATAAAATCATTACATTATAATGGATTTAAAATCAGATAACAAATATCCAAGTATATTTATAGCTTCTTTTTTTTTTTTGCTAATGCAATGTTCAAATATATCTATGTATACTAAAAAAAAAAAAAAATATTTAAGAAGCAAGCAGAATAAATTTAGAAAAAATGAGTAATAAAATTTTTATACTTTAAAATGCTCTTTTTAATAGTTTTTTTTAAGTAATTAAAGTTTTTTGAATTAATATTTAACTTAAGTAGTAAAAACGCCAGATATGAGATGCACGATATGAGATGCACGATAAGTAATTTTAAATTGCTCAAGCTTCATTTTTGCATGAAGGCGCTAATAGAGTATTATGTGAGCACATTAATATATATACTCTGGTTCTTGTTTATAAAGACTATAGAAAACTGAAGGACTTTTTTGCATTTTGCTATTATATATGAGTATTGGAATATTATACACATTTAGTTCAAACAATGTTAACAAAGACAAATGTTCTTTTTTATTTTTGAAATTAATATATAGCATATAAAATAGCGTATAGCATGTAAATTGTACTCGTATAGCATGTAAAACTCGTATACCATGCAAAAATGTAAAGGTTTAGAATGTTATTTTCTATTTATAAAACTAATCACTTGTGTATCATCGCTCGTATCACTCGTGTACCATCGCTCGTATCACTCGTGTACCATCGCTCGTATCACTTGTGTATCATCGCTCGTATCACTCGTTACCATCGCTACCAAAAATATTAGGTTTAGATCTGAGCTAATTTTTTCCAATCTTTGATTTTTCTTTCTCAATATTTGGCATATTGTTCTTTATAGATCTTTTTTCTTTCTTCATCTTATTACTTTCTTTTTACTAATTAATGGTTTTTAATACCAAAAAGTCCCACAAAATTTAATCGTAGTGTCACAATACTACGTCTAACATAAGCTCCTTTAGCTCATACGTAGTACCGAAAGCAGCAGTTTTCTTGACATTCGCAGTTGATTTGCAGTTGTTTAATGATTCAATTTTTTAAACTCGTAAATTTTAATTCGTGTATGCTAAGAAATGCAACCATCTTTTATTAATTAAATGTCTTTAATCAATTATATTTATTATGTAGCCGGAAACTTTTGTTATGTTAAAGTTATTTCCTATATCTCATCTTTATCATGTCCTATACCAACATCCTAAATAGATTAAAAATCATTTGTCTTTAAGTAAATTAGAGTACAAAATGGGCGGAAACATTTGAACAAGAGTTGCCTAGAGTAAAAGCAATTAAGATTCTGAAAAAAAAAGTCATTATGTTACAGATCATTTTAAAGTATCAGAAGCATAGATAAAAAAAAATTAGCAAAACTACTACCTTGGTTATTGTTTCCATTTCTCTAGACTCTGTTCTATGTTCTATTTTACTTAACAAGTGTTGGTTGAGATAGTCATTCAGTTCGTTTCCAGAAAGAGCACGCCAATCACCAAAAATTTCTTCCTCTCTAGACTGTACCTATATATATATGCATAAAAATATATAGTATAAAATAAAACAAATAAAATATAAATAATTATGTAAGTAATAAAAAATTAAAACAAATATTAACAGTTTATTTGCATCAAGATTGCACTGAAAAACAAAATTACTTACCCCTATAAAAGAATCTTTTATTGCAACAATATGATTTATGTTATTTTCCTTGCAGTAATTTTGAATGTCTTCAATAGTATAACTTTGTTCAGAGTCATAAGAGTATAAGACAGCACTAATACCTCCAGCCCACAAGTCACGTATAACATTAACTAACGAGTTTAAATTAGTAGAACTGGTCAATGAACAAACAACAACACTGCAATTACTGATGTGTGAATTCAAAGATTTTATTTTATCTTTACGCGCAGCATGTAAAAAATACTCAACTTCTAAACTGACTCCAACTGCATGAGGTAACGTTGATTTAGCATATTTTCTCAGCGATTCAATTTGTTTATCATAACATCCTCCTACAGCTAATATGTTTAATCTGCGATATTTATGCTTTCTCTGATTTTTTACTACATATTGAAATATAAGTCCTGAATAACAATTAGAATTGTGGATTAGTGATGTACAAATGTGAACAGGAATGTCAACGAACATGTTTTTTAAATGTTTTATAAGTTTTTCTATTTCAGAAAACGCTTGTTTAGCTAGAGTACTTATTTCTGCTTTTGATTTGCATAAAATCTGTAAACTCTCTTTTGCTTTTGCTAAACTTCCTTCAAAAGTAAAACAAACTAGCAAGCGTGTTATAACATGCTCTGGAAGGTCCAAGTATATAAAAAAATCTTTTAACATTGAATTTTGCTGTTTCTTATCAATGACATGTTCAAGTATATGATATACTTCTTGTTGAGCTTCTTTACTAAATCCATTTTGCAAAAAAATTGCTTCAATGAACTTTGAATGATTAAGACGAATGTATAAATTTCTTTGAGTTAAAGATGGAAACTCCTTGATTATTTCATAAACACTATACATAATTTCTGCTTCTGGCAAGAAGCTTGAGAATGAGTTTGAAACAATATCAAAAGAGCAATCCCATGATTCAACTGGATGAGCTCCTTTAATTCCAAAATCTTTATATAATTTGCTAAAACAATATCTACGAATATGGTTTATTTTATTTCTAATAATAAATCTTGAAAAACTAAGTCTAGAATCAACTGGAAGACATAACTGTAATCCACTAGGATCCAAAACACAAGCAAGATTATGAATATTTTCATAATTTTTTCCTTTAGGTGTTAGTAAAGGTGTATCAATAAATACAGCTCCATGTTTCTTAAATATATTTGTCATAATGCTTTGTACATATTGCAGAATGCGAGCTTGTTGTATTGTATGATTTTCGTTTTTACCAAACAAATCTTGATCATATATCTGGTCAGAGACTGGAGAAACATTTTGAGTAAAAAATGCTGATATTAATCGTTGATATCTTGTTGAATTCTTTTGAGATAATGTGTGTGTAACTATCTCATCTAATTGACTGTCTTCAATCCTTGGGGGTAAATATCCGCTTTCCATTAACTCCAAAGCAGTTGGGCGGGAATCAGGGGAGTGATTGAGAAGCCAATTTATAAGAAACTTCTCTTTTTCATATTTGTTATCAGTAAAATCTTGGGGAAAAATGATTTCATCCTGTTAAAATAACACAAACCAAACATCAATAAACTAACTTCAAAACTCAACAACAATATTTTCATATGCTTAAGCCAGCCAATTAACATTCAACAATCAGTTTATTTACTTAATATCACTCACCTTTCGAAGTAAGTCTATAACTTTAACTCTCTCCATAGATGTTTCAAAATGATAAAACATTTCAAACAAAATTATGCCCAAACTATATATATCAACTTTTTGTGAAAACCTAATAAAACTATTTGCTTGTCCAAGTTCTGGTGCGACATAAAGAGCTGTTCCAACATTTGCAGTCATTCTACTATCATTACTCAACATCCTATAATCATTTGAATAAGTTGAGTCACAAGATTGAAAGAGTGCTGCTGCATCAAAATTAAATGAGGCATGTGAAGTGGCAAGCCCAAAGTCACCAATTTTTATTCTGTCTGTAGAATCCAAAAAAATGTTTACTGGCTTTAAATCACGATGAATAATACCCTAAAAATTCATTAAAAGCATTTTCATATTTTGTTATCTTCATTGAATGTATTTTCATATCATATTATCTATATTGAATGTGTTTTCGTATCATATTATCTACATTGAATAATTACACATGCAAATAATCAGTAAAGTGTAAATTTTTATTCAAAGAAATAATCAGGTTATTTTTCTAAAAAAAAAAAAAATTTTTTTTCAAAATTTCAGACCTAACAAATTTCGTTTTGTTGTTTCTTTGAGTAAAATACTTTGAAACTATCAATTTGTATATTGTAATAAAATATTTTTAGCAAAATAAAAAATAAAAGATTTAAGTTTTATATAAACCTGGGCATGAACATGAGCAATGCCTTCCACAATCTCCCGAAATAACTTCCAAACTCTCTCTGGCTGTTTGTATAATCCACCTTCAATAGCAGTGTTAAGTGTTTGCTTTTCACAAAACTCCATTTGAATATATAAAAACTGAGGAGGAACATCTGAACTTTCGGATGTAGAAGTTACATCGTCAGATTCCTATAATAATTAATAAATAAAATATTCCTAATAAATAATATTAAACTGTTTTAAATAAAAAAGTAAAGAATAAAATAGTAAAGTATAGATATAAAAATCATTTTAAAGATATTTAAAAAAAATCTTAATGTATTAAAACTTTACAATAACATAAAAAAAAACTTTTAAATTTCTTTTTTACTTGCATTTTATTATATCTACACTTTTACTTTTTAAATCGCGCTTGCATTTTTTGAATAACAACAAAAAATAATCATGGAGTAAACTACATATGAACCACCTTGCTTACCTCTAAATTATTCACTAATATCTAAAGTCACAAATAATGTATTTAATTCAACAACTAAACACAATCAATATAATATAATTGAATAATTGTATTAAACACAATCTCAGCTCATAAACTTATTAGTAAATTAGTATAATGCTATAATATGATATATACAGTATAACAACTTTGATTAAAACTTTATGGGGAAAAATAAAAGTTTAAATTATGAGATTATTGAATTATTTATGATTGATTTTTTAGGATGACATTTCTTTGTGACTTTTTTAAATTAAGGAGATTCAAATGAGAAAAACCATCATGCCTTGTAGGATTCACTTTCTGAGCAAAGGCTAGAAAAGTTAACTTCTTGTTATCAATATTATCTATGTATCTATTTTTGTCCTTTATATAGTTGGAGCTGTTTTAGTTACTGTGTTACCTCATCTGTATATATGGCGGTAATATTTGCTTGTGTTCTGTTCAATCTCTGTTGCAGTGTTCTGTTTGAACCTCTAGCAAGGTGTACGCTCACCCATAAATTACTATATGAATGTTTGTGTTCCATCACCTTACTCTTTGTTCTTTATCATTCTGATTTGTCTCAAGACAGCACTCTTTTAGAACTTTTATTTAGATAAATTGACCAAGCCCTTTTACTTTATCCCTCTTGGTGGCTTGACTCTTACACCACTGACCCTACTGGCACTAAAGTTCATAATTTCTATATTTTTTAATCCCTTACTTAAAAAACTTTGTGACTTGTTTTCCAGACAACCTTAATCACTCCTTGAACTGTGTTTTGTCTCTAACCCTAGCTTCTGCTCATTTTCTCCTTGTTTTTCTTTAGGTGGTTCCAATCATGCAATGATCTCTATAAATCTTTTATCTTGTACTTCTTCATTGGGTTTACCCTATCATTGCACTAACTACTACAACCCTAAAGCTGACTAAGTTTCTTTTTGTGATTTTCTTCATAACAATTATTGGGCTGATATCTTTCGTTTCTCTGTTAATGAATGCACCTCCAATGTAATCCCCTGGATCTAGGCAGGTATATTGCTAGACACACAAAACCACTTGACTTTTATTGCTAAACTCAATTCTCAATTAAACTCTTCTACAGCTTGTGGTTCAGCTAATTTACAAAAGTGTTCTCCAGAATTCTCACTAAAATATTTAACAAATGGTTGACTGAATCTTGTTTTACTGCCTGCTGGAAAACGGCATATGTGGTTTTAGTATTTAAAAACTCTGGAGAAAACTCAGACCCTTCCAACTATTATCCAATCAGTCATCTCTTTATTATCAGCAAAGACTTTGAATTTTTAACCAACAAATTTCCAACTGCTCATCTTGAGTCTGATAACTTACTCTGACAACTGTTGTAGCAGAAAAGTTTTATCATGCATAATATGGAGGCGGCAAAGCAAAGGCTATTGCTCTTGACATATCAAAAGCTTCCGATAAAATTCAACATGCTGGTCTTCTCCATAAACTTGCCTCATGTGGTGTGTCTGGAAAAGTTTTTCGTAATTATTAAATCATTCCTTTCTAACCACAGTATTAAAGTCATCCTCAAAGACCATCTTTATTTATCTTACATCTGGCTCTATTTGCTGAAGCCCCTTTATATGTTGTAGTGGTGTAGTGGTAAATTGCTCGCTTAGTAAGTGAGAAGTTCTGAGTTTTATCCTCACTACACCCCTGGTAGTAAAGAGCTTAGTTACTACGAGGGTTAAAGAGTTGAGAGAGGGTTGTAACTGCAAAAAGTAGTAAATAAAGTAGACTTCTTAACTGTAGTGGCCCTCTCAACCTTGGGGAGATGAATAACATTAAAAAAAAACTCAACTTTATACACCTGGCTTGTCAAAAAGTCCTCGCTTTTTAATCGCTTAGAACAAACAAATCAAATATAAAATCAAAAGTAATTAAAGTGATGTATTTTGTCTCCAAAAGAATCATGACTATATTTCCTCTAATATGTATAACAACAAATAACAAAAAAAAAAACTTATTGATTAATGAACTACTTTTCTCTCTGGCAACCTCACAACTTTTTTTTCAGATCACAAAAAAAGCTGTCCGTGCGCATACCAAAAATTTACTATTACCTGTACAAAAACTTTTTACTAATAACAAATATTTCAAAATCAATAAAAACTTTTTACTAATAACAAATATTTCAAAATCAATAAAAACTTTTTACTAATAACAAAAATTTTCAAAATCAAATTTTTGTTTCAATTCTTGAATTGAAACAAAAGTTAATTTAATAATTATTTTGTTACTATTTAATATAAACTATTGAAAATGAGCTGTTTATCTCAAAAGTTACAAGACCTAAGACCTAGATTACTTAATATAAAATGTTACTATATGTGAAGTGAATTTTAAATCTGTTACAATATACTTAGCATAATAATAATAATATTAATAATAATAATAATAATGATAATAATAATAATAATAATAATAATAATAATAATATAATAATAATAATAATAATAATAATAATGATAATAATAATAACAATAATAAATAAATTGGAGGTGTCCCAGATAGCGCTTTTTATGTATCCGATTAAATAAAAGATAACGGAAAAAATTCAAAATTTTCTGGCCAGATATCAGATAATTTATAGATAATTTATATTTAATACTATGAGCTGTGTTTTTTTTTAATCAAAATTTTTCACCACAGTAAACATTCTAAAATAATAATTGCGCTTCATAAAACTATATATAAACATTTATTGAATGAATAAAAGTATATAAAATGAAATACTTAAACAAACCTAAAAAGTCTGTAGTTTTAATAAAAGTAAAAAGCTAGTTTCTCTTAACAAATATAAAATGAACACTTAAAAGATTTTTTAAATTCAAAATTTTTTTAACTTTTATTTATATACTTTTTATTTAGTACTTAAACATTATTAAACTTTAGATTAATTAAAAATATATATAAACAATATTCTCAAGTAAAAAAAACATTTTTTTAAGAAGATATTTTTAAAGAGGACTATATAAGGTGTGGGGCAACAATTTGAAGCCAGTTTTAATGAAAATATAAAAATAACAGTATTATTTTTATTGACATCATCTTTAGATGATCTTTTTAATGGTTTGTAGAATGCAGCCCTCGGAATTAGGGTTAGCATTTGGCAATGCCAACCTAGAAGTGTTTTAGGTCAGCAAAAAATCGTCGACTATTTTTTATGGTAAAACCATAATTATCTTAATTTTTAAAGATTTTAACGATTAAGACTTTAAGGTTGCAGCAATATTTAAATAAAGTTTTTTTCTTATTACTGATAAACATGAAACATTAGACATAACCAACTGAATTATTTATTATCTGATCTGGATATTATCTTGCCAGATACTAGATAATATAAAAATCTGCGATATCTGGCCAGATATTGTATCTGGGACACCCTTAATAATAATAATAATAATAATAATAATAATAATAATAATAATAATAATAATAATAATAATAATAGCAATAATAGTAATAGCAATAATATTAATAATAATAATAATAATAATAATAATAATAACAATAACAACAACAACAACAACAACAACAACAACAACAACAACAACAACAACAACAACAATAATAATAACAATAATAATAATAATAACAATAATAGTTATATCTTTTTATCAAATGATTTTTCTTTTAATAACAATAATAGTTATATCTTTTTATCAAACGATTTTAGAATCATCTTTGAAAATAATTATTCTCTAAATAAAAACTATTCATACATCTGAATCAGATGAATTTAACGAGTCATCAATTTCATTATTATGAGTAGACTCTTTATACACTGCAGAAAAACTTGGACTTTCTGTATTTGATTCTAATGGTAATTGAACATCTGCTTCAATCCATGAGTTATAATACCTATATGAGTAATTAAAATTTTAAGAGTTTTTTAGTATAGTTTATACTTATATTTGAAATTAATAGAACTTGTTTCCTATTTACTGTAATAAAGCTATTGAATTACTAAGTAAAAAAATATATATATATAATAAAGATAATGAAACTTATAAGATAATTGATCGATAGAAGATAAAAAAGAGAAAAAATAATAAGAAATAATTTTCAGAAAAACATTAATATGGTAGTGGTAAAGTAGCAAAGTGTTCACTTAGTAAGCATGATGCATAAGGTATAAATTTAAAAACCAACCTGTCCCTGTAAGTGAGTTTGTTAATTAACAAGTTATATATATATATATATATATATATATATATATATATATATATATATATATATATATACATACACACACATTTATACATACATACACACACATTTATACACACATACACACACACATTTATACACACACACACACACACACACACACACACATATAAATGTATATACACACACACACAAAAATATATGTATAGCAGTCAAAAAGTTTCTTCTATTAACTGTTGTTTTAAATCGAATGCTAATAAACCAGACCAAAAATTAAAAACTTGAATAAAGTCTTTTTTTAATATTACAGAGGTGTGAAAATTAAGAGACTGGACTAAGTTTTTTTTAAATGAAAATGGTTTTTATATTCTAAAAGGAATTTATTGAACAATTCAAAGTTACATTAATGTTTTGTATGCATGCCTTTAACCTTTAGTAACTTGGTAACCATGCATAAGCTTAGTGGGTTGCCAACACTGTTATAAACATAAAGGTGGTCAATCAGCTATTGTAAGGAGAATTTTTGCTCTAAATACATTCATCAAAACAAAAGCTGAAGGTGAGTTTTATTAAACCAATATGGTTAACCATTAACATATTATTGTTTATTTGCTATAACTTCTATTTTAAAATGTATAATATGTCTGATTACAAATTGTTTTGTTTTTTTCTACAGATTTTGAGGTTATGGTGAGAACCAAAAATCTTTTACTAGAAAAGTTGCTGTTACTAAAACATTGCTTGAAGAAAAAACGTATTCACAATGAGAAATAACTTCAAAACTACAAATTTTACAGAAATCTGTAAGCCGTATCAGCCAGGATATCAAAAATGGGCAAGATTACAATTCTGCATGACAAGGAAATTGTGGACACAAGTCCAAAGTGAGCCCAAGAACCCAACGCAAACTTATCCATATGGCTAAAGTGAATAGAAGAGCCACTAGTGAAGACTTAAAAGAGTCCTTGGAGAAGTATGGTATGGTAGAAGTATGGTAAGTATGGTATATTTGCAGCTCTACGATTAGGAGAAGGCTTATTAATGCAGGTCTTCCAGCACGTCGGCCAAGAAAGAAAGCCAAAATAACAATGGCAATGGCTAAAAAAAAGGTTAGGGCCCATGAGGTTAAATCTTGCTTTGGAAGTGATTGGAGCAAGGTGAGTAATTTAAAAATGTCAATAGTTTTTCTTACACATGTTTCTTTAAACAAAAATTTCTACCTTAACACCAACCAACCCATGTTTCTTTTTCTTTCACACTTAAGCGTCAATTTTCAAGATCTTTTCATTACTCATCTACCAATTCAGGTCAATACTCAGCTGTGTTATTGCAGTCTGTTATATTATCTGATTACAGGTCTGCTTCTCTGATGAATTCATGTTTTCAATATGTAATGAAAGCAGTCAATATGTGAGGAGATCTTCAAACAAAGAGTTTTCTGAGACTTGTGTTGCTCAGACTGTGAAACATCTTACTACAGTTATGGTGTAGAGTATCATCTCAGCCAAAGGCACAGGGCATTTATATATTGTTGAAGGCATAATGAATCAGCACCAGTATAAGAAAATTTGGACAAGACTGCTGCCCCAATTAAGAGACTGGTTTCCTGATGGAGACTGTGTTTTCATGCATGATGGTACACCATGCCATAAAGCCAAGTCAGTGACAAAGTTTTTGACAGAAAACTATGTACAAACATTGCCATGGCCAGGAAACAGCCCAGATATGAGCCCCATACAGAATTTATGGGCAGTTGTTAAGAAGAGGCTAAAGAAAACCAGCATTACCACAAAAGTTTAATTGATTGAACAACTTATGAAAACATGACACCATGATGAGGAAATAAAAAATAAATGTCTTTCTTGTAGAAAGCATGCCAAAGCGTATAGAAATGTTACTTAAGGCTAAAGGCATGCATACAAAGTATTAATGTAACTTTAAACTGTTCAATAAATTCCTTTTAGAATATAAAACTATTTTTATTAAAAAACACCTAGTTGAGTCTAATAATTTTCACACCTCTGTAGATTGCTTGCCCAAATTAAAATCTCAGTTGATGTAGTGGCACTTCCTTCTAACAGCAGGCTATAAAATAGTTGATGTAGCAGCAGGCTATAAGATAGTCGATGTAGCAGCACTTTCTTGTAGCAGCAGGCTATAAGATAGTTGATGTTGTAACACTCTGTGCATGTTTTACAGTAAAAAAGCAACATTCTATGCATGTTTTACAGTAAAAAAGCAACACTTGTTGCATGTTTTATCTATTTGTCAGTTGATGTAGCAACACTACTTGCATGTTTCAGGCTTGGACAGGAATGGCGTACAATCGCACGCTTTGTTTGACGACACATGAAATAATTTTTTTTGACAATTTAACCACAGTTGCTTTGATGTTTTGACAATTTACTTTTTTTTTTTTCCAGCGCATCAGAAATGCGTTAAAAAAACTAAACCAAACTAAATTAGAAAGAACAATTAAAAAAGAAAAAAAATCCTAACAAAAGAGAGAAAACTAAAACTAAACTAAAAAAAAATCAAACTCAAGGCAACAATAGTTTTAAGTTACATTACAAATAACTTTTATCTTTTGTTACATTTTTTTAAAGAAACAAATTAAGCTATTGAAGCATTTCATTGCAACAAGATTTAGTTGTTGTCAGACTGGACCTTTGTACATTTGTCTTAACTAGACTGCTAAATAAACAATCTAAAAGCATCACAATTCAGGCTGTAACCTAAATATATATATTTTTAATCAAGTCCATTGGATTATTTTACTGTAACATACATTTATAAAATAATATATATGCCTTATATATATATAACATTACATATTATATTACATTATATATTTATATTTCTTTTTAGTTGTGTTTTTTGAATCCAATAAATTTTATTACGTATTGGAATAATAACTCTTAGATGGTTTTTTTTCTTAATTCAAATTTTGCATTACAATTAATTCGTCACTTTATTTATATTTGCTTCACACAAAACTTCAAAAAATTTATAAAAAAAGTTTCACACTTTTTCATGTTGTAATGTAAAGTAATTAAAATAAAAGATTAATTTAAAAGATTATCATCTTAAGATAAAAATATTAAAAAAATACTTCTAAACATTTACATTTATCATATACAAGATTATTGGCTCTCTCCGCAGAGATTTTCATTAAACATAAGCCTGTAAACATAAGACATATTACTTTAAAATCTCTGCGCATGAGAGCAAACAATCCTAATTACTAGCTAGCTTTTACACTTTAGTTTAGAGCTACGAGTAATTTTTTCTTGGAAATGAAGTGGTTAGGATAGGGTTAATTAAAACTAATTAAATAGTGTTAAAACTAATTAAATAGTTTAACGTTGATGTCTTGAATGAGAAAAACTTTATATGCCTTTCTGAATGTGCTTAGAGGGTCAAATTTGAGTCCTTCTTTGGTACTGATGATGTCACGATTATAAATTTTTATTTTATCAAACTAAAAAATACATATTAACATTAAACTCTTGAGAAAACTTTATAATAAATAACTACATTTTGAGAAAAACTTGGAGACAATTCTAAAAGAGCTTTGAGGGTTAAATTTGAGCCCTTATTCGGTACTGATTAAATCATGCTAATAAGTTTTTTTTACAAATATATATATTTACATTAAACAAAAGGTATATATATATATATATATATATATATATATATATATATATATATATATATATATATATATATATTTATATCAAGAATCCTACTTTCAGTAGAAATGCCAAAATCTACTAAAAAGTGTTTTCAAAGTTGGTTTTGGAAGTACAAAGCATAAACAGCAATATCTGTGTCAACTGTGTGAATGCAAACAGTTTTGAAACCAATAGATGCAACATGCTTAGAGCACAAGAATACTTTTTTATCAGCCTCTTCTTGACTTGTGTGCCGTGATACAACTTATATATTTATATAAATATAATTTTATAATACGCTACAGAAACAGAAATAACTTATATCAAGTAAATAAATAAAACAAAGTATTAATTTATTAGAGTTGCTGATTGACTTCTTTAAGCACGTTCAAATGATCTTATCAAGCCAAATTAGTATTGGTCTGTCACAAAATATATTGTGGATCCTTTCAGAATTAGATTTAAAATAAATTCTGAAATATCTCCAAAAGTTTTGAGTTAATTGTTAGCAAGCTTTTAAAGAATCATCATTCCATCAAAAACATGTACAGCACTTAGAGAAACCTGTAAAACAAACTCCTCAAAGTGCTTTGTAAATGTAGTATTTTGGTAGTATTTATTAATATTTTTGAATGACAAATATGTTCACAAATGAATTCGGCTTTCGGCAACTATTTCAAGTTAAACTGTTAATTGAATGAGAGAATTTATCTATACCTATATTAAAAATAGTTATAAGTAAATTAACTAAGGAAGAAGGTTCATCTTGTTTTTTTTGATGCCTTTTCTCTTTTAGACAAGGTGCAAAAACACATTGTAGACATAGTTGGACCTGCTCTTGCAGCCAACCTCAAACCATTACCACATCGTCGTAATGTTGCTTCTCTCTCTCTTTTCAAAAATACTATAAATGGGCACTGCTCTAAAGAGCTAATGTCTCTGGTGCCACCTACTAAAATTCATTCTCGTGTTACTTGTCACTTAATTAAGTCTCATCCTTTTACTGTGACTGTTCCTAAGTGCTTTAAAAACTCTTATTTAGCTAGTTTTTTCCTTGAACATTAGTTCTTTGGAATTCACTTCCTACATCTTGCTTTCCTGATTCATATTATTTGCAAAGTTTATTTTGACCTCTTTTACTAACTCTAGCACAAAATAGAACTTTTTCAAAAAACTGATGCAGAATTTCAGGTGGAATTTCAGTTTTAACTCTTAATAACTAGTTTTCATTAGGAGTTTTCAAAGTATGTTTTTTATCATAGACAAAACCTCCTAATTTTTTTTGTTTTGCTTTTCCCACTTTTAATTTACCTGATCTATCCTTTTTCCAAGCTGAGATTCTGCGCTCAGATGAGAATGCATCATCTACATTGACCTTTTCTGCTCTTTTTTTCCGATGTTGTAGAATGTTTAATGTTTATATATTCACATACTTATCGTAACATCTTTGATGAAACAAGAGAGTTGTTGGGCACTTATCAGGTAGAATGTTTATGATTATGAAAGAATCATTATTTTTTCTGTACCATTGTCTTAGGCAGTATATAAAGAAACAAATTGAGTTTACATTTAATTTGTAATTAACCAAGCATTCTTCACTTTCGCAAGTACATTTTCAGTAAAACCACCCAGTTTGTTATTATTATGACTCCTTAATAAAGTATGTAAGCAATTTTTTTTGAAGTATGCAAGCATTATTTTTAGGAACTAGATTAAGATGCTTTTTTTTTTTTTGCTATTTGTCATTATTTACTTTAATAATAAAAAATAAATTTAAAAAAAATACGTTTTTTTAGTAAACAATTTTTGAAAAATTTACATTTTTTAACGTAACCAAAGAACGGGAACCAATTTTCTTTTTTAGATTTATTAAATTAAAACTATTTTATAATTTAACACAATATTAAAAAACAGTTATAAACAAATTTGTTTTTAATTTTATTTGTGAAATTTTGATTACATAGATTTGAGTAATTATACTTAAAACATTGAATTTTACAAACTGTTATCCCCTGTCAATAATTTGTAAAAACTAAATTAATGCTTTATGGTATTCAATTTATAAACAACATGGCAAATATTTTATACTTGAAATCTTTTCAAAAAGTTGCATCTATTTTTGTCTCTAAAGTTATAAGCAGTTTCCAAGTGGCATGTAAAGATTTTAAACTTTTTGAGTTATATGGAACTTGAGAAGTTTAAACTTCTTAAATTCCATGGAAGTCTGTACAAAAATAAAAATGTTCACTCAAAATATTTAGTTTTCCTTTTTTTTCATGTAGCAACCAGACTACTTTCTTTAACTAGCTATTAAGTCATCTTACAGCCTTTATGGATGAAAGAAAAAAAAAAAGTTACAAATAGCATTTTGAACATTTTAAATAAAAATTGTCTTATTGAAACTATTATTATAAGCAACTATTCAATTTATTTAAAAACATCAGGTTTTAAAAAATATATATATAAAAAAGTATTGAGTTTATTAATTAAACTATAATTAATTATTAATTTAAATTCACTTAAAAAACAATTTTTCAAAAACAAAACATTTAAAAGATTAAATATAAAAACATAGAAAAATATTTTCTAACCTATACATTAATTAAAAAAAACATGCTTGTAAATATAATACAAAAAAAGTTAAATATTGGTTGGAGATTTAAATAAAATGAAAATCGTTGAAGTATTTTTTAATTAAAAGCCTTCACATAATTTAAAAACTTTACCAAAGGTCAACTATTCAAAGTTGTTTCGCCATTCAAAAAGTTTCTAGCTTATTCATTCCTTTTGTAATTAAAATTCAGTTAAAAAATAATCAAAAACAAAATATTTGTTTAAAAGATTTAAAATCAAAACATAGAAAAAATATTTTCAAGCATTTAGAAAAAACATAATTACATAAATAAAAAAAGTTTCATAAATGACTTAAATATAGTTTGTTTATTTTAAGCAACCATTAGAATTTGTTATTTTGTCATAACATAACATAAAGGCTTTAAAAAAGATCAACAATATAAAGTTATTTCTAATGTCATTTTGAACAGTTTTTTTTTCAACGCATTTCTGATATGCTTTATTTGTTTAAACATCAAAAAAACTATTATCATTTGCGTGGTCAAACAAAGCATGCGATCTCATGCCTTTCCCGTATGAGCCTGATGTTTTAAAAATATTATAAAAAAACAAAAACACCATTAAACTAAACCAATAAAACTTTCTAGTCATAATTATTGCATTTTCTTAAAAAAACAATAAAACTTAATGTACTTTAGCATTTTAAAAAATTGTTTCAACTTGAGCAACATTAAAATGTGGCTTAATTATTGATGTTACTTAAATGTTAAAAAAACATTTGTCATTAAAGTCTCTTTTGACTACTATATAAGGATATATATATATGTATGTATATTTTTTAGTGAATAAAGCAATATTTGCCAAAAAAAAAAGTCCTCAATTTTTAATTTGGGCGGCGCCCAAATACAGTCGATGCTGTTGTAAACGGTCTAGAATAGCCCCTATATATAATCATTTGTATATATACATACAAATGATTATATATATATATATATATATATATATATATATATATATATATATATATATATATATATATATTTTTATTTATATATATAAATATATATATTTTTATTTATATATATATATATTTTTATATATAAACGGTCTAGAATAGCCCCTATATATAATCATTTGTATATATACATACAAATGATTATATATATATATATATATATATATATATATATATATATATATATTTTTATTTATATATATAAATATATATATTTTTATTTATATATATATATATTTTTATATATAAACGGTCTAGAATAGCCCCTATATATAATCATTTGTATATATACATACAAATGATTATATATATATATATATATATATATATATATATATATATATATATATATATATATATATTTTTATTTATATACATATAAATATATATATATATATATTTTTATATATAAACGGTCTAGAATAGCCCCTATATATAATCATTTGTATATATACATACAAATGATTATATATATATATATATATATATATATATATATATATATATATATATATATATATATATATATATTTATATATATATATATATATATATATATTTATATATATATATATATATATATATATTTATATATATATATATATACATATATATATATATATATATATATATATATATATACATATATATATATTTATATATACATATACATATATATATATATATATATATATATATATATATATATATATATATATATATATATATATATATATATATATATATATATATATATATATATATATATATATATATATATATATATATATATATATATATATATATATATATATATATATATATATATATGTATATATATATATATATACATATATATATATATAAAATATCTCAGCAAAAAAAATAAAAAAAAAAAATTTCTAGAAAAAATTACATGGATTAAAATTTTAGAAAATTAAAGTGTGCAACATATTAGGACAATCGAATAAATTTTTTAAAATATCAAACAAATTACTTATCAAACTAAAACTACCTGACTACATTTTCATGATTTAATCTTGATAAAAGTTTAACTTCTCTGATAATACGTTTGTTTAAATGTGAACTCTTTGAGTTCAATGGTATCCTTTTAACTGCATAAAAATTGCTGTCTAATTTGTTTTTTGCCTGAATAAAAAAAGACTTTCATTCAATAAAATCAAAATTAAAACAAAGTTAAAAAAATTAATTACTTTAAATTTTTTTATCATTTTTGAATTTTGATTCAAAATCTTATACAAAAAAATATGTTTGTAGTGGTGTAGTGGTAAAACACTTGCTTGTGGTAGTGGTGTAGTGGTAAAAGACTCATAAGCGAGAAGTTCTGAGTTCGATCCCCACCACGTAGTACCGCGCTTAACTTGTTTCTCCGCGCAGCGGCCTTGTTCGTCAAGGTTCGTGTTTCGGAGTTATGGAGTTGAGAGAGGTTATAACCACTATTAAGTAGCCTCCTCGTCTGTAGTGGCCTTCTCAGCCTTGAGGAGGTGAATAACAAAAAAACAAACAAAAAAAAATTTACTTAACAAACATAACATGATTCAGGTCAAGTCAAATCCAAACCTTAAAAACACTTCCAAAGCCTCCTTTACCCAACCAGTGAATGTCTTCAAACTCACTTTTTATTCTTGAATTTCCTAATACTAGTTGTTCATTTGATAAATGCATTTTAAAATCAACTTTATTTGATTTACCATACGTATGTTTAGAAACATTCTCTTGCATGAATCTTGATACTTGAACGGATGATAATTTTTCACAAACAAATTTGTGCTGAGCTAGTTCATTTAAACTTAGTCTTTTCTTTTCATCATCAGCAAGACAACTAAATAATATTTACAGATTAGAACTTATTTCAATATCAGATATCTCAACAATATGCTATACAAAACCTTTTAAGAAATGAATTGAAAGGTTCCATGATAGTGTTAGGAATAATTATTGGATAACCATGATCTAATTTTCCTGTGTACAATGATAGAAGTATTAATCCCTAAGTAGAAAAAATAAATAAATAAATAAAAACGATATAATTACACTGTGCAACACAATTTCTGCAACATATAAGATATAAGGCGATTTTATATATATTAATGCTACTGATTTCAAATATGTAGTCAGTTTAAAACAAATGTTCCTAACATCACAAAAACCTGGTAAAAAAAATAACTGGTCCTGGTCATGCAGCTACTTTTATAGCTGTAGTTGCATTTTCTCACTTTAGATGGCTCTGAAGTTGTTCTCACATTTTGGTTGATAATTATATCAGAATCTGCTGACCCCATTGGGTAATGATGTAGGCCTATATATAGTAGCTGATATCAGCAGCAGTTGGCCACATAAAAAGGCAGTTTGGTATTTAATAAACTTTCATTAAGTGTTTTGTTAGTGAAGTTGGAGCTTCATAAGGTAAGAATTAAAAACTGACTTTAACTAAAAATTTATTCACATGTTTAGCTAAAGAAATAAGTATAACTCGTTTAAAAAGATGGATCAGAGATGTGGATGTGTAAACAATCCTGACAGTTTTTGTTATGCTTGTGGATTACTCACTACGAAGTCACAGAGAAAGAATATCACCCCTTTGTTCAAATTTGTTATAATGCTTACTTTAGTATAAAGCTTGGAGATCAAAACAAGCAAATGGACCAAGACAACCAGATATCATTTGTGTGTCATGTTACTTGAATATAACACAGTGGCTAAAGGGCAAAATAAGTTTGTCATTTGTAACTCCTATGGTTTGGAGAGACCATAACACAGATTGCTACTTTTGCATAACAAAGACAGTAGGATTATCTGGTAAGAACAAGGAGAAGATTGAATATTTTATTGTACTTTCTGAGATTAAGCCTGTGTCTCACAACAACACCTTGCCAATTCCTGTGCCTCCTAGTAACATTGACATTGTTGAAAGTGATGAATCAGAATCAACTCCTTCTTTTCATGAAAGTGACGACAGCTTTGCTGCAACTGAAGATGGTAAACCTCATCTCATCGAACTAACAGAACTCAATGATTTAGTACGAGATCTGAATTTACTGAAGAATAAAGCAGAGCTATTTGTGTATTGTCAGTGGAATCTTCTGTCAAAGAGCACAAAGGTAACTGTTTAAAGAAAAAGAAGTGCAAATATTTAACAATTTTTTAAAGAACAGGAAAAGTGCTCTTACTGAAAAGATATCGAAGCTCTTATAAATAAGCTTAACTGTCATCACAAAGCTCATGAATGGCATCTGCTCATAGATATTATTGATAATTCTAACATCTTTAAAAAACATCTTGGACAACAGGGTCTCCATCTAAACACGCAAGATTAGCTATGAATTTTATTACTTATTTGAAGTCTATTTGATGTTGACCCCCCACCTTTAATTTATGATTTCCAAACAACCTTACTTAACCCCAATGAAGAAAATAGTCCTAGGTCTGATTTAGATAAACTAAGGGCTAAATATCCTCGCAATTTTAGTCTATCCGTAATAAGTTTACAGATATAACTAATTTTATTAATAAAACTGTTGATGTGCTTATTATGGGTGACACTAAAATAGATGACTCTTTCACTATTAGCCAGTTTTTATATACAGGTTACAAAACTCTCTATTGCCTTGATATATTCCATCAAAGTGGAGGACTTCTTGTGTATATTAATGATAACATTACCTCAAAAAGATGAAATGGCGTAGTCATACTCACTGATGTTCAAATTTTACCTTTTCAAATTAAACTAAGAATGCGGAAATGGCTAATAAGAAAAATGACTATTTCTTCGTCAACCTTAGAGGGATTCTTGATTTTTACTTGCAATCATATAATGATTATATAATTATTGGAGATTTTAATTTACAACCTCATAATAAAATAATGAACGAGTTTCTCTGCCTTTATCAATGTAGTAATTTAATTAAAGCACCAACTTGTTTTAAACTGGTTGTAAAACCCACATGTATAGATCTCATCCTAACAAATAGAAAGGCGTATTTCCAACACACTCTAAGACTATCTGTACGGGTGTTAGTGGCCATCATGATCTTATTTTTACAATACTCAGGGCTACCTTCTGCAAGTTACCTCCAAAAAAAAATTTATAGGTCTTTTAAAAAATTATTTTTTATTGTTTCAGAAAAGTGTTATATTTTCTGAAACAAAAAATAAATTGAGATTTTGTAATGACATTAATGAGTTTAACGCTATCTTTAGCAACTATTTAAATCTATATGCTCTATTGAAAACTAAAATCTTAACAGGTAACGATAAGCCATTTATGACTAAGAATTTTAGAAAAGCAATTATGCTTTGCTCAAAATTTAAAAAAAAAGTTGGTGAGATCTAAATATATCCCAGAATACACAATGTGAAGCACAGTCTACTAGCACAGCGAGACAATAATTACCTCCCACCTTCAATTCAAGTTGGGATTAATAAAGAACTTTGTGAAAGCTCTTAAAGGCAACTCAGATGCATTTCAGTACCTTAAAAAGACATTTCCAAGGATGAATGATTTCAAAATCATAAAGGAAATCTTTACAGGACCTCAAATTAGACATGTTTCATCAAAGCTGACTGATTTGTAATAGATAGCTTGAAACTTATTCAAGGCTGCCATCGATGGGTTTCTTGGAAATAAAAAATTGGATGAAAACAGAGAACTGATTAATAAACTTATAACTTAACCAGTTTCTATGAAATGGACTTTCTTGACCAGTTAGTAAGAACTATGAGGTTATTAGAACAAATGTATCTCTCAAGATGCATTTTTTTTTCCTGATAATTTAGGTGATGTAAGCGATGAGCTTAGAGAACATTTTAACCAGGACATTTCAGTGATGGAACAGCAATATCAAAGGAAATAAAGTCCAGCTATGATGGGTGATTTCTGTTAGCTTCTGAAGAAGGACAGCAGTTCTGCACACAAAAGAAAATAAAAAACTTGTCATCACTTTCCCACTTCTGCAAGAAAACATCAAGATAGTGACTAGCTAATTTGACGAAAGAAACATCAACTTTCTGAGTAAAGCTTTTTTATTGAAATATTACACAGTATGACAAAAATCTCAGTCTGGATTTCACTTATGGACGTACTAGAGACACTTCATTGACATGGGCGTGCTAGAGTCCAAAAGTATCCCTGTAATCAAATCATTGCATATAAAAGACACACCCTGTTGTTCAAGCAGAAATTTTTTAAATTTTTTTACACAGTGTTGTGTTATGAAAGAAAATGTTCTTAAAACTCATAATTCTATTATCGATGTTTTTTTTTATTGTCGAAGAATTTTTTCAATGTTATTCATCTCTCCAAGGTCATGTTGAGTTTCAATTAAAATGTGCTATTTATTAGTTTGTTATTATTATATTTTTAATTAGCCAATTTTGATAATTTAACATTATTGATGGTTTATGGAAAAAAGTTTAAGTTGGTTCTTCAAACATTAAACCTAAATCTCAAAAGAAGAATCAAATTTGATTTTCAGAAAATCATTTTTTCACAAATTGCAATACATCAATCTTTCAGAAAAATTCTTCACTAATTAAGGTGACGCTAATGGTTCAATTTACCCAGTTGATTCAATTGGAGTAAATTAGTCTAAATTTTTGTATGGCTTTAATCATTTTATTCATTTATAGCTTTTATTTATTTGTATGTCATTAAATCAATCATATTAACTTATTAATAAATCTTTAATATTGGACTGCATGAGTTTTATAATCATTATTTTTTGGTAAATGATTTGGTTACACATGACTATTATTTTTTTTTTTGGTATTCATGTTAAGTTAAAAATTTCAATTTAGAGATTGAATCTCTAAAATAATAAATTAAAAATAAAATAAAAACAAGTTTCAAACTTTAGTTTGAAACAAACAGACAAAAGGCAGGGGGCAACAAGAGTTGGGGGTGGTACTTAATATTATTTTAATAATATTTATATAATATACAAATAGTTTTTTTATAGAATATATTGCAATTTAGGTTTTAGTATTTCTTTCTAGTTTAAAATAAAATTTTTTCCATATATTTTAGAAATTAAATTCAAAACACAAGTTTAACTTTATTATTATATAATCTTTTATAATAAATTTTTTAACTTTTTATAATAAATGCTGATAAGTCCAGTGGTGTAAATGTTATTAGAATCAACAAAACAAATAAACATAAAACAATGAAAAATAATTTATAAATTCTTTATAATTTTTAAAGCGAACATTTCATTGTTGCATCTTTTAGTACAACAAATTTTCAACATGTTTTTTTTTGTTTTGTTTTTTTATTTGCATTCACTCCCAACAAGGCTGCAAGTAACCACTATTAAGTTGGGAGTTACTAGGAAAAAAAAGAACAGAGTTATAGAGCAAGGAAATGGTTGACAGAAGACTTGAAAAGTTGAAGGTTGTTTATATTTTGGGCAAATTTCCATGGTCAAATAAATATTTTTTTAAACATTATTTAAAGCAAAATCAATAAGATTTTGCAATTTTTTTATGCTGTGAAGCTGTCTAAGCTATTTTTAGGTTTTGAAAATAAATATTTTTTTGAAATGAATTTGTTTCTGTTGAACTTCTTGGCCATGGAAGATTGGAAATTTTTACCAGGACAATTATTGAACAATCTATATGGGATATGTTCTGGTACAAAAATATTGAATTAACAAATAATTTAAAATAGTAACTCAGTTATTTAAAGATCTAGGTTGCATATGAAAAAGCTAAGGGCACCAACATGTACAATAAAATAATGAGATTCAATTTAAATTGTTCCAAACAGGAGTTTGTGTTAAGCCATGACAAATATTGGTGGTCCTTGGTTCTTGACAAGAGATTTTTGATTATTCATCAGTGGCTGCTTGTTTGGTACCAAAAAATAAAACCTGATTGGATAACTTATCACAACTGTTAGAAACATTAATACCTGATTGGATAACTTATCACAACTGTTAGAAACATTAAAACCTGATTGGATAACTTATCACAACTGTTAGAAACATTAAAACCTGATTGGATAACTTATCACAACTGTTAGAAACATTAATACTATTTTGTTCTTTTGCTTAAAAGCTGATCTTTGTTTGTTTTCCACAAAACAAATCAAAATAGTATGACAGATGCTATTATAGCCATAGGGTTAATTTCAGCTCTATAAAGTTTTTTGGAATGATATAAACTTTTTTGCAATGATATAAAGTTTTTTGGAATGCTTTAACTTTGACATTGCTCAAAAGTTGTACTTGTACTATCTTTCAAAGGGTTTCATATTATGTACAAAAATAAAATAAAACACACAAAGTGTCTTATGCTGTTTAATATGCACACTCCTTCTCACAACAATTAAATCATTACTAACAAAAATAAAACATGTCAAAATCAAACTGTGTATTTATGTGTATTCTTAAAAAGTATGCAAAATTAAAATAAAATCATGCAAAATTACCTTAAAACAAAAAAAAAATTAATAAACCAGTTAAAATCTCAAATATTTTGGTACTTTCAAAATGACATAAAAAGTATTTTTTTTACTCATATCTATTTTAAAAACTTAAACACACATGTTTTGTAGATGATTCTAATATTTTTTTGTATATCAAATGTATACTACTGTATACCAAATTAAAAAGCAAAAAAATAAACTTTCCTAACAATAAAAAGGAATGAAATATACTTTTTAATTGTATTGTTTCATATTGCTAGGAAAGAAAATGAAAATAATAAAAATACCAAGAAAATTGACTAACCATATAAAAAATATCTCCTTTTTTCCCTGGTTTAATTTTCTTTTGATAACTATGAAAAGAAAAATCATCCTTATTCTTTGCTTCATTATCACAATTGATATCTTCAGTGAACATATTAACATAATCTGATATCCGTTTTATCACACCATATCCACTAACAATTAATTTGTTACTACTGGAAATAAATGTATTGCACAACTAAATAAATGTATTTTAATAGCAAAATAAATATATAGCACAATCAAATAAATTTCTTTTAACATATAGAAAAATTTATTGCACAATTAAATAAAAATATTGCAATTATAATGTTTTGTTAAAAAAAAAAAATAAGGGAGACAAATATATAAACTAGGGGTCATAGAAATATACTAACTCACATTCAAGTCCCTATGAATCACCAAAAGACTATGAAGAAATTTAAGCTTCTCTATAAGTTGTTTAGAAATCTCAAAAATAAAAGAGATAGGCATACCACCTTCTTGAATAAAACTGGATAAAGGAAGACCGTTTAAGTTGTCTACTAAAAGCTAAATAAAGTGTAATGATATTTCCATTTTAGAAAATAGATATAAATTATAAATATTATTTATTTAAGAAAATAGAATATTAATTATTCATTCTAAAGTAATTGATGATACCTTAATGTTCAAGTTATCTTGACTTATTTCTAGCATATGATAACTTATGATGCCATCAAACAAAATCGTACTGCCTAAAAGTGTACTTTCTTGTTCAATTAATTGAACCTAAATATATAAAATGAGATAGTGCCATAATAAGTTAAAAATTATTGGAAATTGGTTCAAACATTTTTTTCAGCATATACAAACAAAAACAGAAATAGCACGGAAATAACATAAGGGGACATCACATAATTATTTGTACTAGTTATTTCAAAAATCTATTAATTTTGTATCAGTAACTAGACTGTAAAAGGACGTAGGGGTATTTATTATTTATTTGCTTTTATAACAGTCACAAAATATTTAATACTTGACAGAAAGTATAATACTTTCTGTCAAGTATTAAATATTTTGTGACTGTTATAAAATTACAAGTGTAAATATTTTGTGACTGAAAAATTACAAGTGTTTTTATTGACTTTGACTAAATCAAAGTTGACAAAAGAAAAAATAAATAGTCAATTAAATCAATTAATAATCAAACACATGTTTGATACACATCACTAATAATCAAACACATGTTTAATACACATACTAAGTCTTCGACTATAGACTTCCTACTAATCAACTAAAAGTCAATTTTGTCAAGTTAAATGAAAATCTTTGAACCCTTTTATCTTTTCATTGGACTTAACTTTACAATCTTTAACTTTTGTTTGTTTGTTATATATTGTCAGCCCAATATTTGTGTCAACAAATATTCGGCTGCCAAATATTCAAAGACCCTTTCTTAATTTGAGGATTCTGACCTGGTTCATTGAAGTTCATATGTTAACTACTGTATGGGTGTTTTTATACACCCTTAGCAATCATCAGGTTCAAATCATTCAAAAAACAATAATTACCAGCTCAGGTATTTGCATTTCAAAGGTAATTTCAGAAGTTGCTATAGAAAGATCTTCACCACAACCTGAACTTAAAACATGGTTTAACTTTAATGGAAATGTCAATTATACGATTGAGATAAAACAATGCACAAAAACCTCAGTAAAAGGCTGCTTGACACTAATGAATCATCACTGATGCTTAATAGCATTGGTGATGATTCAGCTCTACTTTGTAAAAAAAAAAATGTAAATGAAAACAATTAAACTAATCTCTACAAAAAAATGCACACATATGAAGATGTGAGAAAAAAGAATCCTAATTACAAATTATATTAGTTTTTACATAAAACTGTTTGCTTAAATTGGACAGCAAAATAAAAATGATGATTAGCAAATGCAAAACATTATCCTAACAGAATTTGCTAAAAAAATTTTATTCTTTGCAGTGGTCATAGCGAATGGTTTTTTTTTGGAAGTATGACATCTATAATTATACCCATTACTTATTTTTTAAAAAATATTAGTCGATTTAGTTGACAGTCGAATTTTTTATTTGTTTTAATAATTTAATGATCAATTTATTCAACTTTAATATTTGTTATACTTGAATTACAAAAATTTTGTTTACAGTAAATTTTATAAAAAGAGTAGGTTGATTTGCAATCAGTTTGTTAATTATTTACAAATTAATTTAGAACAATTTGACTTCAAAATCATGTAATATATATTGTCAATAAAAAAATCACACATAAGGTTGCTCTACAACTAATATCAGCTCATCAATTAATTTTTTAAAAACTAAAAAACTGTTTAGTCTAAAAGTAATTAATCATCTTTCTGAAATTAAGGGCTAAAATAAAAAAGTAGAAATTAATACCTGTCTTGAAACTGTATCATTGGATGGCATTTTCCCTTTTTCCATACTTTTTTTAAGAAGACTTTTAATATTCCATTGAACAACTGAAAATATTTTTCCAGAACAATCTTCTATGGCATTTAAGGTGCATGCACCATCAAAATAATGAGCTAAATAACATTATTTGAAGCATTCAAATTTATTTTTATTCTAACAAAATTTCCTTCAAGATTAACACACTATTGATATAAGCCTGTAATTAGAAATACTTAAAAGGTTTATACTTAAAATCAGGTTTGTCAGGCCTGTATGAAATATTTCTGGTTTGTCAGGCCTGAATGAAATACTTCTGATTTGTTAGGCCTGTATGAAATATTTCTGGTTTGTCAGGCCTGTATGAAATACTTCTGATTTGTCAGGCCCGTATGAAATATTTATGGTTTTTCAGGCCTGTGTGAAATAGATTTAAAAATATGTAGACAAGTGGTAGAACACTTTGAGAGGTTAGAGGTTCAAATTCGCTCTACACCACATTTAGCTAGTTACTCCACAAAGCAGCCATATTTTACAAGGTTCGTGTTTTGAAATTTAGGGTTGAGAAACAGTTACAATTAAAATTACTTAAAAAAAGAAAACCCCTTTCTAAAAAAGGTAGCCTCCTTGACTGTAGAAGCCCCTTTAGGAGCTTAAGAAAGTGAACTTAACATTTTTTGGACTAAGACAATCTTCTGAACTTTTTGTTTTCAAAAACTTTTCTCTGAAAAAAATTAGGAATTGAGGATATGCTGTAAGTTGCTATTTCTATTTAGTAAAGACTACAATTTGGGCACATGCAAGGAGGATGGATTTGATCTTTAAGGTAACTTACTTTAAATGATTCTTTAGGCTGAAATTTTCATGCAACAAATTTAAAAATAAATAAATAAAAATACTATTAATTAAGAATAAAAATACTATTAATTATGAATAAAAATAAATTTTATTAATTGAATCAAAGAAGAAGAGTGGGGGGTGGAGAGAAAGAAGAAGAGTGGGGGAGGAGAGATATTGCAAGCACAAGCGACACACTGTAGAAAACAGAGTATAAAGAAAGAACAACAACAACTGCTTATTTGAAAATTATTTTACTTTATGCTTTTCATACTGAATAGTTTGAGAGATATGTTCATTATCTTCTATTACTGACAAAAATGACTAGATATATAACAATAAATGTGTGTTTAGATAAGCCCTGTGACATGACATTGAAATAGTCTGCTAGGGGATTCAGTACATGTGTTAACTATCTTATAGCCTGTTACCACAAAGGAGTGTCGCTACATTAACTAAGGGTTTGGCCTTTGTTAAAAAGCTTTTCAAATTCAAAAAAAAAATTTACAGCTTATTTGCTTTAATACTTGTTGATGGCGTGTATTCTTTTTGTTCCACAATTTTCAAAAATCTAGTTGCAATACCACACTGCTGATTTAAATATATTGGCATGAGTTTATTTTTCAATTTCAAACGCTTTAATTACTGATAAACTTTTAGATATTACTTTTCAGATATCCATTTAAACAATATATAAATATCTAATATTGTTCGATATTTCATTTTATAACATTCATAGATAAATGCTATGATCTAGCTAAATCAAAATGAATGTTATGAAGTATTCTAATTCTGAAATTAAAATAAATTAACAAAATGGAATGCACTAAAATAAATCAACAAAAGTGTATACATACATATTAATTATTTTTAATGCACATTTAATAATAAAATATTTTAACTCTAAATTCTTATTAAAATAAAATTGGAAAGCTTACCAACACATGAACTGCAAAAGAATTTTTTTTCCATATTTTTCTTAAACACTACAACAGATATCTTTGGAGTAACAGAACGCAAACAAGAAAATTTATTTATAAGAGATTCACTGCTCTGTTTCTCTGATTGACTGTTCTAAAAAAATTTATTTTTATTTTTAACTATAATTTATTTTTTTGATATAACACTTCAGTTTGTACAAATACCATTTTTATAATATGATATTCAAATATATTATCATAAATATGCTATTTAAAGTATCAAAACATGGTTAGTAAATGATCAAATTAAAAAAAAACCTGTTATGACTAAGTTTAAACTTCTTTATATTTATCATTCAGATTTTTTTTAGTATTAGAATTAAATGTACTAGTAGATCTGACCACATTCTTTAATACAATTTTTAAGGCCATTGACCACAGAAAAACAATTATTTATTAGAGACCACAGAAAAACTATTTGTTATTATAAATGCAAAAATATCTGGTAATTATAAAAAAATTCAGATTTTTTTTAGTTTTTTATTTATTGGAAATATTTTGTTAAAAATATTTTTTGTTAACTACAGCTAAGGGATCATCCATAAATTACAAACTTCAAATTCTTTAACTTTCATCATGATTTCTTTTATAAGTAGTAAAACTAAATTCAATATGAAATGAATAAATTTGACTTTTAAATTTGAGTTTTAAATTTGATACCTCATAAAAAATGATAAAAATGGGATAAATGACCTAAGTAAACAAAATGTTTAGTGAAATCATTTTATTACTCTGTTAGTTTCTGTTAGTTAAACGACCTCACTAACAGAATAAAAATTTACTAAAAATGATGTCTAATTATGATTTTTATAATTTTCGTTCAGATTTCATTCATTCAGATAAAAATTGTTTTGATGTATATATTTTTTTCTCTAAGCTAAAAGTAACTAGTAACTGGTAGTAAGATTTCCCGAACTCTATGAGTCGAATTCTCTTTAAACTTAAATCATGCTCAAATTAACCCAAAATATTTAACACAAAAACATATTCCCACCACCACACTGCTTCATCCCTTTGAAACTCTCTTTTATTTTCATGTTTTCTTTACTCAAACAACCTACAACTTTTCAAGTTTTCACCATTTCTTGCTCTTTCGTACTCTATTCTTAGTTTTCTAGTAACTCTTGCAGCCTTGTTAGAAGTGAATTGTAATAGAGCTTAAAAAAATATACTAAAAAATACTCATTAAATCTAATACTTAGACAATGTAAAAGATGTAAAAAAAAATCATTGTATTTATTCTAAAATAATCAAAAGTACAACTGTTTATTTAAGATGAACACATTAGTCTGCTAACACATACATAAAAAGCTTTACTTATTTATTTAAGATTTGCATTCATAAACGTATAATATATAGTTTTATTTTTTGTAAAACAAAAATTTTTCCTTGTTTTCATATATATTCCATTCCTTTACACTAAGAATCAAACAACACACCACTGAGAGCAAATTTTATGTTTGGTTTAAGAGTTTTTATTAGCATCAAGTTTATTTTTTGGATTAAAATGAGCAATGAAGAATTATCTTTAATTTTTATCTTTAAAGTTATCAAAAAATATATTTATTAGCAAAAATAAATCAGTTCAGTAATGGAACCTGTATAGCTTTGGTAATACCACAACAAATCATAAAATGTACAAGATCGGTAAATCATAAACATAACCATTTTTGTACACAAAAACCTAAAAATGCTTAATGCTTAAAAATGCATCTAGTCTTTTTTTTTTGAAAATCTATATAGGAAACTAATTTACTTAAACTCAAAAACTTAAAAATGCTATATCAAAAATGATATAATCTAAAATAAATAAATAAAAAAAGCATTTGATTGTCATTTTAATGATTCCTATTAATGAAAACGATGATGATGATGATGATGATGATGATGATGATGATGATGATGATGATGATGATGATGATGACAATGATGATAATGATGATGGATATAAAGTACTATATATTTATATATTTTCATCAAATTCTTACCAAACCCTCATTTTTTGCATATTTTGCTTCTCGTAATTTTTTTTGTTCAAGTAATTCCATTGTTTCTTGCATCTTTTGATTGGCAAGCATTTGAACATGAAAAGAAAGACTTGGAACATTTTGTGAATGAAGAAATTCTTGAACATAGTGTGCTAACTGTAACACCATAACCTAAAATAAAACTTGAAATGTTCATTTTTATAAATTCAATGCTTAAATTGTATCATTCAATTTATAAACAATTCTAAACTTGTTTATATAAAATCGATGAATTTAATTGTTTTAAAAGGAATAATGTTGTATCTACTTAAAACACCTAATTTACATGCATAATAAATTGTATTAGTAATAAAGATTCACCATGTTTACATTATTGGTTGTTTTGAGGTGTAACAAAAAGCTTAAATAAGAATAACACATTGAATATAGGTTCCTATTAATCTTTTTAATAAAAAAAAGTTTTAATAGGTATCCTATTAAAACTTTTTCTTTATTTATGAAATTTATGAAATTATTATTTATGAAAAACTTTGTTTTTGTGTAAAGTATAAAAAGTAATAGAAAGTAAGCATACAAATATTTTTTTTAGAATAACATTAAGACAAAAATATGCTATTAGTTACATGCGTTGCCTAGATACCAATAATTATCTATCAATTCAGCTATTAGTTGTGAAATCAAGTTTGAATTCTCGAGCTATTGTTTTATGTATATTATGTATGCTCCTATTCATTCAACCACTTCTCTCTCATTATCCCTCAGCCAATATTGTTGCTATTGGTAACTTTAATGCTCATCACACAGAATGGCTTGATTCTAGTATTACCAACATTGCTGGTTCTAAAGCTCAAAACTTATCTTTTTCTCTTGTGTGCTTTTAATGCTTACTCAGATAGTTAACTATCTGAGTAAGAATTAAATTAAAAGACAGCCCCAATCACTCCTTAATTTGTGTTTTGTCTCTGACCAAAGCTTAGGCTCAATTTGTCCTTGTTCTTTTTTAGGCAGTTCTATCTTATTTACAAAAACAATTTCTGGAGAACAAAGTTCTTTTAGCAAAAATGTGCTATCTGACACTAAGCTCCATCATTCTCAGATTATTAAATCTTATTTTTAACTCAAAAAATTAGATTCTAGAAATTTTCGGAAAACATTTAAGAATGTCATCAAGAAAGGTTTAACATTAGATTCAAGAAAATTATGGAAAACTTTTAACAATGTTATCAACAAAGTCTAACATTAGATCTCTCATATATGGGTCTAATTTTATTACTGCTCACATTGTTAAAACAGATTATGACTATTTGTAAAAATCTTTACCTTTAACTCATTTCTTGAATCTAATGTCAACGCTCTTTTTATCATCCCAAAGAAACAGGTTAATCCACTGTTTGATATCATAATCACTCCTTCTGTTGCTTCAGTTATTTCCCACTTAAACTTTTCTACTGCTTATGGTCCAGACAACATTCCTGTCACAGCCTTAGGAAATTGCTCTTCTTCATAATTCCCATCACTCTCTTCATTTATCTTTTAACTGGCATCTGTGGTTCAAATTTTTTAAATCTCTGAAGATGGCACAGATCCCACTAACTATTGTCAAACCAGACTTTGCTACTACAATTAGCAAACTCTTTGAAACCATAAATGTTAAACTTCAAATATTTATAATGATAGTAACAACTTACTCTCTGGCAATCAATATTTTGATCCTCTCTTTCTATTGTTGACTTGTTAACTGTTATAAGGACCACTGCACATGATGTATCATGAGCTGTGGCTCTTAATAATGTATAAAAAGGTATTATCCCATATGCTGTATTACCTTGGTCTAAATCATGATTATCTTCTTTTTTTTTTTGAAATCCCAAGCTAAACTCCCAAGCTAAAACAAAAAGAATAAAAATAAAAAAAATAAAATAAAATTGCCAACATCCAGGCGCTTAAGTAGAAGGCAATTGTTTGTCAGCAGAAAGACTAAAGCTGACAACTTGTATTTTGTTTGCGAGCTATGGTCAGAGACAAGATACAAATCAAGGAATGAAGGTAAATGATTAAGCTTGGCTGGCAAATCAGGCAACAGGTAATCTATTAAAATAAGAGAAGTGGAATACAGAAATGTGAGTCACCAATAACAACAATATTGGCTGAGGAATAAAGAGAAATTGTTTAATAAGACCAAAAATTACATAAAAAGAGTGCAATCTTGAGAAGAAGAACAATAAAAAACAAAGAGAACGATGATGAGGTGCTAAATAGAGCCACAGAAAAGAATAGTCAAAGGATTTAAACTTGATTTCACAGGGAAATGGTGCCTAAGTATACCCCCAGGCTAAGAAAGTGTCTAATGGAATTTAACCCAATGTTGTGACTAAGGGCTCCAGGTGAAGCCACGACAATCTACAACAAAAGCATCAGAAGCACTCCACTAAAAAGGATATCATCCATGCGCAACATTACACTGTACAGTCAACTAGTTAAAAGTCAAAAGTCGACTTACTAAAAAAAAATTAAAAAAAACGAATAGTCGATTTAATCAACTATGGACTTTTTACTAATCGACTAAAAGTCAATTTATTTGAATCAAAATCTTAAAATCATTTTATCTTTTCATTCAATTTAAATTTCCAATTTTTTATTTTTGTTTGTTTGTTTAAAAACAAAAGCATGTACTATTATAACTAGAGATGTCACGAATAGTGGTTTTGTGTCACAAAATATTCGGCTGTCAAATATTCACTTTCTTATTTTAAGGGTTCCGACCTGGTTCATTGAAGTGCATATTGTGGGTATAGACATTAAGTTAAAAATTGTCAGTTTTGACTTAATGATGCAGTATTGTAAAGTTTACAACGCTCAACAAACTTGCAAAATACATTTTTTGCCAGAATACCCACAATATGTTAACTACGCTGTGGGCGTTTTTGTTTAAATTATAACTTGGTTGTGTAACAGCACACATTAATTGTTTACTGTCAAATCATTTTGATTTAACTATAGTTATGTATAAACGTATCATACTCTTCAAACCACTTAAAAAGATTATAAAAATAACCAGTTTAGGTATTTGCATTTTAGAGGTAATTTTAGAAGTTGATATAAATAGATCTTCACTATAATCTGAACATGGTTTAACTTTATTGAAAATGTCAATTAAATAGTTGCGATAAAACAATGCCATAAATCTATCTCAGTAAAAATCTGCTTGACACTGATGAACCATCACCAGTGACTTGTAGCATCGGTAAATATTAAGCTCTACTTTGTAAAAAAAGAAATGTAAATGAAAACGATCAAACTAATCTCTATAAAAAATGCATACATATGAAGATATGAGAAAGAATAATTTAAATTCCAAACGATATTAGTTTTTACATGAAACCGTTCACTTAAATTAAAACATTATTCTAACAAAACTTGCTAAAATTTTCTTATTATTTGCTGGTGGATAATTATAACTAATCTATTTTTTGTTTACTCTCTTAAAGTTTTATCTAATTCATAACATGTTAACATTATTTATGCTCTTTCCGGTGCTCTGTAATAAGAACGTAGGGACTTCTGGGAGCCTAATAATTACAAAAAAAAAAAAGTAATACCTAATTAAATAATTGGTTATTTATTTAATTTTTTTTTTTTTAACTCAATGCTTTTGATTTTTCATAAATACTTTTATACAGGGCCGCTTCAAACTAACTTTTTTAAATTACTTTTTTAACTCAGGATCTTGGTGCAAAATTCAGGATCTTGGTGCAAAATTAGTTGTGAAGCTCCAGAATCTAAATGTCATCTATACAATCACATTGTAAATATGATTGTAAAGACTTTGATGTATAGCAAGTATTTAAGGCAGTCCCTAAATGATCTTGGATGGGATCTTGGAATATACAGTCCAGTTATTAGAGTGGCCATTCATATATTAATATTGTTTTGCTCCATTAACATTTAAAACTTAGTAAGCAAATACTCTCTCAACTCTTTAACTCCGAAATATGAACCTTTATGAACAAGGCCAATGCGCAGAAAAACAAGTTTAAAACAAACCAATACATTTAGATTTTATGTAAAATCAATTATTTTTATTACAGTTTTAAATTATCTTTTTTTAAATAATTTTCTTTTTATAAATTATTAAATAATATATAAAATATATTTTAAACAAAATTAAAGTAGAAAATTATGTTAATTTTCAATAACATACATTATGAAAGGTCATAATTTATAATTATGTAACATCCTAATTTTAATTTTAATTGCTATTAATTCCTAAAGCATTACAAGATCCAACACTATGGATTAATACTATATGAATTATATGATCATTATATTTTTTCTAATGTTATTTTAATAACATATATTAAAATAATCATCCATTATCATCCAGATAATGGATGGAATATATAAATTTTGTTAACAAAAAACCAGTTTTTTTTAAAAAAACCTGGTTTTTTGAAGACCCTGAGCAGACATGTTTCCAAATTATTAAAATACAACATCAATAACTAATTAAAATAATAATAACACAATATGAATTATAAAGACAAATATAATTCAATAATAATAATAATAATAATAATAATAATAACAATAATAATAGTAAAACAAAACAATAAAACGAGGATAGGAAATCTTAAAGTCCACTGTAAGACTCTAAAGTCTAGGAAAACTATGGTTATTATGGTTTTTAAAAAATATTTTAAACGAGCAACTTTGGGATCTTGATAGCCAATAATAATAAATCAAAACTAGTTTAAAAACAATCTTTTTTTAAAACTTACTAAAAGTTTTATTTTATTAAAAACCTAATCACAAACATATTATACTCATTATGTTACATTCGTTATGTTTATGATAATTAAGTACCTCACCACACAGACTGAGAGCCATTTTATTAAGATTTTCCATTAGCTGCAACAAATTTTCATTTGAAATACCTTTTGCATTTTCCAATTTTAGGACAGGAGGACTAAAATACAGTAAAAACAAGATTTTTTTTTTAAATATATTAAATATATACAAACTAATTTCATATTATCAAAATAAAATGTCAAGTTGAGAAAAAAGTACATTTTCTACACCTCCTTTATGCTTTTAATTTTTTTAATTTTAAAATTTGAAGGCAGAAAAAGCTGCTAGTGACTTTTGTGCTGTGTATGGAGAAAACAACATAGCTGAAAGACTGGTATGCTAGGTTCAAAAATGAAAATTTAGACAAAAACACACCTCATTCTGGCCACCCAACTGAACTCTAAAAAGAATGATTAAGACAACCTTTGTATGAAAATTCACGTCAAATGACAAGAGAACTGGTAAAGAAAATAGGATATTCTCACACTGCTATAAAGAAGCATCTTCACTCAACTACTGTTACCCAAAAATGAAGATGATGATCAGATGAATGGATGGTTCATACCATCTCTAACAAGACAAGAAAAGAAGCCATAATCTTAGATAGAGATTAGAAAAAGCATTATATAGAACAATGTCAGAAAAGATTTGGTTTGATTTGATCATGTAAAGAGGTAGCAGCAGAGCTGGCAAGAGAAAATGGTAGAGTCAAAAAGAAAGAAAATTTGAAAAGAATGCGTTACATATAGGATTTTTTGCTTTAGTTAAGGAAAGAAGATTCTCGAAATGCACAAAAGGGAAAGGCTAAAGCTTGTTGATGATGATGATGATGATGATGATGATGATGATGATGATGATGATGATGATGATGATGATGATGATGATGATGATGATGTTAAGCAGTACCCATAATAGTATTTGTAGAAAAGAGAAAGAGAAGCAACATTACGACGATGTGACAGAGGTTGAAGGTTGGCTGCAGGTCCAACTATGTTTACAATGCATTTTTGCACCATGTCTAAAAGAGAAAAGGCATAATTAGAAGATCCACCCCAGATATGACAACAGTACTCCATACAAGGCCGGATTTGGGATTTATAGAGATAAAGAATAAAATCCAGAGTAAGAAAGTGTCTAGTTCGATAAAGAGATGCAACCTTAGCAGATGCTAATTTTGTAACAGAACTGATATATGGTTTTCAAGAAAGATCAGAAGTAATAGTTAATCCTAGAAGATGAAGGGTAGATGACTCATTGAGTACGTTACCATTCATAAATATAGGAAGGTCTAAATTATTGCGATAACAATTGGCTGCAAAAAATCGAATTTTATCTGAATTAAAGTTCACAAGCCACTGTGAGCCCCATGCTGCAGCAAAAGTGAGATATTTTTCAAGCTCAATGCCCTCTCCTAGCAATCAGAGATTGTTGGCTTCTTATCATGACAAAGATAAATGGTAATATCATCAGCGAATAATGCCACTTTAGATGTGAGAATATCTGGAAGATTGTTAATGTAAATTAAAAAGAGTATAGGGCCAAGAATAAAACCTTGAGGAACCCCTGAAGTTAAAGAATATGAAGAAGAGTGCTGTCTATCGAGGACAACTTTTATACTACGATTGGAAAAAAAGGATTCAATAATCTTATAGATGTTACCAGATAAACCATAAGAAGAAAGCATATGGAGAAGACCAGCATACCAAACTGTATCATAAGCTTTATAAATGTCAAGAGCAATGGCCTTAACCTCTCCACCTTTATCTAATGCACGACAAAACCTATTAGTTATTACTGTTAGCAAATCAGTCATAGAATGAGAAGATCGAAATCCATATTGATGATCAGAAAGTAAGTTATTAGATTCAAGATGAGAGATTAGGTGTTAGTTGATTAAAGATTCAAAAACCTTGCTTATGATAGGAAGAAGACTAATGGGACGGTAGTTAGACGATTCAGATCACTCTCCAGAATTTTTAAAAATAAGGATAACAAATGCCACTTTCCAGCAGACTAGAAAATAAAACTCTGATAAGCACTTGTTAAATTGTATTAAAAGTATAAAAAACAGCTCCGGAGAACACTTCTGCAAAATATAACAGGTATGTTGTCCGGACCACAAGCTGAAAGAGAGTCTAAACAGGAAATCATTTTAGATACAGAAGCTGGAGTGATACGAATGTCAAGCAATGGGTCAATCTGTTTGACAGCTAAATAAGATAGAACGCAACTAGTGGAATCAAGAGATGATATTGATGAAAAGTTCTTAGCAAACAATTCAGCTTTGTCTTTAGGTGAGGTGACAAAGTCAGAATCATACAAGAGAGGTGAAATTACAGATATGCCCTTATTATTGATACTATTAAAGATTCTCCAGAAGTCATGATAGTCTAATATTTGTGATGAAATATGAGATTTCATGACCTGAGAATAGCGGGCTTTGGCGTTAGACAAATCCTTTCTACAATGGTTTCTAGCAGTGATAAACAGAGGTCTGTTTTCTGGAGAATTGTTTTGCTGATAGATATGGAAGTAATGGTTTCGATTGGCAATTGCAGCAGCACAATGTGAGGAAAACCATAGAGAAGAGTGAGGCTTGACCTGAAATTGTTGAGAGGGAATAAAGGATTCGATGCTAGCCTGAATACACAAAGTTATGTAAGAAGCACATTTGTCAACAGGAAGACAAAAGATTTCTACCCAAGAGCCATCACAAAGAAAAACATGGAAAGAGTCCCAGTAAGCTTAAAGGTAGTTTTAAGATGTACAATGATAGGAGGATTCAGATGATAAAGAAGAATGAGATGATAGTTTTAGAAATATCAAACTGTGATCATAGACACCTAAGTGTGAATGTGGAGAAACTGAGGACTGATTAGGATCACAAATAAGACATAATTCGAGTAGAGAAGGTAAATGATTCAGGTTGTCTGGAAAGCGAGTTGGAAAGTTGACTAATTGAGTTAGGGATTGAGAAAAAGGCAAAAGTTACTGACACTAGACCTAAGCCATTACTGTCACATTACAATCACTGACAACAACAATATTGGATAAAGAGAGATGACTTGGTGAATATGATCAGAAATAACATCAAGAAGAGTGCAGTCTTGAGATGAAGGAGAGCGATATAGAACAAAGAGAAAGGCGATAGAGTGAAGTAGTGCTAAACGAAAGCACATAAAAGAGTAGTCTGTGGATTCAAATCTAGTTTCCCGACAAATGGGTGAATTTTTATGAATGTAAATGCCCAGTCCAAGCATGTGACTAATGGGGTCTTTACGAATTTAAGGAAGATAACCATCAACACTAAGATCACAAGATGAGACAGCTTAACTCAAATTAGTCTCAAACAGCAAGTAGATCTGGTGAACTTTGCAAGAGATAAGACTCAACATAAGAGAAATTACTTCAAAGACTACGAATATTAGTAAACGGTTTAGAGCACTTGGGGATGATAATGGTTTCTTGTGTTCCATAGTTTTTGGTACTTTATTCATTATTTAAATTTGTTAAAGAACTTGACTCGAAGCATAGATAGTACTTAGTACACTGTTTGATAGCCCAAGCAATTGCCTCATTACTATTAATAAACTCTAAGCCATAACAAAGGGCTCCAAATGTGGCCTTGGCAATGCACATCAAAAGTACAAACAGGGACACCATTCATGCGCAACATGGCACTGTTAGTACTCTGATATTTTTCAGCTGTTGATGGAATCAAACTCTCTCAGAGCTACCACAGAGTTCGGTAAACCTGACTACCAGCCGGCCTCATAAAAACAGAGACACAAGCAAAACCCATGTATCAAGTCAAGAAGATCCAGCATTGAACATCCTAAACTGGAAACAATGTATTAAAAATACATCTTCGCCAGCCTATTAGATAAAGAAGGGGTGCAAGGCTGGTCAACAGATAGAATCTGTTTACCCCATCTGTTTGATGCATTTAACATCTGCCCAAGATGAGTAATTTTATCGAGACACCATATTTAGCCTTTACTCAACCAAGAGCCCCAAGGCAGGGGGTGAGATAAATAAACAAAGTAAGTAAAAAATAGAAATAAAGTAAATAAAAGTAAATAAAAGCAATATATATATTTAAAAAAATATAATTTATATCTATTAAAAAATTACATGACTCTCAATATTCATAACATTGTTTTCCACAAGAAAAAGCCTGAGTTGACGTAGGGACAACTACACAGCACCCATCTAATGATTGAATGATATTTATTAGAACATTAAATACAAGTGGTTGTACCCTAAAAATCATGAAAGTAGGAGAATCTTTTTTCTAGAGACAAATAATTTTTTTTTTTTATTATTATTATTATAAGATAAGCTTAAATGGGGTTCTTCCAGATAGGTATGGTTTATTATGTCTCGCATGTGTTCTTTTGCTAGAATGTTGAAGTTGACTCCTTTTTTTGCCATGCACCGCAAAAACCATATTAAATAAATTGGATATAATTTCTCACAATATAAAATCTCACAAATTAAAATTTATTCTTTTTGAAACTCCAGTGACAATGTTGTTAGTGATTGAATAAAAAGTAAATAAAATAAAAATTGTGGGTCTTTCATGAAACACAAAAATTCTTTGAAAAATTTTTTGCGCTTTTTTTGCAGATCCTTTTTTCTCGTTTACTTGCTTTTTAAATCATAAATAAACTTTATAGTCAGTTTCAAACAATCTTAACACCTTTTCCCAGCTAGCTAACCATAATCTCCTAAGCTGTTTAAACTCTTCACCTAAAAAAGAAGCTATCTCTTTTAGTTCATTTCTTAGCTGGGATAAACAATAGTAAAACAAAACTAACTATTGATGTTGTCATCAAACTTCATTTAATATCAAACTTTTTTAAATAAATATCAAACTTTATCGAGTCCAACACAGAAAGTTCTAATCTATGCGCCACGCAGTGAGTATATACAATACTGGGGATTCTATTTTTCATTTAGTTTGAACACCAGCTTTAATGCCAGACATTACAGATGTACCATCAAAGTTAACATTTAGAGTTTTTGCATCGATATTGTTTAAATATAAATCTTGACTCGTTTGTCTGTTGTTAAACTTTTTAAAACAAATTCTATTGCATTTAATATGAAATAAAAAAAATCATATCATCAAATATGAAATAAAACCATTGGCATCCACTTTTAGTGGTGAGTTAATACCAGCAAATATAGTTATTGGAATACCATTTTTAATAAATCTTAAAAAAACTGCTTTTTGTTCACTAATACTCTTATCAGTAGAACCATCAGACAAAATTGCAATAAAACGAGCATTTTATACGTCTAAACGTATAAAATGCTCGTTTTAAGACGCATTTTAAGTCAGATGAAATTGACCAAACAAAGTTTTTGCAAGCTTTGTCACTTAAGTAGTTCTTGCATAACTTAATTCCATTTAGCTTTTATAGATCGCACAGCTGAGGAAATTTTTGAAATGAAATGCAAGGTCCTCTTTAACAACAAATTCCGATATCCTAAAAAGTCTATTCAATTCTTCTTGGTTATTCTCAGTAATTTTTAAAATTGATATTAATACAGTTTTCTATATTGTGAAGGTTCTCTCGATATTAAGAAATACAGGCTTCATGCCCATCATCTTTATTGTGGCGTATTAAGTTCTTTTCCAAAATTTACATCCCATTGTTACTGAATTGGTTGCATTGCTAATATTTGGATACTTTTGGCAAACCCAACAAGAGAAACACTCATTTGATTTGAATCCAACAAAGTTATTGCCCACATTTTTTATTGCTTGGTGGCAATCCATTTATGGTGTTTCAAAACATAAATTCAATATCTTTTAGCCATATATCCAATTTTCCCAAAGTCATAGCACAATCCAAGTCATTGCACTTTTTTTTTGCATGCTTAGTTTCTCTCTCTTCTTCTCCTTTGCATTTAATGCTACGCTTAACTGTACCATCTTTCTTTAACATCGAAAAGATGCTTAGTTGTTTTGACATTTTTTTAAAAACTTTAAAAATAATAGTATATTAATTATTTAATAATAAGTTAATAAAAATATCATATTATTAGTGTTATTAAACGCACAATAAAAAATTAAAACCATAACAAAAATAACAACTTTTTATATTTTATTAGATTATGTATTTTTTAGCAAAACTTAAAAATTATCTTTAAAACTTTTAAAAGCTTTTTTAATATGCAAACAAACATTACTTTAAGGAAAATAAGAAAAAAAGAAAGCACACTATTGAAGAAAGTAATCATTAGGTTTAAGGTTTTTTTTTAAAGTAATTGGAAATGTCATTTTAAAAATGACATTCGCAAAAATAATGCTTGTGCATAATTACTTTATTTGTTCCATTGAAGAAAGTAGTTTTAGCATGGTTTCTTTTAAAGTCTTTGAAAATGCGTTTAAAATTTTTGTGATTAATTGTTTTTTGTTGCAATTATGTGTTTTTTATAATAAATAAAAAACGATCAATCATTTAACTATTTGGAAAAAAAAATTGCTGAAATAATGCGTTCGTTTTGAAAAATTTTAAGCGAACGCCAACATTTGTGTAAGAAAAAGTAAAGAAACATGACATTAGTTTTTTTGTCTTTTTTTTTAGCAGACACTTACACGCTTGACCTTTTGTTGTGCCCTGAACAGACAATTAGATGGAATAGTGACTAATGGACAAGATGAAAGTTATTGTACTATACTTACAGAAGATAAAAAGGCATGTTTTGTTAGTTTTATAAAAATTAAGAACAGGTCTTTACAAGCAATTAATTAACAGAAAGTAATCAAGTTAATTCTAAATGTTCTATGTATTAGACATCACACTAATACAAAGATGAAAGGTGAAGAAAGTTTCAAAAATTATCATTAAATGTTTGAGCTGCGCTAGAAATAGGAAGTAAGTTAAAATAAACTCATTTAATCTACAATTATCTAATGAAATCTAAATAAGGTAATCAGAATCTTATTTATACTTAAAACCTCCCTTTTTGAAATCAGACGACGCTGTTGTTGTTTCTTTTGTTCTTTTGTTTGTTTTTCTTTTTATATAATGGTCTTCTTTTATAGATTCAATGATCCTCTGATGACCATCAAACGACAAAGCAGAATGTCTATAAATCATGCACTGAATTGTTCAAGGGAAATAGAATGCAATCATTTTGATTAAAAATATTTATAAATAAATATCAAAGCACTTTTTTAACTTTTTTTTTTTAAATTTCCATATAATAATATATTTCAGAACCCCTTACTAAAGAACTAGCAGAAGTTGGGGTTATAGTTAATGAAGAGAAAATTGACAAAATACAAAATACATAGACACTAACAGCGAAAATAAAATAAAAAAATAAGATAGACACTAACAGCGTGCCTCTGAATAAATTTCTAAATCATCACAAAAACAATTACAAAATTATAAAGAAACAAACAGTTGTTCCTTTTAGAATAAATATTTGTTGAAGTCAAAAGAGAATTTTATTTTTAAAAGTTTAAATATTTTTTGCATGCAATTTTATTCAATGTCAGCAATTCGATAAGAAAAACTAAATCTTTTTGAACCCAAGCAACAAAATTATTTGCATATTTTATAAATGTGACTCCGGGTGTAGCTATTGTTATAATAATAAAAAACAGATTGTTCTGTACAAACCAGTTTGTAAAAAATTTTTTAAAATGTTACCAAGTCACTTTTACGGCATAATTTGAACATGTATAACAGAGTGGGTCAAAATTTGGACACAAATTTTTGAAAAAGTCCCATTAGGGTCTAATACCAATATTTTTAGACCAATCTTAGGGAACTTGGATTTTTTTATCATGTATTAAATAGATGTGGAGAGGTTAAGGTTATTGTTCTCATCATTTCTAAAACCTTAAAGGTTTTAGAAATGATGAGAAAAGCTCTTTTTTGTGCAAAAGCTTTTACTCATGAGCATTTGCTCTAACTAAAAAAACAACGAACAATTACTTTTAATTTTACAAGCAATTATATTAGTTGCTTTTTGATAACCCGATTTGTTATATTATTTTACTACTTTAATTTATTATTTTTTGAATATTCATATATTCATATATATATATATATATATATATATATATATATATATATATATATATATATATATATATACATATATATATATATATATATATATATATATATATATATATATATATATATATATATATATATATATATATATAGATACATACATACATACATACATACATACATACATACATACATACATACATACATACATACATACATACATACATACATACATACATACATACATACATACATACATACATATATACACATATGCACAGGCCCGTAGGAACAAAAAATATATTGAGGGGAAGGGGGAAGGTTGACATGCTGGTCTTCTCCATAAGCTTTCTTCTTATGGTGTATCAGGTAACATCTTTAAGATTATTGAATACTTCCTTATTAATCGTATAAAAATTGTCCTTGATGGACAGCATTCTCCTTCATAACCTATAACTTCAGGGGTTCTTCAAGGTTTCATCCTTTACCCTATAATTTTTTCAATTTACATTAACAATACCCCAGAAATTCTCACATCAAAGGTGGCATTGCTTGCTGATGATACTACTATTTATTCTTGTTTTAATAAGAAGCCAACACTCTCTGATTGCTTAGAGGGGGCATTTGAGCTTGTAAAGGATTTCACTTCTGCTACAGCATGGGGCTCTTGGTGGCTTCAACTCAGATAAAACTCAACTTTTGTCACCTAATTGTTATTACAATAATCTCAAATCTGGAATACTGTTGCCATATCTGGGGCAGATCTTCCAATGATGCCCTTTCTCTTTTAGATAAGGTGCAAAAACGCATTGTAAACATAGTTGGACCTGCTCTTGCAGCCAACTTTCAACTAAGTCTCATCTTTTTACTGTGACTGTTCCTAAGTGCTCCAAAAATTCTTATTTGTCTAGTTTTTTTCCTAGAACATCAATTCTTTGGAATTCGCTCCCTTCATCTTGTTTTCCTGATTCATATAATATGCAATCTTTTAAGTCTTGCAGCCTTGTTGGAATTGAAAATAATATTAAAAAAAACATTTTTAACTAATTTTAATTAACTGCATTCGTGGGCACCCACAGGTTTTTATTTCTTGCTTGTTAATAATAATTTTTTATGGTGGTTAGCAGTGTAAGTAAAACAAGATAAAACACATACTTCTACCATTTTAAAACCACTAAAGAGGAAACACAAACTGCTATGCTTATTTAAAACTATTATATGATGAATATAAACAATATGAACTAGATTTTAGATGAATAAAATGAACCTCATTTAAACTGCTTGGTCAAATAACTTATGCTGATTTATCATTTCTATTTTTGTATTTGTACTTTAGTATTAAGATATTTTATGTAACTATTTTTAACTTGTTTTAGACATAAAAATATTTAATTTAACTATTTTTACCTTGTCTTAGACATAAAAAATTTTAAGTATAAAAATAAAACTCATAATACAAATTTAAAATATATATATATATATATATATATATATATATATATATATATATATATATATATACATATATATATATATAATGACATTAAATTAAAAAAATTTAACAAAAAATACATACTCATATGGATAACGTGTGGTAAATAGAACCCGAAGATCAACCCTGACATGAACATCCTTTCCCACAACACTTTGCAATGGTGCTAATTTTAAAACAATTTCTGGAGATCCATAACCCTGATAATCAAAGTATAACAATTTAAATAAGATGATTTCTTTCTTTTTTTTCTTTTTGTTTTTACTTTTTGTTTAATTAAACTTATTTTTTTTAACTTTATTGATATGAATCAATAAAAAGTTTTCTATAAAATTTACATATTTTTAAAAAATTTGTTTATTTGTTATTTGTTCTTTAGATAAAAATCTTTTATAAAAAAATTAGATTCAAATCATCAAGATTTTCAACTAAAAGGTTTATTCATACTGAGCAAAAAAAATGTTTTGCATATGTAATGCATATGTACAAATATGTTTAAAAAAATGCTTTTGCATATGTTGAATTATAATTTAATTTTAATTCAACTCAATTCAATATATTTTGAAATAAGTTGTAAAATTTCAAGGACTTTTACAAATAAAAATAATTTTATAAGTACTAATCTAAAGTAAAAACCTGCAACATTACAATAAAAGTGATAATAATAGTAATAATATTAATAATAATAATAATAATAATAATAATAATAATAATAATAATAATAATAATAATAATAATAACAATAATAATAATAATAATACCAATAATAATAGTAATGATAATAGTTATAGAAATAATATCAACAATAATAATAAGAGGAAGATGAAGAGGAATATTATTAGTAACAATACTAACAATAACAATAAAAAATATTATACAATCAATATTAGATAGCAATAATAGTGATAATAACAACTATATAGTATAAGTAGTAAATAAATTTAAGAAAAAATTAAAAAAAGCAACAATAATACTTATGAAGTTATAAAATAAAAATAAGAATTTACTAATAAAGATAGAAGAATATTATTAATATCAATACTAACAATAACAATAAAAATATGAGAACAAAAAGTTAATAATAAGATGAGTAGGTATTAAGGGAGTAGTAATAATAATAAAAATAATAATAATAACAATAACAGCATAACAACCTATTTCAGAGGCTTTAGGTATAACATCTTGCTAAAAATAAGTTAAAAAGACAGTTTTTGAAATTAGTAATTGAGTCAATTGATTATAATGGTGAAAGTAGACTGTTCCATGATTTTACACTTTGGTATTTTATGGAGTTTAGACCATATTTTACATAAGAATGATTTGGTACATAAAGATTATAGCTATTAGCAGATCATAGATGATAGCGACAGCTTTCTCTAACAGTAAAATATTTTGTAAACGCGCTGGGTAGGCATTTTTATTTATGATAGTAGACAAAATGGCAATTTAATAGTTGAACAAAATCATCAATTTGGAGTATTTTGGATAAAAAATAAAGATGATCGGAGTTAGATTGATAATGCTGAATTGTTAGATTGATAAGTTAGATTAGATTGATAATGCCATTGAACTAGATTAGATAGATCATGATTAATGTATTGTTTATTTTTTTTAATGATTTGTTAATTAAAAGCAATTTAGTGTCAAAATGCAAAATGGTAGGAAGTTGTATATTCTAATAATAAATTAAGGTCGTTAATTTAAACAAGGAAAAGCAATGGTCCTAATACAAAGCCTTGAAGTACACCTGTAGTGCATTTTACTAAAGAAGACATGTTACCATTAATAGATACAAATTGAAATCTATCATAAAAATATGAGGTAAACCATTGGAGAGAAACTCTTCTAATACCATAGTATTCCAGTTTACTTAGGAGAATAGAATGGTCAACAGTGTCAAATGCTTTCTGTAGATCAACAAACACATTACAAGCAAAAAGCTTATTGTAAAGAGCTTTTCTGATAACTTCAGTGATTTCAATAAGTGCATGAGTTGCAGAATGCTTGCTTCAAAACCCATATTGGTGTTTGTAAAAACATTGATATTCATCTAGAAAGTTGTAAAGTCTGTTGTGCATAGCTTTTTCAAATATTTTACTAATGTTTGACAGAAGCGAAATTGGGCGATAGTTAGTGTGGTCAGTTCTAGAGCCTTTTTTATAAAGTGGAACAACTTTAGCTATTTTAAAGAGATCTGGAAAAAGTCCATTTTCAAAAGAGATATTTATCGTTGTACAGAGAGGCTTCGAGATAATATGGGAAACTTAGAGATAATATGGGAAAAGAGAAGAAACGTGGGAATACTATTGATACCTAAACTTTTTTTACTTTGTAAACTTTTTATAAGATTTGATACTTTGTTTTCAGTGACTGGATCTATAAAAAAGGAGTTATAATTTGGGTTATTTAAATAGTCTGAAAAATTACATTTAGGTGAAACAATTTTTGTTAACAGTGTTTGTTGAGTATTTACAAAGTAATTATTAAATATGTTTGATACAGTTTTGATGTCTGAAACTGTATTGCCATTAAATTTGAGATTAATAGATTTACTGAAAAAGGAAGAAGGTTTGATATTAATAATTTATTTTATACCTTTCCAAGCATTTTTTACATTGTAAAAATTATTGTTAAAAAATTGATGTAATATGATTTTTTAGAAAGTTTTAGTAAATTGCAAATGTTATTTCTGTACCATTTAAATTTATTAAAAATATGAATTTTAATGTTATGATTTTTTGCTTTTACTGTTTATATATTTTGTTTTTAATAGATATTGATTTTTCAATAATTCCAATGGTGATCCAAGGTTTTGATTTAAGTTTAATTTGTTTAGCAGTTAGTTTTTTATAGGGTGCATGTTGATCAAGAACTTTGTCAAAAGTTTTTAAAAAAAGTTCAAGGATTTATTGACATTATTGTTATTTGTAATTTGTATTTGCCAGTCTGCATTAGAAATATCCTGAATAAATTTTTTATTATCGAAATTTTGGAAAGTTCGTCTGAATGTTACCTCCTTAGTTTTTTTGGGAGGAGAACAAGGAATGCAGTGTAGATTTATCAAGGTTATAGTGCCATGATTAGTGAATAAATAGGTGTAATTTTCAAATAAGTAAAAGTAAGCATTACCATTGAATTGCTATCTTAAACAAGACAAGAATAACAACAATTTGATTTTTGAATGGTATGGTCATACTCTTCCTTCCATTCTAATTAAACAGTTTAACCCCTTGATAGACATTCAAAACACTCCAGCCTCCATTACTAAAGACATATCTCAGTTAAACTCTTCTACAGATTGTAGCCTAGGCAACATTCTTGTCATTGTCTGGTTCCAATATTTAAAAACTCTGAAAACAAATACCCATTTAAATATTTGAACCACTATTATTAATGACAAAATCTTTTTTACCACTTGTCATTAATGACAAGTGGTGAAAAAGATTTTTGTGTGGTTCATATTTAACTGTATTTTACTAGATGTTACGCATACAATAAATGAAAAATGGCTCCTCTCTACCTTACCCTGGAAAAAAATTCTCGTGGCCATTCGTTTGAGTTGAAAACTTTTTTTGACTTCAAAAGGATTTGGGAAAATGTTTCATTGATAATCTCCCCTTATCTAGGGTTTAATTATCCATCAGATTTGACATGGAATGACCCATAGGAAAAATTTATTCCCAAGATCTAAAACTTATTCCTAAGATCTAAAGTCATTTGCCTATCAAATGGGATCTAACTATTTTATGACCTATTAAAACTTTAGGCATTTTCTCAGATAAAGTCTGTCAAAAAAAGTTGTTTAGAGTTAGTAAGTATTTTATAGTATCCCAAAAAACCTTATATTGCTGAATTTGATTTTAAGTTGCTCAGATTGCTGTTGAAAAGTTAGTCATAAAAAGCATAGATGCTTTTTATTTTTCTTGCACTAAATGAATCAAAATAGTATGGTAAATCTATCATACTATTTTTATTCATTTAGTGCAAGAAAAAAAAATCAGCTATAAAACAAATTACAACAAAATAACAGGGTTTCTTACAATTGTGCAATTTTCATGTGTAAATTGTAAGTTCTTATCTGATCAATTTTGATTATTTTTTTGAGCAACCAAGTACAAACAATTTGCCACTGCTGAATGATCAAAAAGCTAAATATCTCTAATAAGCTGAGGAACTGTCAACATTTGTTATGGCTCTACACAAACTTTAATTTGGAGCAAACAAAGTTGAATCACATTGCCTTATTGCCCTTTGCTCATTTTTTACTAATTTTTTAACCTATTTTATACTACTTATTAAACCTATTTTATAATATTAAACTATTTTATACTATTATTATTAAAAAGTTGATGTTGCTTTTGTCCTTGATAATCTTTTTATTATTTACTTTTTCTATCTTTATATTTTTAGTAATTTACTTTAACTCACTTTTTTTTCTTTTTTTTATTTAATTATTTTTTCAGTATCTGTTTTTAAAATTTTAGGTATTGCCATATTGTTTATGTATCGCCATATATTTATACTATTACATTATCACTATACAGTGATACCTAAAATTTTTAAAACAAATACTGAAAAAATAATTAAATAAAAGAAAAAAGAAAAGAAAAAAAAAAAAAGAAAAGTGAGTTAAAATGAATTACTAAAATAAATTAAGTGTCACAAATTGATAAAATTAGTTATTACATATATTACCTAATTTGTATCTATTAGTGACACCTAGCTTATTTTTTTTAATTTATTATAAATTTTTGTAAATGAATTTTTATAATATATTTATAATAAGGATAAAAATTAGGGACAAGTTTAACAATAACATTAGATAAATTTTAGTAAGAATATTACTTAAAAAAAAACAAAAAAAAAACTTTATTATATATACTTAGTAAATGATGTTATTCTTTGCTTTGTATTAACGAAATTAAAGAAATATACAAAGAACAGTTCATATGTTTTTTACATTTCAAAAACTACCTCAGAATAATTCACGTTATCATCCATATATACTGCTTGTATAGCTTTTATTTCCTTAGTTAGGATTTCACGCCAATCTTCGCTTTTCATTCTTTTTTAATTATTTTTTTATATTTATTTTTTGTATAATAGTTATAAACATATTTTTTTATTAAACTATTGTTCTAACAAGACTATGAGTAAGTATGTTAGCGAAGTCATAAGAAGAAGACTACGAAACATATTTTAAAACGGTTCGGTGTCTTTAAAGCGAAACTTTTAAGAGCGAAAGTTTTGAAAGCGAAAGGTCGGGAAAGCGAAAAAGTTAAAAGCGAATGCGATTGGTTAAGCGAGAAAATTTTTTTAACAACATTAGTAACATCTTAAATTAAGATTTTATTAAGATTTAATAGCATCTTAATAACATTGGTAACATCTTAATAACATTTAAATAACATTGGTAACATTATTATTTTTATATAAATACATATGAGTTAACCTATTATTCTTTTTCATTGAATTGTGTCATCTTAAAGTTGTTACAATTGAAGTGAGTCAATTTCAGAAATAAGTTCATGAAGTTTATTATAAACTTTAAAAGTTTATACTTTATAGAAAATTGAGTAGGGCACAATTGAATTGTTTAGAATTTTGCTCCAAAACAAAGCGTAAAAGTTAAGTGTGTATACCAATTATAATAGGGAAAATTAGTTGTTTTCGCATAAAAAATTTAGTTAGTTAGAAGTAGTTCTCTTTTATGTGCCAGCATATCGGCCAGTTATATTTACTGTTTAATTATCTGCAAGGCAAAGTGAGTATTTTAATATTTTTGTTTAAAATAATTTTAATAATTGTTATCAGACATTCACTTTAGAAATATGAACTATAGCTTAAACTTTAGGCTTTTAAGTTAAAGCCTGTGTCAAAAATGACTTTTATATGTTGTATTTAAATATGACTTAATGACATTATTTATATGACAAAAATGGCTTTTATATGGTGCATTTGCCTGAAATTTGACTTATAGTCTATTAGTCAAAAATCACAATATAAGTCTCTATAATAAAGATACTTATATTGTGACCATTATGTATGGCATTATCTTGATCGATGTTGTTACACTTGGAATATGTTGTTTCAACTTTTAGGTATTTTATTTTGCTACAATTTTTTTATGATGTTGTTTTGATTTGATTTGTTCTGTAAACAGAAAGCTGTACAGTGTCCTTTTTTTTCCCACCTGTTGAATTTCAGCAACATTTTTGTCAAAATTATTTATAGTTCATTTTACAAGAGGTAGTAGAAGATTATTTTATTTTTAACTACTTTCTTATTTTGTAATGTGGTTTTTTTTTTTAGAACAACTTAAGAGTATGATTTAATAACTGTGTGAATCTTCTTGGTTGATGCCTAAAAGATTTTTTGAAGGCAGTTCTACATTTTATTGAAATATAAAAACATGCCAATATCCCAAAAATTATTCTGCGTAATGTTTTTTGGATTGTTTGCATGTAAAATTAAAAATTCAGTCATTAATTGTGAAAAAGACTAATTGGCTAATTAGTTTAAAAAGTTTCAATGGTGATGATTGATTGGTGAGAAACTTATTTACTTTTTATGTTTTAATTACATGATTTGTAAATATTTATGATATGAATTGTTTGTGATCTCAGTATAGTAAAGTTTTTATTTCTACATTTGTATTACTTAGCACAAATATTTTATAATTTTGTCTACAGATTGGTTTGTAATAGTCTTAATTATCTTATTTACTTAATGTTCAGTATACTGTTATGTTGTTTTTAAACTAGATAAAATAGTTTTTAAAACGAAAATGACTGCTGGCTCTATATGAATCTAATTTAAGTTTACTTCTTTAGGAATTTTATATCATATATTAAGTTTATTGTATTGGTAACTTTTTTATTACTAAAAAAAGAATTTTGTTACACAAAAAAAAGTGTAAAATGCATAACATCCCAGCTATTACAATATATTGGAGGGCTTTTATTGGAAATGTTTTTTTTTTAACATTTTCATTTCCAACAAGACTGCAAGCACCTACTATTAGAGAAAAGATGAAATTTATAGAGTAAAATAACAACTAACAGAAAAAATTAATAGATTGCGAATTATATGAAAAAAAACAAACAAGCTGAAGCAAGTGAAAAAAAAGTTTCACGAAAAAACAGATTAGAACTTTTTAGGCACTTAGGAACAGTCATATTAAAGGATTAGCCTTTATTGAATGATGAGTAACACAATAGTGAGTTTTAGTAGATGATACAAGAGACGCTAGCTCTTTAGAGCAGTGTCCATAATTGTATTTATAAAAAATAAAATGAGAAGCAACATTATGATAATATTCTAATGGTTGGAGGTTGGCTGCAAAGGTCAAGGTGCAAAAACAATTCCTTTTTGTACCTTGTCTAAAAGAGAAAGGCCATTACTGGAAGATCTGATTAAGATATGGCAAAAGTGTTCCATGCAGGGATGGATGTAAGATTTATAGAGATAAGACATAAATATTTATAGAGATGTTTGAATTGATGAATACTTTTAAATTTAATATTGTATCATAAGTTGACAATATATTCAAAGACTGAAATTTAGCACAATTGTATTAAGCAAAAGTCTTTGCACACCACCAATTAAGCATTTATATTTCAAGAGTTGTTTATTGATAAAAGCTTGCCTTAATTTACATAAATAGTAATATTTGTAGATATTATTATCTACTAGATAATAATTTATATTAAAAACTAACCTTTATATGTCTCGTTTTCAAATATGTTGTGTTGATATATTTGCCCTGGCTTTTAGTTTATGACTCAAAATTTAAACATCAATTCTTGAGGTTTAACTATCTCATCATTTCTAAAAGTATTAAGGGTAGACAGCCTAACTCACCATACCTAATCAAAACAAAAGAACATTATAAATTCGTATCTTTCTAATTTTATGAATAATTTTTATTTAAACATTAAAACAATTTTTTGGTTGAAATCTAATACATAAATTTCAAAAAAAAAATTAAAATTAAATAATATCAATAAGAAATTACGCAAATCTTTTTTTTTAATCTATAACTTATTAACTTGTAGTGCAATTATAATTTTTATGCAAGATTTTATACCTTTTTGTCGCAATGTAACTCAAGTCTCAGCTAGAATACCAAATGAATAAATAATTCTAAACTATATGCATTTAATTCTATACTAAAACTATATACATAAACTCTAAACTATATACAATAAGTTTTTTTTATTTATTTAATCTAATAAACTCTAACTGTAACTATAACTCTCAGCTAGAATATCAAATAAATAATTCTAAACTATAACTAACTTATAATTATAAAAATATTATCAGTTTAAAAAAAATAAAATCCAAACGCTAAATAATCTATAATATAATATTGAGATAATAACAAAATCAGAAAAAATTTCAATAAATTTCAGTTGTTGTTGCTGTTGAACTTATCGCGATACTCGATTTCCCGGTTTTCGCTTTCAAACTTTTCGCTTTAACGTTCTTTCGCTTTAAAACATTTCGCTCTTACGTTCTTTCGCTTTTAAACTTTTCGCTCTTACCTCCCATTACCTTTTAAAACATTGTTCCTTTTAATAACTTTTCTCCGCATAACATGTGGCATACAGTAGTATGTTTTGATTACTCTGTAGTAATTTATTTTAAGATTACTCAATAATTTACTTAACGTAGTTTGTTCTGATTCCTCGCATTTTTAAATTATAATTTTCGGCAGGATTTTTAATTACAAGTCGAAAATATTTATCAGTAATTGCTATAAATTGCTAAATAAATGCGCGAGAGTTCTATATCTCACTTCGCTAGCCTTGATCTATTTAATAAAAACTAAAATATGTAAAAACTTATTTTCAAAGTCATCTTTATATTTTTCAAAAACTTATTTATACAAATGAGTATTTGAGCTCTAAAATTAAGATAAGTTTAAATTTACAACTGTGCTACTGTTTTAAAGTTATCATTTGTTGTATGATGGAGAGCCGTCGTCCAGATGACCTGCGAGAGATACTTTGGCGGGCGAAAGCATTCCAATTTGTTGTTTTATACAATTAACTTCTTTAGTTGTTAAATCTATTGTTTCCATCACAAAAACAAGTTTGATAAGTTAAAAATACCTAATAGATAATGTGTTAATGTACCTAGTAGATAATGTCTGTGGTATAGGTGATACCAAAACCACCAAAATGGTGGTTTTGGTATCACCTATACCACAGAAAACTTGTATTTGAACCATTGAAATACTAAACAAAGTTTAGTATTTCAATTTCGATTTTATCTTCAAAACGCGGTACAAAATTGTACCACGTTTTGAAGATAAAATCGAAATTTTGTTTGCAATCAAAACTGAATCTCTTTTTCTTTCTTTCCTCAGTTTTGATGTCGCAACCATACCTAGCTCTTGGATACTTAACTTTAGTAGGTGTTTCACTTTGTTTAAGCTTTAAGACCGCAAGTGCTGAAAGATTTTGTTGGCCGACCAGATCTGATTTTTGTGATACTTTGTTGGGAGTTATTTGGGTCACTTTGAAATTCAGGATCATTATTTTCAAATTTGTTCTGATACAAGTTGAGTAGATGTCCGTGAAGGGCTACTAAAGTCTTAACCATAATCCATTTTTTATCTTTTTTTATTTTTATTTATATATTTTATTTTTGCTGTCATTTTAACGTTTAAACAATTTAAAGCAGCATCAAATAACCCATTATTGCGATTTAATACAAAAATACTAACTTTTTGATTGATTTTTACAGTTTAGTAAAAGATACTTATTAAAAGCTGAAAACAATAATAAAAGAGAAAATTATCAAATTTTAATATTTATTAATCATTTTAAAATAAAATAATTCAGAATAAAGTTTCTCACTAAAGAAGTCTCTCACTGAAGTCTCTCACTATCAATTTTCTTCGACAATTCATTTTCAATATAAAAGATTGAAAGTGTTGACATTCTCTCCAGTCCAATTGTTGAACGGCTGACGAATATGTTACATTCATAATATAATTTTCTGTATCAATAAAGGCTTTTGTTATTTGTTCATAGTGATCAAAATTGGACCTTGTTAACTTGAAATCTTTTAAATATTTCCGTAGAAAAAATTTAAACTTAATATTTTATGTTCAAATTGAGTGAAATTTTAAACAGATGGTGCACCAATAAAAAACATTCGTCGAATAAGAACCACTCTTTAATATTTAATGAATCTTTAAAGAGTGCTTTTTTGAAATTTGATGGTGCAAATGTTGCCTACGACCTCATCAAACACTGGAAAAAAATTCGGTCAGATTATTTATTGGCAAAGAATTTATGATAGTTTCACTTAAAACGTTTCCAATTACTTTGATATTTTGTAACTATTTTCAAAATAGGGGTTTTCTACTATGTAATACTCTGCAACACTAACATCTAGATGTCTAGCGCAAATCAAAATACCATGCCCATCTTTAAAAAATGAAACAAGCGCAAAGCTTGCAACTATAGGCTAGTGTATCTCACTTTTGTCGCGTACAAGGTAATGGAGAGAATTATTAAAGAAATGATTATAAAATATTGTGCAATTTAACTTCAAAGTCTCAATATAATTTTGTACATAACAAAGGCTACCTTACAAATTTAATAGAATCTCGAGACATTCTCACAAAGACATTAGTCCATAGAAACTTCGTTTTTACTGATTTTGACGAATCATTTAACACAGCCACGTAAACGACTTCTTCATAAACGTTATGAAGAAGTCATAACGATTGCAAATATTACAGTTATACGTTATGTAATGACATAAATAACATACATAATGTTTATGTCATTATGTGATGACATTTACATACGTTATGTAAATATTACAGCACTGTAAATTGGTCGCATAACTGGTCTATATACTTCAACGTGCAGAAACGCAAAGTAATGCACGTTGGTTTTCGCAACAACAAACACATCTACACTATGGCAGATATCGACGGTAACCTACGCGAACTTGCTGCAACATGCATTAAGCGCGATCATGGGATATTATTATCCAACTATCTGAAAGTCAAAGCGCAGGTAGAAGCAGCAGCTTCGACTGGCACTCGAATGCTTGATCGCCTAAAAAATCTTTTTGATGCTCAAGTCTTCAGCTTTTAAAAAAACTGTATCTGATCACGTTATACTGTATTTAGAGTTTAGTACACAGGCCTGATATAACATCGTGGCCAACAATGTGCAAATAAGACAATATAGTCAGTTAAACATTTAAGTTATAATCAACGACTAAAAATAGTTGGTTTAACTACACTCTTGAAGAAGTTATAGTGACCTAATATTACAATACAAGATTGCTCACCATTTACAATAGTTTGAATTTTACGTTGCACAAGAATAATCTCATTAAGCTCGGCATAAAATTTAAGAAGTAATACTCGGTGTTTAAAACTCCATCTAAAAAAAGATTATTTAGAACGTCAGCACTTTTTCACAAACCCAGTAGCAAATTGTTGGAATGAATCAGCGTAGGATGTAGTTGATGCACCTATTAAAAAGTATCTTTAAAATGCTGCTTTGGCTGCAACAACATCGTCAGCATAGAAAATCTTGTTGTTACTTTTCTTCATTAATATAAAACTTTTTATGTACTTTTATTGATTATTGTTTCAAGTAAATAAAAAATAAAAAAATACCAACGTTTTTATTTAAATTGTTTTATTCTTACATGTACCATTTCCATTCTATAAACCAAAATATTGTTATTTAAAACGTGGTTTGATTAGACTTTTCCACAGCGTAAAAGCACATTTCCTAAGTTCTTTTCAAAGGACTCCTAGATGGGGAATAAAAAATTGATTTCTCTTTAAACATAAAAATTGTGAAAAAAACAAATATTCTTTATTTTGACTAAGATAACTTTTCTAAAAACATCTGATTTCCTAATAAAAATTTTTTAAATTGAATTACTATTTACCACAGTATAACATAAGAGCTATTAAACCATGGTTAAACTATAGCTTTAGGAGTACAAAAAATTTGTATTGTATTTCATAATTATTTTCTAGAAAGTATAAATATTAAATCATTATTTTTACATACATTTTCCGCACTCAATTCAAAATTACTTCCACCTTAAAACGTTTTTTTTTTTTACATTTTACTATTATCAATTAGTACTTCCTTATTATTATTTTGTGACATTCATTATAATCCGTAATCTATGGTGTTCTGTTACCTAATCTCTAATAACTCAGATTCTGCTAGCAGTTCGTTAAATACTGTTTGCTTACTGTTTAGATTGGTTATGCAGCTCAATAATCTTACCTTGTTCTCTGGATGAATACTGTTTCGCTTATACCTTGACCAATGTTGATAATAATCTTGACGAGCATCTTTAGATGACTATTGTTTCGCTTATACTATAACCAATGTTGGTGAAACGTTGATCTTGATAAACAGTTTCAACTGGCTGTGAAAATTTCAAATACACTTATATCAAATAAAGATTCTATGAAAAATATTGCGAGGACTGGAGTCTGGAAACAAAAAAGTTTAAAAATTTTTAACCTCTCTGCCCCAAACGTAAGAATAACAAGTTGAAAAAATAAGTTTTTTACTATTCTTAACTATATTCATCGATAAATTTATAATTAGATTAATCTTTTAGCGTTTAAAAATTATGAACAAATTTTATGCGGTCATAATTTTTGAAAGTAACAAAAAATGATTTCCTTTATCTAAAATACTTTTAAGAAAATGCAAAAACTGCCATAAACTACGAACTGGCGTATGTGCGATTTGGCATAAGAGCGCCAAAAGAATTCTTAAATATTAGCATAAGTGCGAAGCGCTGGCAAAAACTGGAATAAATGCTAATTGGCATAAGTTCGACAAAAATTTTTTGCAAACATTGGCATAAGTGCGAAGCAGTTGCAAAAACTGGCACAAGTGCGAACGGGCAAAAATACGAACTGACATAAGTACGCTAAAAAGAGTTTGGAAACATTAGTATAAGTACAAAGCAGTTACAAAAACTGGCATAAGTACGGACTGGCATAAGTGCGAATTGGCATTTCGAGTGCGCCGAATAAAATTGCAAATATTAACATAAGTGCAAATTTGCATTTCGCACTTATGCCAATTTTAACAAATTTTTTTGGCGCATTTATGCCAGTTTTTGCAACTGCTTCGCACTAATGCCAGTTTGCACTTACAAATTTTGCGCTTATTCAGTCGTCCCACAAATACGTTATATAGTCCTCCAGGATTATATAACATAATAGTAATATATTTAGTTTACCATATCAAACCGCGATCGTGAACGGACGTGTTTTTTTTTTACAAAGAAAATAAAAGTAGCGAAATTTTCCGCATCTCAAATAAAACTTACTTGAGATGCAAGGATAAAACCATTTAATGATTAACTCGAAAAAATGAAGAATAAAATTTATAATATGCAAGATGAAAATAAAATTCTCAAAAATGAAATGAGAGAATTGAAAAAGGTAGACTTTGTTAGTGAGAAGTACCAAACAACTCTTACTGAACTAAAATGAGAAAACAATTATAAACGGAAAGGTGCACAAAAAGAAACTTATTAACAAATATTCTATTAGGAGCACATCAAAAAATTGTTATTTTTACAAGAGCAGCAACTTAATCTTAATCAATTTTCTGAATTTAATAATTTATTATAAATACCCGTCAACTTAGTTCGTTATTAGTTATTTTTCAGGTCTTTGGAGGATAAGCTAGTAAATATTTTAAGTTAAAAATGGAGTCTTTATCCAAATAACTTTAACGTATATTTAAAATGATTTCAGAAATAAAATAAAAAAACAGGTAGACAACGCAATAATTTTTGGCGTCTTTGAGGATGAGTTAATATTTAATGTAAAGTAGTTGAGCTAATATTTAGAACATCCTCTTTGTAGGATGAGCTAAATAGTAAAATCTTTGGAAAATGAACTAGCAAAACTACCGAAGTTAAAAATTACGGAGTTTTTATCAAAATATCTTAAGCGTATATTTAAAATGATTTCATAAATAAATTAAAAATTAAACAGCGCAATAATACACAGTATTGTATATAAAATGTTGCGGTCATTAAGTTAGTAAACAGTAATACTGTAAAAATGCTAACAAAGTTTCTGCAGTATTAACTTACGACTCTAATGTAACAACTTCTAGAAAACTCAAACTCATGGACTTCTGACTATTTTTATTTAGTGCGGACCTAGTGTGGACATAAAATCCTTTTATTTCCTCATCTTTCGTAAAAAAATAACCATTGAGTATTCTTAGAAGAAATTTTATGCTCCAGAATTTGGAAAGAAATTATTGACCAATGTCGTTTCTTGGTTTTAATAAGGCATTGCTTGAACTTAAACCAAAATAAACGCTTTTAGAAAAATGTTCACTCAGCGTGAAGTAAATTTTTTTTCTAAATCAGCTTTGGTTCTTTGCTTTGTATGAATGTTTCTTTTGATTCGATCTTCTACAGAAGCAGTTGTGTCTGATGAATATGAAGCTACTTGTAACTTTCTAGAGAAATAATAATATATATACAATATAATGTAAAGCATGGCCACAAAAAAATTTAATCAATTTTAAGAGCGTTAAATAAAACATAATATTACTAATAGAAAAATGTACATTTTAAGCATAATCAATAAATATTATTTTAATAATTTTAAATAAATGTTTTACAAATTTGATATTAGTACTGATATAAATAATATAAAAGATTATTATAACTTACTTTATAAAACGTGCTTTGTCTTCATTAACGTTGCTTTTACTTAAAACGGATTTGACTGTCTCCTCTTCTTTGATTGTTTCTTCCTAAAAGTAAAAAAAAAATAGACTTAAAAAATCTGAATCGGAAACAAAAGTTAAAATAAAAATCTAAAAAAAAAGTCGAAATTTCTGATTAAAACAATTGATTTAATTCTAAATGAAATTTGTTTAATAAAATTATTGTTCTTATAAGCAGGGCTCAGATAAAAGTTTCAGATAATAGTGTCCAATTAGCCTTTATGATTACAGCCCTATGGGAGACAAACAACTATCAATCATTTTGTATAACAGAACAACTGCTTGCCTGGTAGCCTTGTGGTAGCCTTGCCTGGTAAAATTCAATAATCAAATTTAATTTAAAATATTATGTTGTTTGTTATAGTTTGAAGAATAAAACCTTTGCTTGAGTTTGAAGATTAAAAACCTTACGGGAACTAAATATTATTTCACGTTATAAATTATTACTTATATAACTAACATATAAAATACTATTGGTTATACCTCATGAGATCGAAGGTTTTTAATCCTTTGTTCCTTTCTCCATCTAAATTGAACTCAACTTATTAAAATTTATCATTTTCATTCAACAAATTTTTTTCATTAATCAATCTAAAATACAATTTATTGTATTTTAGATGGATTCTCTATCACGAATTGCCTTTAAATGAAAAAACATCAAACACAACATACTTTGCATTCTGCATCATGAATTGTCTTTGCTTTTCCAAATCACTCTCATCATCTGAACTTGAACTTAAGGTAGATAAATAAATTGTAAGGTAGATAAATGTTAAAATATTTATTATTTTAAGATATCAAGTTTTTATTATTTTTTTAGAATTATTTTGTACTATTACATCTAATGCAAAATTTATTATATTACTGTTATTTATTATTACATATTATTATGTGTCAGATATTTTACAAACTTCATTAATATGGATACCTAAGAGATCTTTTTCTTTTTGACTTGTTTTGTGTTCTGTACTCTTTATCACCTCTATGATCCCCTCGTGATGATTCAGAGTCTCTCCTATGAACTTTTGAAGAGTCCTGAGAATTTTTGCTTTTTGCGTTTTCATAATATTTTTCGCTATTTTCGTGCCTAGCATTTTTAAATGGTTGTTCATACCGATGACTTGAGTGATGATTGCTTGAATCATAATTTCTAGAGCTATGCTTGTTTGATTCATGAGTCTGTAGATCACGATTGCTAAAATTATGCGTAGAATATCTGGAATCATATTTTTCATCTGATCTCTCTTTACTATATTTTATGCCATGTTTTGAATCATACTCAGTCTTAGATAAATCCTTTTCACTTCTTCCATTAGTATACCTGAAAATAACATAAAACATTTTAGAGAAAAAACTTATATTAAACTTATAAGGAAATAAAACAAGATGTTTGTTTCTTAATTATTCTACTTTTTTTTTGTCTATATATCCTAACTAATAATTTAATTATTAAATTACTAATTATTCCAGTTTTTTTTTGCTTAGATTTTATTCGTTGTTTCTTCAAATTAGTTAAATTTCTTTTTATCCATTATCTCAAAAGCTTTATTTTTAACTTGAAGTAAAACATTTATGAAATATTATAAACTAATGATAAAGACAAAACTAGTAATCATTTCATTAACAGTAAAGCATTGATTCTTTAAGGACTATAAAAGATTTGCCAGAGTTTATTTGTCTTATTGTTAATTACTATTTAATTTCTAATATTCCTCTAAAAGGTAATAATAATAAGATCATCCAGAGTTAGATTTAAATGATAATACTAGTGTTTTCCGAATAAGACAATTAACTTTTTTGAATTTGCTAATAGCTATAGTTTTATTTAAGTTCATTGTTACACTTAAGTCAACAACTAAAATCATCATTTTAATCACCAGTGAATCAAGTATACATCCGCCTACAGTTTCTAATAGTCATTGTAAGTCTATTTACTGTTTATACATTTTTCATATTTTCAGAAAATCAAAGGCTTTATTTAGCATTTAGTGATTTATATTAAATTTATTAAATTTAATATAAAACACTAAATGCTATATAAACAAAGGATGAAAACATAAGAAAAAGTAAAAAATATTTTCCACATTGAAAATTCACATTATTTTATTTTGAGATTAGAAATATTGGTTAACACCATTTGTTCAGGCAGAATGGAGTACAATTACACACTATTGCTGACCATAAAAATAATATTTTATGGCTAAAAATTGACTACAGCTTTTTAAATGCTTCGAGAACATTTTTAAAATGCGCAAAAAAAAAAAACTTAACTTGACCAGAGAAAGAACAACTGAAATTGATATTTTGTCTATCTATTATTAGGACCAAAAGTCTATTAATAGATCTAATATTAAAATAGATAATAGGCTTCAGCAGCGCACAAAATAAAAAATCAGAGATATGTAGTCGATTTGACTGGCTAACTAAGAGGTCTTGTTAATTTTTGTTTTATAACACTTACCGAACTTTGTAAATAAAAATAAACATGTTTTAAAAGTATTACTTACAACATAATTTTAAATCAATCCAAGTGATATAGCTTTTTTCAAACAAAACTCACAAAAAAGTTTTATGATAAATGTTTCAAAAATTTTTACAGTAAATAACTAAAAAGTTTTAAAAAGTTTGAAATATCGTTAGTCTAAAATAGCTTACCTGCGCTGTGTTATGATTAAAAAAGTGGGTTTGATAATATAAAACTAATTTATGTGTTTAATATTTTTTATATTTTAATTTTAACTAAGTTGTTTAAGTTTTTTTATAAAATTTTTATAAAATTATTAATTAAACATAAGCAAACTTAAATTTAAAATTTTTATTTGTAATTTAATATCCCCTAATGCTTTGCATTTAATATCCCCTAATGCTTTGCAAGACATAAAGACATTTTTAATTTTTAAATTTACTACTTAATTTGAGTGGTAATTATTTCAAATAGAAACCAAGTGTAGCGTATAAAATATGAAATTTTAGCATGCGATGATGATATGAAGTTCAATCCAACACTTACTTCACTTTTACTACAAAGGAATGGGGGGAGGAGGGGTTGGATCACCCACCTCTTCTCACCCCACCTTTGAAACCATCCCTTTAAATATTTAATACTTAAAAGACTGCCATTTCATAAAATGCCAAGACAAAAATTACTAATGCTAATTATTTTCTTGACAACTCAATGGAAAAAACTTGTTAAAGATAATTATAGTTTACATAAATTGTTTAACAGTTTATTAGTTGCATAATGTTCATTCATTGACTTCAACTAGTGGCATAATTTTGATAAGATTTTTTGATTAGATCTAATTTAAAAAAATTTAATTAAAAAATTGAACAAGTAAAAAATAAAACAGTTTGAAGAAAGTTTTTAATTAACAGAAAATAACAATAAAATAAGAACTTTATCAAGTATGTAAAAAGTAAAGATTGATTTTACCAGGATGTGTAACTAAAGATGTAAAAAAATATATATATATAGCTTAAGCCATATATAACACACATTAAATAAATTAAAGGTAACTGCAAAATATCAGAGTATTAACAGTGCCATATTGCACATGGATGGTGTCCCTGTTAATGCTTTTGGTGTGCATTGTCAAGGCCACATAAGGAGCCCTATGTCACGGCTTAGGGTTAATTAACAGGACTGAGACAACTGCATAGCTCATTGATTAGGAGGCTGTGCTCTATCTATGAATGAGTCAAGTTCTTATTAAACCCAAATCATGACCAAAGTAACCAAAAATTTTAAACCTAAAATACCATCCCCACCATCTAAATGTTTTAATATATCTTTTACAAATATTCGGGGTCTGCAAAGCAACTTTCCGTCAGTTGAGTCTTACCTCCTGCAAAATTCACCAGACTTGCTTGCACTCAGTGAAACAAATTTAAATTCTGCAATTCCTTCTTCAGATTTAATGCGGTAGTGGTGTAGTGGTAGAGCGCTCGCTTCATAAACGAGTGGTTCCGAGTTTGATCCCCACCACGTCCCTGGTAGTACCGCGCTCAACTCGTTTCTCCGCGCAGCGGCCTTGTTCGTCAAGGTTCGTGTTTCGGAGTTATAGAGTTGAGAGAGGGTTATAGCCACAAAATAAGTAGCCTCCTCGTTTGTAGTGGCCTTCTCGGCCTTGAGGAGGTGAAGTAAAATAAAAAAGTAAAAAAAAAAAGATGTCAGTGTTGATGGGTACTATCCTTTGATTCGTAAAGACTCCAATAGTCACATGCTAGGTTTAGGGGTATACATACGCATTAATTCCCCTATTTGTCGTGAAATCAGGTTCGAATTCTTTGACCATTCTTTTATGTGCTTTCGTCTAGCACCTCTTCACTCTATCACCTTTCTCTTTGTTCTTTATCGTTCTCCTTCTTCCCATGATTGCACTCTTTTAGATGTCTTGCAGAATTGTTCACCAGAACTTTCTTCAATTTTCCTGCTTGTTGGAAAATGGCATCTGTGGTTCCAATATTCAAAAACTCTGGAGAAAATTCTGACCCCTCCAATTATCGTCCGATCAGTCTTCTTTCTGTTATTAGCAAGGTCTTTGAGTCTTTGATCAACGAATTCCTCACATCTCATCTTGAGTCAAATAAACTACTGTCAGACAATCAATACGGTTTTTGATCCTCTTGCTCTATGGCCGACTTGCTAACTGCTGTAACTGAAAGATTTTATCGTGCATTAGATGGAGGCGGTGAGGCTAGGGCTATTGCTCTCGACATATCTAAAGCTTTCGACAAAGTTTGGCATGCTGGTCTTCTCCATAAGCTTGCTTCATATGGTGTTTCTGGGAAAGTTTTTGAGATTATCAAATCATTTCTTTCTAACCGGTTATTAAAGTCATCCTTGAAGGCCAACACTCTTCTTTATTTCCAGTAACTTCTGGGGTTCCCCAAGGTTCCATCCTGGGCCCTGTTTTGTTTCTTATCTACATAAACAATCTTCCTGATAACCTTTCATCTAAAGTAGCTCTTTTTGCTGATTACTCAACTTTATACTCCTGTCTTGGCAAAAAGTCTTCTCTTTTCAATCGCCTAGAACAAGCAGCTGATCTTGAATCTGATCTCACTTCAGTAATAGATTGGGGTTCACAGTAACTTGTGAATTTCAACTCTAACAAAACCCAGTTGTTTACTGCAAACAACTACCGTAATATGGTCAACATTCCTAAATTAATGAAAGGCAATCCTCTTACTGAGTCCTCTTCTTTACGTCTTCTTGGATTATTGCTTACTACTGACCTTTCATGGAAACAATATATACAATTGACTGCTAAATTAGCTTCTGCTATGGTTGCTTCTCTTTATCGTGCTCGCCATTTCCTTACTTCTGATTCCATTCTCTCTCTATACAAATATCTTATTCGTCCCTGTATGGAATACTGTTGTCATATTTGGGCTGGTTCTTCTAACGATTCACTTTCTCTTCTTGACAAGGTCCAAAAACGCATTGTAAATGTTGTTGGACCTGGACTATCTGCTAAGCTTGAAGCTCTTTCCCATCGTCGTAAAGTTGCATCTCTTTCTCTTTTCTACAAATACTATCATTGTCACTGCTCAAAGGAGTTATCATCTCTAGTTCCATCAACTAAAATTTACTCTCGTTTTACTCGTCATTCAGCTAAGTCTCATTCGTTTACTGTATCTGTCCCTGCATGCTCTAAAAACTTTTATTCATCTAGTTTTTTTCCCCGCACTTTAATCATTTGGAACTCTCTCCCATCTTCATGTTTTCCTGACTCATACAACCTTCAACTTTTCATGTCTTCTGTCAACCGTTTCCTTGCTCTATAACTCTGTTCTTTTTTTTCCTAGTAACTCCCAACTTAATAGTGGTTGCTTGCAGCCTTGTTGGGAGTGAATGCAAATAAAAAAAAAAAATCTTATATTTTAAGTTAATATATAAGCATCTTATATTATATATATTATATATATAAGAATATCACAAATTTAATTTCATCAAAATATTTGAAGAATAAATTTCTAAAAAGTTAAACTAAATATGTTAAAATAATTTTCAAAAAGGAAGTGCAACTGCTTCAAAATACTGCTGATAATGTTTAGCAATTCGATTTTCTAATTTTAATTCGATTTTCTAATTTTATCATAAACTCAGGCACAGTGCTGGTTCAACCTTAAGTCACTATGTATATATGTATGCTTGTGTTCGGTTTGAACCTATGGCATGATGTTTAATTGCCCAAAAGTTTCTAGGTGCATGTTTTTGTTCTGTTTGAACCTGTTTGGTGTGTTGTTCAGTTGCCTATGAGTTCCTGTCTGTTTAATTGATTATTAGTTTTATTAACTTGAATGATTATCAAAAAAAATTTATTACAAAAAACAAAAAATATTAGTTTAAAAATATATTTAAAACTAATTTTTTAAACAATCAATAAAAGTTAATTTGTTTAAAAGCAGTTCGCTAATATAAAAACAAATATTTGAAAAGATTAAAAGTTTACAGCTAGTTTTTTAAGCAGATGTTTGAAAATATTTATTTGGACATGTAAAGATATAATATTCTCAAATTATCTAAAAAGCTGTGTCAATTTGTTCAAACAAATTATTATAACCGTGCAGGCCATTCCCTAACAAGCCTGTTTGAGACAACGTTTATATATTTTTTTTGTGTGTGTATTTTTCAGAAAATCAAGTTTTAGATTTTAGTACGTAAAGACTTTCTGCCAGAAAGTCCTACTGATTATTTAAATATTTTCTAAAGTGTTATCCTCTTTGTGACCAGACTTTATTTTATTTTTATCCAAAATTATTCGCAATACAGTTACATGGTGCTATTTTTACTATTATATTATAAATTATTATTATTATATTATAAATTATTTGCAATACATGGTGCTATTTCTAGCACCATGGTGCTATTTTTAGCACCATGTAACTGTATTAAGAACTAATATTGCTTTGTGTGACAGTTATGCCATTTTTTATTAAATGGTGAACATGTGCATATAAATGGCAATTATTTGCAAAAGAAAATCAACAGTAATATAGTGTGAGAACTAATATGTACAATTAATCAAATGTTTGTACTTTCTTAAGGTTTGTAATTTTAGTATAACTTAATTCAAGTTCTATGTAATCTTAAATAGTTATACTTTAGTACAAATTTGAAGTTGATTCAACCATTTTGATTAAACTCATAACAAACATAACCATAGTTACCATAGTTAGACACATAATTAGCAATTTTTTTTTTATAAAACAAATAATAGTATTTTCACAGATCAGAAAACTCTCTTCATTCCTATTCCTTTCATTTTTTTTTTCATGATACTCTTCTATGTCTTCTTCAATCACTATTTAAACATGCTTCAGGAGCACCTTTTTCCACCAGGATAACTTTGTTTAAAATTTCATTTAATGCTACTAACAACTTATATAAATGGTTTGCTTATTCAAATTTCAATGTTAGAATTGTAAACTGTAAGATTTTGTTGGCAAAATGCTAGACAATTAAAAAATGTATAACTAACATATTTATTGTTACCTATAATCTTCATCATACTTTTCTTTTTTACTTTTCTTTGATTTTTTCTTTTTTTTCTCTTTTTCATGACTTTGAAGTAGAGCCTTTAAATTAGAATTTGAAGTTTACCCAATAAATTGAAAATGTTACTTTCATACTTTTTGAAATTGGTTGAAATTATTATAAATATTACCTTCAATTTTCTCATCTTAATAGGATTTTGAACAAGCTCCTTTCTATTCTCTTCTTCTCGTTTCTTTATAAGAAAAAGAGGATCTTCTTTGACTTTTGCTAAAATATCAGATGCTTTCGGCTGAAGAATTGGCTTTTTAAGAATATTACCTTCAATTATGTTTTTCTATTCAAAAGAAAGTATTCTATGAGGTCAATTTTTTTTTACAAACAACTTCAGGTTGTTTAAAAAATAAATTGTTATTGATAAAACTTACTTCAGCATCATCATCTTTCATTACTTCAACATGTTTATCAATCTTTTTTCCAAGCAAATATTCTTCAGTATTGACAGCTTGCTGCCCACTGTACATCCAGTCTAATTTTTCAGTTTTTTTTCTTAACAAAAATATAAAAAGGGGACAAAGTGACACATTCACGTTTTGAAAATATATTTTATATTATTTGTGCAAAGATAAAAAGTACTTTATAAGACCAGATTCCACAGCTTGTTTTTGAAGCTGTTCTCTCTGCCTTTCTTCTGCTAATTCTTGCTGAAGCTGAAGACATTGCTCTTCTTCTTTGCGCTTTTTTTCCTCTGCTTTCCACACCCTCTCTAAATTTTCCATAGTTAGAGGGTGGAAGTGCTTTTTCATATTCTATAAAAAAAAAGTTCAATAATTTTTATAAATTTTACAAAAAGTTTAAAAACCTTTAAATAACTTCATAAAATTAATCCTAAAATTACTTTAAACTAAAATAAATTAATTAAAATTACTATAAGTAATAAAATTTATTAATTCACTAGTCATTTATTTTAAACAAATTTAATTTAATATAGTAATTATATTAGTTATTCGGTAACAATAATAATAATAATATTAATAATAATAATAATAACAATAATAATAACAACAATAATAAAAAGAATAATAACAATAAAAGTAGTAACAATAATAGAAATAATAGTATTAATAAAAATAATAATAACAATAATAATAATAACTAACAATAAAAGTAATAATAAAAACAATAATAATATTTTTTTAACATTAATACTAAAATTATTATTTACCAAATCTCCTCCCATTTTGATTTGTGTATATTAAAACTTGATACTTCTAAAAATATAAGTTAACATAAATATATAATCTAACAATGTTTTAATACAAAAATAAAAAAGTAAAATAAAAATTATGCTGTTTGTTATTATAATAGGAATTTGCTAACAATTTCTGATAATAACAAACGATACTTATATACTTTAACATTTTAAATATTATTGATAATTATTTCTTTCAGTGGATATTAAAAGCAGTGATTTTCACAAGCTTTCAACCAAAAAAACTTTGTATACAAAAATTTGTGTAAACAAAATTTATCATTATACATAAATATTTTTATTTGAAACAAATTAAGTTTTCATGTACATAAGACATTTATTAGGTGATTTTATTAGATTATTATTTACATTTATTTAGTGATACTCCTTTTCAAATAGGAGAGCGCAGTAAAAAAGCTAATTAACTTCAAGAATTTATGCCAGTTTTCTACATAAATAGAAGGATATTGATCACCTTGACACTTATGTATTTTATTAAAGGGAAATGATTTTGCATACTTTGTATATTAATTACTCTAATTCCAAAATGTTCAAGTTTTATTCATAAAACTTTACAAAGTTTCTTTTTTTAATCACATTTTTTAGCAGGAGGTAATTAGAGGAGGTATCAAAAGAGGTAAGCCTCTAGAACAACAATTTTATTTACATCACAGTAAAAAAGTTATTAAATACAAACAATTAACAATTTGTTTTGAACTGAATGAGTTTTCATTATTGATCATTTTTAAACTATTAATTATATTTCTGATAACAGACATGAAAAAAACTTTAATACATTTAAAAAAAAAAATTTTTCAAAACTATATTAATAAAGACTAATAAAGACTAATAAAAAAAAAATTACAAAGACTGTCATTCTTTTATTATTGCAGTTTACAGTGCAAAATTTTTAGATTATCACACATTTTCATTAAATTAATTGATAAAAATTGTGATTAAAAAAAATATATCTGCAAGATATTTTTTTACTCGAATTTTTAGTTTCTGCCCAATTTTTTTAAATAAAAAATTATCAGAAAGTAAAGCTTAACAAAAACAAAAATATTTTAATTTAAATATTTAAAATGCGCAGTAACAATTTAATAAAACTAAAAAAATTTATATATTTACATAAAATATAACTTTTAAACATACTTATCTCTTATTTTTTTAATAACTTTCTAGAGTTAAAAAAAAATTTTATCAAATAAAAATTTATGATAATAAATAAATTAGTGAAGATAAGTATTAAAATAATCTTACAAATTTGAATCCTTTCTTTAAAAAAGCAATAACTAGCTTGATCAGATCAGATATATTTAATTATGACCGCCAAAGATGATATAGTCAACAATAGATACACCTTTGAATTTTTTTATACCTTGAAAATAAAGAATCACTTAATTAAAATAGCTTTATTAATAATAGTCAATATATTAAAAAGGATACCATTTTAGATTTTACACATCTTCACGTATAATGCCCAATTAAATAGTAACTCAATAAATCAAATCAAATATATTCTAAATATAGTTGTAATATCAAGGATATTTACAAATAGTATTAATTTGTACTAATATAAAGTAAACATCTGTCAGACTAAATAAAAATAAGATTGAGATAATAATAATTATTATAATACAAGTAGGAATAATAAAGTAATAGTAGTGATTATAGTTATAAAAAAATAATAGCAGCGATTATAAAAATTATATACTATAATAATAATAATAATAATAATAATAATAATAATAATAATAATAATAATAATAATAATAATAATAATAATAGTAATAATAACAACAATAGTAATAGTATATAAATAATAGTATAAAACAAGTTATAATAATAATAACAACAACAATAATAATATTCATTATGATAAAAATATAGTAATAATAACAACAATAGTGATAAAGAGAATACTATTGAAACATTTCAGTTTAAAATAATAAATTTAATAAATTATGTTAAAATTAGTAATATATCACAATAGAAAAGAGAAAAAATAATAGACAAATAGAAGCTTCACGTTAGGGTTATAAATAATGAGTTGTAAAAAGATATAAGATTTATAAACAGTGTTTTTCTAAAAAATGGTTAAAGAGAGCAGTTTTAAATTTTGAGAATGATTTAAGAGATTTTATTTGGGAAGGGAGATTGTTCCAGGTTTGTATGCTTTTATGTTGTATGGATTCGTAGCCGTAATGAACAGTTCGGTATTTTAGTACAGATAATTTAAAGTTGAAAGCAGATTATAGAATATATTTACAATTTTCCCTATAACTAAAAAAGTTGATAAATGTAAGAGGTAGGTTATTATGATTTTGGTTCCAAACAAATAGGCAATTTGATAGCTGAATAAGGACACACAATTTAAGGACTTTTAAGATAAAAAATAGAGTATGCTACAGTTCGAACTAATATGTTGGAAGTAAATTAATTTTAGAGCTTTGTTTTGGAGATAAGTTGGTCTTAAAAAAGCAAGCTGCTTAGATTGTCCCCAAACTTGGCAAGCATATCTGAGATAAGAAAAAAAAATAGCATGATATATATTAAACAAAGGTTCATGATTGACATAATGACCAATTTTAGCTAAAATACCATTCGATCTGCTTAATTTCAATGCTAAGTCTTGAAGATGCGATGCAAAAGATAAACTAGAGTCTATTTTGATTCCAAGATATTTAATAGAGTTAACTGGATTTGTCTTCTGCCCACTTAATCTGAAATTTAATTGCTTATTAATTTTTGTTTGAACAGATTTAAATGTAATAATTTCCGTTTTTTTAGAGTTAAGAGATAAGTGATAAGCAGTAGAAAATTTAAGAGAAACATTTAAATCATTGATAAAAATAAGAAAAAGTAATGGACCTAAAACCAAGCCTTGCGGAACACCATTAAAAGGTTTAGCTAGTCCTGAGTTGATACCATTAATTGAAACAAATTGCGTTATATTACAAAGATAAGAGGAAAACCAGAGAAAAGAAATACCTCTTATACCATAGTGTTTCAGTTTTTCTAGGAGGATTGTGTGCTCAACTGTATCAAATGCTTTTCTTATGTCAATAAACACTCCACATGCAAAATGTTTATTATCGATGGCTTGTCTAACTTTCTCTGTAATTTCTATTAATGAATGAGTTTTGAGTGTTTGTTGCAAAAACCATACTGGTGTTTGTAAATAAATTTATGTTTTTCCAAAAAATGCTTGAGTCTTTGAAACATTGCTTTTACAAACAGTTTACTTAAGTTAAAAAGAAGTGAAATAGGTTGATAATTGGAGTAGTCTAGATAAGAACCCGTTTTGTGTATAGGAATTACTTTGGCTACCTTAAAAACTTCTGGAAAAATACCATTTTTGAAAGATTTATTCATCATAGTACATAGAGGTTTGGAGATTATGTGAGATACCAGCTTTAGTAGAAATGTTGGCAGACTATTGGAACCAAGGCTTTTATTATTTTATTAAGAGTACCTTTTATGAGATTCACCACCTCATTTTCAGTCACTATCAATGAAAAAAGAATTAGTACTAAGTATTTTAAGAAAGTTTCTTAAAACACATTTAGATGGAACATTATTTTTAAGTAGTTCGTCTTGATTAGTCGCAAAATAATTATTCAATATATTAGAAACACTGGTATAATCTGAGATGAAATTATCATTGATTTTGAGATTAAAAGACTCAGTATAAGTAGAAGGTTTGATTTTTATGATTTCCTTAATTCCTTTCTAGGTATTCTTTACATTATTGATGTTGTTATTGAAAAAAGATGCATAGTACAATTTTTTAGAATACTTTAACAAATCGCTAATTTTATTTCTGTATAACTTAAATTTAGTAAATAACATACTTTTGTTATTCACATTTTTTGATCTAGTAAATTTTTTATAAAGTATATTTTTATTAGGAATAGATTTAAGAATACTAGAAGTTATCCAGGATTTAGATTGAAGTTTAATTTGTTTTTTTGTTAATTCTTTGTAGAGAGCATATCGGTCTAATATTTTTTCAAATGTTTTAAGGAAAAAATTTATAGATTTATTTATGTTATCATCTTCTTTTATGAGAAGTTCCCAGTTAATATCAGAAATTTCTTGGATAAAAGAATCAGAATCAAATTTTTTAAAGCTTCTTTTAAACATATTTGTTTTTATTTTAATGGGTGGGTTATTAGGGATACAGACAAATTGTGCCATGTGGTCAGATATTGAAATTATAAGATTACTAGAGACTATATCAGTAGGAAATGAATTCATGAAGATGTTATCAACAAGGGTTTTAGTTTTTGCAGTTACACGTGTTTGAAGAATTATGGTTGGAAATAAGAAATGAGAGCACAAAGATTCAAAATAATTAGAAATGACTTGTGATTCTCTATAAATCAATGTTAAATTCGCCCATTAGTACAATATTTTTTGCTTCATGACTTAACTTTTCAAGGAGAGGATTAAAATGGATAGATAAAAATTCAGTAATGTTTAAAGATGGATGTACATCCAAATATATACATCCAAAAATGGTATTACTATTAAGTGGATATATAACTTCAACAAAAATAGACTCTAGAAATTTGGAGGCATAAATTTGGAGATCACTAAGAACTATGTAATTAAGATTTGAATTTAGGTAAAGAAGCGCACCACCTTTTCTTGACTCTGTTGGGCAATGCTCAATGTTATATCCTTGTATGGTAATTTCAGTTATATTAGAATCCTGTATATAAATTAGACTTATTACTAAGTCTAATTTATATGCAGAGGATTCTAATATAACTGTTCATGTTCATGTTTTTAAATAAGTTTTTGAGGTCATCAGGGGGTTCATGAAATTTTATTTTATTAGGAGGATTCTAGCAGGAAAGAGTTAACTTAAGTTCCAGATCAGAGAGCATGCTAAATTCCATATTGCTTGATATGCAGTTAGGACAAAACCAATCAGAAGAGTCATTGGAAAGCAAAAGAGCAACAGTCGCATTGGATGGCTTGGTTATTATCTTTTATTTTTTTATTGCAAAACTTGCAATGGTGACAAATTTTCATGATATAAATGGTAAAGCCATTTATATAATAGAAAATAAAGAAACTTAAAAGAGAAAGTAATCAAACAATAAACAGTAAGTGGATAAATAGCAACAGTAATCAGTAGTAGTAAGTAAAATAATTAGTTAATTATTATCAAAATTATAAATAAATAGGTTTATAATATTAATTCATAACTATAATAAAATAATAAACAAAAGATAAAATTAAAATAATATAAATCCATAATAAACAAATGCATAAGAATATATAATAATGATATATTTATAATAATGATCAAATAATATAATAAATTATATATAGTAAAATAAGATTTTTATAATAAAATATATAATAAAAATTCTTAAATAGAAAATCTAATGATAAATAAATAATAAGAGATATTACAACTGAAATATAAAACAAGAAAACCTCATTAACTAGAACTAAGTTGATATAACTAACGATAAATAAATAATTAAAAATATATTGTGAAAAAGCAAAGAAAAGTTAAATGATTATAGTAAAAAATAATAATTACAAACTAAAACGTGATAATATATAAATAACCAATCTTCTTATTCTCTTTAAAATTGTTTTTGTTCTTGTTTATTTTATTTCTTGTTATTTTTTCTTTTTTTTCTTTTCTATTTACTTTCTCTTCCTTGCTTTCTTTTTTTTTTCTTCTTCTTCTTCTTTTCTTTGTTTAAGTTTATTAAAGTGTTCTTTTTTTTTTAATAATTCGAAGTTCTATTTTTTTTATTATTATTTTTTTTTCTTCGATTTTTTTTTAAGCATTTGATTTAATTCAGATTTTTAAAAGATTATTAACTATTCTACATAAAACTTCTTATTCTAAGGCTTTTAAGAAATTTTATATTGAAAAATTATCTGTTTATCTTATCCTTTTATTTTTTACACCATTAGAAAAATACGTCCGCCATTTGCGATGACCTACCACTGACCAGTTTGTCAAGTTGTTTCACCAGAAAAAGGTTGTTGATGACATTGTTAGCATTTGTAAATGGTATGGGTAATACAGTTTTACTTCTATTTAAATTTCCAAGAGTAAACAACATGGATTTTATGATAAACAGATAAACACTATTTATATGAAAAACAATCAAGCAGATTCTTCAGAATCATCAATAAAAATAGCTCTGAAACCATTCATCCAAAAACAAGATTATAAAAATTAATTAAATTTTCTAATAATATTTATTTATGGTTATCATAATTTTAACAACTTTAATAATACGCAGTGGATAGCCTACCGAAAGTCGGTAGCGGAAAAATAAAAATTATCCTACAGAAAGTTTTTTTTTATTGGTTAATAAATATCACGTGTCACAATAAAATAGTTAAATAAATATATTT